GACAGCGTCTCTTCAAAGGAAAATCAACACAAATGAGAAAAAAGATCATCTTATTTAACAAAGAAAAAGCAAAGACGGATTTAAATTTATACAGACAAATTTTTGTAAACAATAGATTAACATACATATATATATATATAGTTAAATATATATATATTTCTAAGAGCGACATCGTCGTCTTGGACGTTTATTAGATTCAGACGGTGGTGGTGATGGAGATGATGATGTATTTTGTACAAGTAATCGTTTTGATGTCACGGCAGCACCCGGTAAAATCCACATTGGATTAATATAAAAATTTGATGGTGCCCATATACGTGCTGAACGACGTTGTGGTGTTGATAATGATTGTGCATGCGGTGAAATACTTGTTTGAATACGCAATGGTGAAGAAAGTCGAGTATTTATTGATCTATTCCCACGCATATATTCCGTTGGACTGGAATTATGTGATGATGAACCTGAAACAGTTGTTGTAGGTGATGGAGATGTATGTTGAATTGACGATGACGATGCTGTTGATGTATTACTGTCATGCTCAGATGACGATGACGAATCTTTATTTTCTAATGGTTCTAAACAAAAAAAACGAATTTATTATTCAATTGAGTAGAGATCTTTTGAAATTTCAAGTAAAGTCTCAAGGACTGATTTAATACTATTAGCCTACTTTCAGTAATAGACATCATTTCATTATTAATTTAAAATCTAATTAACAGAAAGCTGTTTACAATACTTATGAGCTACTCAGTATGTATTATCATTTCCTGCAAGTGTCAAAACTATTTCATTTACTCTATCTAATCAAATAAATGACATTTATGTATATAACACATCGAAAAAAGATGTCAAACTATATCATCTTGACCTTAAATTCAATAAAAATAAACTTTGTGAACTTAAAGTCGAATTATTACTTCGAACTCTTATATAAAGAATCAAATAATTGATTACTTTCAGAAATAAAAAAATTATATTTTATTAAGATGGATGATAAATATCAATTGTGTCTAAGATTAAATCTAGATATGAAGTAGGACTCTAATGCGTTGTTGACTAATGACAAAATATGATTTATTACCTTGATTTTCTACACTGTTCATACATTGTCGACGACGTATTCCATTTTGAGGAGTTTTCTTCTTACATAACATATGTTGTCTTCTTGTCGTAATCGTTGATGTTTGTTGTTTCAATGTTTTTGATTTATTTGTAATTAATAATGAATTTTCTACAATTGGATCTTGTTTTATAGAAATATTTAATGGAGTCGATAAATCAACCATTGATGATGATGAATGTATAGGTGAAATATTTGTTTCACGTTTTAATTTATGTATTGATTCATTCGAATGATTTCTTGTTTTAGAACGACTATCTATTATTGGACTTATCAATGGTGACGGTGATATTGATGGCCAAGATTGACCTGATCGTGCGTACATTTGAAGATTACAACGTTGTTTACGATGCGACTGTCGATGATAATGTGGAGGTGATCCTGATGAAATATTCTCTGCATTTATTTGTTGAGACTTATTTATATATTCTTTATATAGATCTGATTGTTTTAACCAAGTGGGTGGATTATCTATTATATAAAAGACGTTTATGTAATTCAATTAAAAAAAGAAAGAGAATATAAAACCTTTATAAATTACAAATGACATTAACTCATGCACATTAGTAACTGTTGACAGAAGACAATTATTATTTATTGAGGAACGTTTTGGACGACGCCGATGATTTGGTGATCTATAAAGATAAAATAAACAATATTTAATACAAAGATATGTTTATCGTACGCATTTCCATTTATTTTGTTTCCTATTGGTGATGACTTATTATTCTTGAAAAATAAAAAATATAAATAGAATATATTAGATAAAATAATAGGGAACATACTTCTAATTTAGTATCAACATCAACTTCAATTTTAACTGGTGGAATATTGTTCGATTTTTTCTTCGATATAATCTGATGAAGAAAAAAAAAAAAATTAATGTGAATTTAAGAATTTTTAATGAATAAATTTACTGATAAATTTGAGGTAGATTTTGATTTTCGTATCGATCGATTTCCATGATCATATTCCGCTGAGTCAGATGTTTTATTATGCATATGTTATGTGCACGATCTAGAAAAAGAAAATATATTATAAGCTTTAGCATAACCAATAAATACTTGGTAACAAAAACAACATTTCTTTTTTTTCTTTCTATGCACTTCGTTCATTCATTTAATGGTAGTACGCGAACTTCGCTATTGTGCTTTTCTCTTGACAATTTCCCGTCTACATCTCTTTTTCTCCCAGTCATTTCTTTGCTTTTACGTTCTTTATTTATTCCCGACTTTTTCTTTTTCTTCTTCTTCTTTGTCTTATTTGTAGGATTCTATTAGATCAATGAATATCTTTACACAAATTGCAACACAATTTCTTATCAACAAAACTACTCTTATTGAATTATTGAAAACATTAAATTTTTCAAATGAATTCTTGGATGAATTTCGTCATGATCGTATATCAATTGATGAAGAATCAATACGTCGTAAAATACGATTTATATGTGAATTAAATAAAGATGAATCGTTTCAAGATTTATTTTGTCATGAAGACGGTATTCAATTGGTATTTCATATTAATTTTCATGAATATCGTTGTATACGTTTTCGTATTAGTTTCGATATTAAAATTATTGCACTTATATTAAATAATCATCATCAAACTATACAATTTATGATTAATAATATTCAAATAAAATCACTTAATCGTCTGTCAAAAGCATTTCGATTTTATTTACAGGTAAAAATAGAAAATTATTTAAATAATTTATATTTTTAGACTAGACTTTTCATAAAAATATACAGGTATAAAACAAGAAAAATATGAATTAGAATTTAACGAAGTATATGTAAACAGATTCTTTGAATCGAAAGTAATACGGCAGATCGATTATATGAATTAGAATAAAGAAGAATTGCACTATAATCTATTTAGTAATATAACTAGCAGATGAAAATTTATTAGAAATACCAATAACTATGTAAAAATATCTTTTTAGCTTCGATCTTCTCGAGAAAAATAAGATCTAAAGTTAGAATATACTTCAGTATTCCCGGCGGCTAATGTAAAAACATCCTCAAGTATAAACCCCCCGTCTAAAGTAGTACTACACATCACATAAACATTAATGAGCTATATATATTCTATAAAGAGTACGTGCGCTGTGGTTTATTATTACAACTGAGTTATTATAAAAAAACACAATTCCGCCTAATGTCGTGATTTCTTTCAAAGACATTAGATAAACTTGACTTCAAATCTTTGTCTTAGCCGAAACCGGAATATAGAAATATCTCAGTACGAAAATGTATTATAGAAACAATTATATTGATGTCAAAAGTTTATTTGATGTTACTAAGAAGGGAGACAATAGGCTAGAAGTCTGAATTTTTTTTTCTGCATATACATAGCTCATCATAGCATTCTTTATGCATATGATTCTGACATAATAGTGAATGAACACATAGAAATGTTCTCCCATGAGCTTAACTCAACTTCAACAGTCTTTTATAATTACTATTGACAATAGTTATCAAATAGATAAACTAAAATATATCTTTTATATAGCTTGTATAACAATTTTTAGAACAAATTTAAATTCGAAAATAAGTGATTTTTTTGTCTTACCAAAACTCGCCAAATGATAGAGTTCTATTCAGAAAAAAAACAACAGAATTATATAATACAAAAATTTTCTTCTATTGTACAAAATATATATTTATTTTAGTCTAGAGCACGAAATCTGGTTACTGATGAAATTGAACGTATATTTAAAGAACTAAATATTCCTTATGATCGATTATTTAGTGATATAAAACGTCCATTAACGTATGAAATAAATTTATCTAATATAAAAGAATTTGATCAATTTCGAGAACGATATTTAATTATTGGTAATCGTTCTATTCTTGATCTAATACAAATAACATATGTCGAACATCGTGAGCAAGCTATTGTATTAGGTTATCGTTTACATCCAGCATTACATGAAGAAACAACTATACATTTTATTGATTGTTAAAATAATGAAAAACCAATAAAAAAAAAGTTTACTTACTTATTACCGATTAGAAACAAGATTTGTTTTATTCATGTCAAGGATAAATTTTTTATTCTTGTCAGAAGAAAAGAATGACGCGGTGAATGTTATTTGAATGGTTTAAACAGTATAACAAATAGTTGAACAATTGAACAAGATGTCGCTACTATTTAATATTGTTAATCATATATTGTTTCGTCATTTTATCATTAATGGTACCATGTTATCGTTGGAACTATCAATGATAAACAATAACAAAATAATTTTAAATTTATACAACGAAATATATATATTTACAAAGAGATTTTATGTCAAAACCACACAATCAATACAATTGTTATTCATTTAAGAATATACTAATTAAAAATGTTCGTTAAATCCAGATGAGAAAAATATATTGATAATTTGAAGAGAGAAATTTTTTAATCAAGCAATGCAAACAAGAAAAATTAAAAACTGTTGTGTAACTTAATATAATTAATCTACTGCTATATTAATCTATTGTTCTTGTCAGATATTTTCTGAATTATAGTGCATTATAAACATTATTTTAAGTGAATTTTATTTTTAATAAATTAAAATCGTTCGTTCTATTTATGGCTATACTTATGTTGCTAATCGTATTAGATTTATTGATGGTTATAAGCGGATTGTGTCATTGATTACTTCAACAAAAATTAAAAACTGTCGATTTATATGATTTGTAAAGGCCTCTTGTAAATGTTAGTTTAATCGCATGTGGAACAGTGATTTCTGATGATAATGTTATTCATTCGATCAATACAAGTGATCATTCAAATTATCTTCGACATAGTTCAGATTCTAGAACAATATTTTATGAAGTGATATATAGAATGATATGATCATCGTGCTGAATTGTCGATTTCCATACAAAAATAAACGTAGAATCAAATTTATAATATTTTCTTATGTTATTATTGATTGTTTTGTTAATAAAATTTTATTTTTCTCAAATAAAATTGTTAATAAATACTGAAATCTTTGCTTTATTTTTTTCATATGTAAATTAGTTAAAGGCGTATCTATTAAAACTTGCACTATAAAATCATTTGCGGCAAAAATTACCGAATCGCATCTGAGGGAATTTTTACATGTTTTGCTAAATTTAGACAATAACAGTATTTTACTTAATGACATATTCATAATATTTATCAATTCATTTATTATCTTTATAAATATATTCTCGATAATTCCTAATCAAAATTCTAGTCACAACATTCACATTTGCAATAGATAAGTGTAAACAAAGTTCGAATATTCATGAACTCTCTCCTTTCACTAACATGCCAGATGATACTTCTATTATGGCAAAAATCGGAAATAAATAGCAGATTTTTTCAAATAATTTAAAAAGAAATCTCCCGATTATATTGTTTAAAATAAAACAGTTAAATAATATCATAATTATTTACATAAAAAATATTCAAAATATTGTAGTAAACTATCAGAGTTGTTTCCGTTCCAACATGTTCAAGCTAGTCCAGTAATCTTATCAGATCACTCTAAGATAAATATATATGTATCTTGTAATAATTATCGATCGAATACTCAATTGCTAATCTGAAAATCTTTAATGTTTCTACTTAGATCTTCATAAAAAAAAAGTTGATATCTCTCTTAAAATGTTCTTATAAAAGAGATTAAATTTGCTTTTGATGTATGTAGTTAAGAAAAGAAAATAGATTCAAAAAATTATTAAAGTTATTTTCAAATTTCATACTAGTCGAGACAATCGATATTACTTTTCTTATTGAATATGTATATATACAGATACATAGACGATATCGATAATGGATGGTAATCAAATAGAGTGACTACAAAATTAATAGAGAGAAAGTGATAGATTCAGATCATATTGATCTATGAGCTGATGCATTAAATGTGCGTATCCCATAATGATGATTTTCAAATATATTATATGACGTTCTTTCTAATATGAACAATAATTAAGATTTATATATATATTTCAAATCAGTGAAACGTAAATATCATATCTATAAAAAAATGTATGAATTCCATGCACATGAGAAGAGAATACAGTTGAAAACATTTCTTATACTATACGATCGTCGGGTATATTATGTCAAAACGGATAAATATAAGATTAGAAACTGTTAAAATTCGAAAATAACGTTGTTGGAGATAAGCCATCTTATTCAAATTGAAATTTACAATGTTAATCGCGGTCGGTTCTAGAGTATCACGTATACGAAATAAACTTTCAGTACAGATGGAGTTAGTCATCGATTCGACAAAAATATTCAAGACAAAATTATGATTTAAAGAGACTCTTCTATAGAAATATTTTTAATAATGTGACTATAATATGCTCTAAGTAAATATTTATCTTTATAGCTCATTATAAAAATTATAAGATGAATAATAATTTATCAGGTTTATGATATGCAACACGTATGATAACATATCTGTTTCATTATTAGCATTTCTGAGTATAAAAAGAATCTTGCACCGACAGAACGAGTACATTTTCAAACCGACAAATAGTGCACAATAATAATTCAGGTACATATGGAAAATATGCAAATAACAGAGGATTTTACAAAAGAAAAGATACAAACTATGTTGAATTCGCGTTCACAACTACAAGATTATGTGCTACAAAATAGCAAGCGAGGTGATATTCAGAATATTATTGATACAATCGATAAATTTGGTTGGACAAAGCAATGGTTAATGAATATTGGTGATCAAAAAGGAAAAATTCTTGATGAAGCTATTCAAACAAGAAAACCAAAAACTGTTCTTGAACTTGGTATAATTTTTCATGTTATTTATATAGATCTTTTATTTATTTTGTTTAGGTACTTTTCTCGGTTATAGTGCATTGAGAATGATTAGTCTATTGCCTAAAGATGCTTTGCTTATTTCCATTGAGAGCAATACTGAATCAGCTGAAATTGCTCGTTCTATTTTCGAATATGCTGGTGTTACTGATCGTATAAAAACAATTGTTGATGATACAAATAATGTCATTCCTCACTTAAATAAGGATTTCAATGTTGATTCATTTGATTTAATATTTATTGATCATTTCAAAGATGTATATTTACGTGATTTTAAAATGCTTGAAGATGTTGGTTTAATTAAATCTGGCACAATGATTGTTGCTGATAATGTTATCTGTCCAGGTGCACCTGATTATTTAGAATATGTTCAAAATAATCCTAACTATTCAACAACACTACGTGAAAGTACACTAGAATATGACGATAAATTACGTGATGCAGTTGCAATATCTGTTCGAAAATAATAACTCCTAAATTTAATATTTCTGTATTGATGAAATTAAAATGTAATCAATTCGAAATAATGAAAGTTCGACAGATATATTATTTTTTTTCTTCTTAGATAAAAGTACTTTATTAACAAAACAGATAGTTGATATTTATTTATAGAAGAAAGAACTAAATAATACTACTGGTCAGATATTATCAGTAGATTGATTATCAACATTACGCTTTTTAATCTGTAGACAGTTTTTTTGCTTTCGTTGAGATGATAAGAAATATATTTCTATACGTTTGAAACTTACATTTTTATCTACCCGTGAGAGTATGATATCAGCAATTTAATAGGTTATGAACTTTGATGAAGCAAAATATTTGTTATTGAAAGATCGTCGTATGTTAATATAAAATAACCTTTAGATTAATGATACAATCGATAAATTCATTTGAATAAAATAATATTTTTTATGAATATTAATAATCAAAAATAATCTATCGAGTATCATACGATACTTTTCCTATTACAAATAATATTACTAGTATTGCTGATTGTTTACATACTAATAATGATCATATGGGAAATATCAAGTCCCACTTCAGTATAAATTATAAAAATCGACTCATTTAATTTACTTCTTATTAATCATCACAAAGCGTGTCTATTTATATATGTTAATTCAATTTAATTGTAAACAATAACTGTTGTTAATAATGTTCGAAGACCAAATGCTATATCAAATAATATTGGAATATCGAGATGATAAATGCACTAAATTCAACATCTTTTGCAGAAAGATTCTAATATCTATTTCACATAAAGATAATTATATCGCTCAATTTCTTTAAGAATAATTTGCTTATTATAAAAGTTTTCTATTTGAGCTGGAGTAATATTATTCGCTCAATAATAATGAATATTCAAAAACTAATTTGTTCATAAAACTAAGAAATATCATACTATATTAAACTTAAATTGTAGTATGACTAAATTACATCTTCAATATTAATTGGTAAGAATAGAAAGAAATATTGACTGATGAAAACTTAATTGTAGTTTTGTTACTCAACATTAGGTAGAAATTTACATAAATATATAGATTGAGATCTTAATAACAACAATGATTTATTGTACTATGAAAGGATATTACCGCTATGGTTGACTGATTTTTTGTGACCTATGTTATTATTGTAGTGTCTTTGTCTATACATATTTACATACAAAACATGTCACACGGCAACATAATATGCACTGAATGTTACCGTGTCGTCTCTCTTTTTTCTCTTTTTCTTCTTTTTCTTCTTCTTTTTAGCCTTGTTCAGTAGTCGATATTTTTGTCGTGAAAAAGGTGAACGGGCATAGAAGAAGTTTAATACGAGACAATCTTTTCTTTACGTTTTATACGTTATTCAACTTGTAATACTTTCATGTCGGAGACAATACCAACAACAAAAACAGCTGGACTCGCAGATCAATTACCTAATTTACCTGAAACTTATACTATTGAACCACTTGTTCAATGTGGTGTACTTTACTTAGGTACAACACCATCGACTACTGGTCTTCGTGGTCTTGATTCAATTCAAGAACCATTTTCACATCGATATCCTGTTGATGGTACGAATACTGTTCGAGGTAATTAATTTAATTTCTAATGAATAATAAAAAAATTTTTTATTTATGTATATAATTCAAGGTATTGATGCTGTACTTTCTATTTATGATAATGGTATTCAATTAACATTTACTCGTCAACCACATGTAGCAGTTTTTTTTCCAATAAGTTCACTTATTTATTGTGCAAGTCTTCGTTTTTCAATTATTGAAAATGATCCAGCAAAACCAACAGCAAATGTTGATTGGCGTTTTATGACATTAGATGCAATAGAAAATAATGAAGATAAACATCCACCATTATTTGGTGTTATTATGCGACGTACACAAGTTTTACCGGGTAATGAATGTCATTGTTTTATAACAAAAAATACTGATGCAGCATTTGCACTTGTTCGAACAATATCACAAGTTTATGCAAATATGAGACCAGGAGCAAAATGTTTAAAATCACCTATATTTTATCAGGTTAATATTAGTATATATTTACTTTGAAATAATATTTTTTGAGTTCTATTTTTAAAATTTTGTAGTTAGATCGTTTTGGAAGAAAAATAAGTGAAACAACTGGTATTGTTTACATATCACCAGCGAATGAAGATGATTTGCAAATAAGTCGAATTAATTCGAATCGATTAAAAAGCGAATCTATTGTTCGAAAATCTCTATTAGATCCATCTCTTGATGGTTTTTATTATCGTACTATTCTAAGTGTTGTTGAACAATGGCAATTATGGGATGATAATGACTTATATGGATCTCGACCACATCCACCAGATTCACCTTTTGGTTTACATGAAGGTCTCTATCATGATGATACAACAGAAGAAGTTCAACGATATTTACGTCATATGGATGATGAAGATCATTCTTGTGCATGTACTTGTTCAAGTAAAAGTTCAAGTTCATTAAGTTCAATATCAACGGAGTTTTCTCGACGACAAAAGCGACATCGTCATTCTAATAAACAAAAACTACCCGAGGATACTGATCAATTTAATGAATCATTGTCACAATTACAAGCAAGCTCATTTGAACCAGTTTTACCACGGAATTATTTTGATATGAAAGAGAAACATCCAAAACCGATTATTATTGAAAAAGTCGTGCCAAAACGACACTCAGCAATACCTATTCTTCATCCTCAGATACCTCGACAATCATTAGATTCTCCAAGTCCTATGCAAGATACAGACATAAAGAATGTTTCAACATCGAAAGTACCATTCACATATAGCATAAATAAACGAGGTGAGAAAATATCACAAGATGGCAATCGGATTGTATATATGGACTCCGTTCGACTTGATACAAATAAAAATCCATTGGATCAACCAGCATACATTCCATTAAAACCTCGTTCTCGTCGACAACGAAAATCAAGACGTATACCTGTAGTTAATCTTTCAAGTATTGAAAGATTATTTGATGAAAAACAATCGAAAACTCAAACTCAACGACGTACAAGCTTAAATATCGATCATAATGTAAAAGAACATCTTAATCATACAAATCATTTAACAGCACAAGATATGTTAGCAATATTAGATGAATTTTTTGAAAATAATCATAATCATAAAGTCAAATTAGATGATCATGAACTTCAATCTTTACTCGATCAATTTGAATCATTCAATAAACAAGGACAACAACATCGAAAAAATAGTCTCATCTCATCAACAGATAGTTCAAAAAGTGAAACTCGTTATCATCGAAACCGTTCAGCAGTAATTGATCTTCAAACACTTAATTATGGTGAACGTCCATCGATCCCATTGGAATCTCAAAATGAAACTGATTATAATCATCGAAATCGTTCAGCAGTAATTGATGTTCAAACAGTTAATTATGGTGAACGTCCATCGATTCCATTAGAATCTCAAAATGAAACTCATTATCATCGTAAACGTTCAACAGCAACTGATGTTCAAACAGTTAATTATGGTGAACGTTCATCGATTCCAGTGGAATCTCAAAATGAAACTCATCATCATCATCATCGTAATCGTTCAACAGTAACTAATGTTCAAATGTTTAATTATGATGAACGTTCATCAACTCCATCGATTACATTGGAATCTCAAAGTGAAACTCAACCACCACCAACAAATAAACAAACATCTCCTACATTACCTGAGTTAACTAATACAAAACTTAATGAATATGTATCAGATATATATGGAGCAGCTCATTCACTTAAATCAACTATATCCTCAAATGATCATCAAGAAATACAATCATCAATTCCAGCTGCTGTGATCAATGCAAATTATGTGTCAGCATTTCGATATATGCATAGTAGTGTTAATCCAAATTATCTTGAAGAACTTCGTAATGCATATTAATTCAATTTTAAATATAAAAACTTGAATAACTTTACTTATCATATCTTGTTTTTGATGGTGTTTAGTCAATTTCTGTTTTTAAAAAATAAATAGATAGAATATAATTATTTTTTTTCTCTTTTGAATGCAGCAGCACAATGTTTATATAAAAATAGTTACATCTTTTGGAAGATTTATACTTCAATAACTTAAAGTTTTTTGTTTCACTTTCATAATTAATGAATAATATATACTTTATCTTCTTATACCATTTCATATTCTTCTGGTGGTGATAAGTGGAATGAAATTTTTCTAGGTGGCATTTGATGCTGTTCGTTGTTTGGTATAGTATAAATATGATCTGTAGTTAAACATGGATCTGATGATGCAATTCTTTCATGAGACATTGTTTCTGTACGAGAACGTGGTTGTGATAATTGATCTATTGATGTTAAAAGATTTTTACTCCATCGTCGTAAGAATGTTGGTCGTTCAGGCTCTTGTTCTTGTATTGAAATACGATGTCGAAATGCTCGACTACGTGCCCATTGACGCATTCGTGATACTCGTGGTTGCTCAAAATGATGATGAAATAAATTTCGTACAAGACGATCACGTTGTTGCTTTAAAGATATTGTTGATAGTATAGTTGATGAACGTGAACGTTGTGTAGTATCATTTTGATCTTGTTTAGCACGTTTAGCTTTTACTCTTTGAACAACTAGACCAAGAATAAAAAAAAGTACAATACCACTAGCTAATGCAATAAGTAATGGTGTTGAACTTTGTTTAAATGATTCATGTAATGATGAGCCTACTCGAAGAGATATACAACCATCACGTGGCTTATAAATAAATGTCGTTGTTATATTCGATTGAAATTCGACACAAACTTCATATAGACCTTTATCAAGATTATATATACGTAAACTATTATTAAAATCAATAAGTTGTGTAAAATTAGTTAATATTTCAATGTTAACATCGGATATTAATATATCCTCGATTGGTCGTAAAATAAAACGATATGAATCAAATGTATCTTGTAAAGAACTTTCAATAGTAAACCATATTAGATCAGAATAATTTGGTATCTCATGTAAATGACACACTTGAAAATGAGTATGCGAACGATTTGCAGTACAGTGTTCTTTATCGCTTTTTAATTTTCGTGATTGAACTGTATGACATTTAATTAGTAATAATAAGTAAATACTGATAAAAATAATAGATGAATAATTTAACATGAATATTTTTTTAAAACATTTACCTATTTGAAAAGCGTAGATATAGTGTGTTTGAAGAGAAGATAAGATTGACAAATCTGTTAAAGCAAAGAATTCGATAATAGTTTTTCTTTTTCTTGTTGATATTTAACTTATGAGTATTTGCATATGAGTCAACGAGGAAAATGCTAGACGAATATTGATTGTGGTATAAAGAAGAAGATTTATGTGTCTTATGAAACAAAACATGCACTCTTTATCCTTGATGTAAATATGTCAAGAAAAAAAGGAACTGTTATTCAATACGTAGTGGATTATAATTTACGACTATACGATTCATTGATTTGTTTAACATTTTTGTAGATATAGTTTTTATCTGCCAATTAAAAGATAAACTTTAAAAGAATTCAGTGTCATTAACTTTTGTTACAAGTACTAATTTTTTCAACAATTAGCTATTGGTTGTTTCTAATCGATCTTGATCATTGATAATAGTGATGAAATTTTTAACTAAGAATAGAAAAATGGAATACTATGATAATATGAGAAATCCACATCTTTTTCTTTTAAATCAAATAAATATACTGTGCGAATTTTCAATGCAGATAAATTCACTTTTTACTACAATTAAAACATCGAAAATTATTTTTATGAGTTTACTATAAGTATTTAGAGAGAATAATTGCGTTTTCATGAATAAAACTACAAGTTCCATTTATTATTGTTCTATACGACTGATAATATTTATAATGCTTTCTTAGGATTTATCTTTGTTTTGTTTTTGATGAGATAATATTATAGTAATCTGTTTAGCTTGCTTAAATGAACTGGAAGCAAAATTATAAACGTATCAGTGTGACAAAACTCATCGCTTTTAATTATATTAAATAACAGGAAAATATTTTCTTATGAATACTTTGAAAAACTCAATTATTTAAAGAATATAAATGACTTACGTTTAAATAATCTCTCTAATTGTATATGACATCTACACATATCACTTTTATTTATCAATTTAGAATCAACTATTTTCTTGTCACCCAAAACCGAGAAGAGAAGTTCTTAATTAGATTTCTTGAATACATTTTCAAACTCCGATAATCATATTAATAATCAATTAACGGCTGCCACATAGTGAAAACATATTGTTAACAAAATGTCAACATCATTTAGATATAATAGTTTTGATCAATAAATATTAGATGAATCATATATTAAAACATGAATACATATAATAGAATATTAATTAAATATTCTTTCGATATTACATTTGTCAAACAACAATTTATCACTCATAAAAGTGAAGTATTTTCATTTTTGTGTATGTCAGTAATGTTATCAATAAAAGCGAAACTTTTCTTTAAATAAAACAGATTCATTGTCTATAATATAACTTGTTTTCTACTCAATAGATCTATCCATAAAAACTAAGGTTTTTATACAGTCGCAATCATATATTATTAATTATTCAAACTAAATCGTTACTACTGGCAAAGATGTTAACAAAAAGAGATTGTAGTACTTATTAAACATATTTTTGTTAGAAAAGGATTAGTTTACTCAGAATAGAAAGATTTCACCAAAAAAAGGTAATATGTATGTTTTCCGATTCTATGAATGGTAGATCCTCGTGATAGCAGATTTTAATTTAATACAATAATTCTAATGCGAAAGTTTAAGCGACAAAACCAGGTTATAAACACATATAAGTGTATATTTTAAGTATTTTCAGATGCTTAAATACGCTTACATAGCTAAAAAGTATTTTTAAGTATTTAGATTTCTATAATTTAAGCTGGCTCAAGTAATCTAATACTGTTTACCGATTTACAGCTGCTTATGAATGTAAAATGTAAACATTTATCAGCATATTATGTGCATTGAACTGTACGAGAGTAGCTTAAAATATCTTATAGTACCTAGATTTTTCGTATGAGAAGCGAGATAAAATTTCATTTCAAAACAGATATATCATTTGGAGTTGCACTCTGCTTTTATAGAAAAGGCTGGAGAACTATTTAAAAAATACTCCATTGATAGATATGATGATAATGAGATTTCGGCATATTCTAATATATTGCAATACAAAATCAAGCAAGCAATTAATTTCAATCATAATAGTTCTATTATTCTGAAATATGCTTACTTGAATATCTATAATTGTTATTTTCTCAATTGAAATAGAAATACTTCATAATGATAGCTATTAAGTTTACATTTAATTTTTTTGGTATCGAGTTAAAATATTTAATGAGAAATAGAAACCTCTTGAAAAGAAAAAGTTTTTTTTCTACTTAAATGACAAAACTCAAACTTCATTTTAGAACAGTAAAATTAGACTTACCTCATAAATTCTATCAAAAATATGTATAACGATCAAATAACAGCTTAGAACAATCTTCCAACATGAAAAGACAAATGTTCATAAAAGGAAGTCTGTCGTTAATGCCACATTATATGTAAGCTATGCGTATAATCGATTAAATCAAATAATATGACATACGACAAATGTATTTTAAATTATATTCTTATTACAATAGCTATATCTTCTATAAATATGCACGAATGAATATTTAATTCATTGTTTTTTAAAATCACCAATGCATTCCTCTAGAATATACACATAGGATTCAAATGATGTCACAATTTCGAATAACTTCATTTATAAAATATAAAATATATTATTTCTAATATGTTTCATTATTGCAGATCAATGAAGACTCAAATGCTATCATCCTTGTTACAAGATATTTTTATAATAATAATCTCATTTCTTTTTCTATTCAATTATTGTTATATTAATATATAATTAGAAAGAATTATGCTAATGATATAATACGAGAAATTAATTGTTATTAAATATATTTATATAAAGAATGAAAAATAGAAGAGAAAAAAAAATAACAGCGTTGGTCTTCTCTCGTTTTAATAGATTCTTTTCATCATAATACTATTTATCATATATATATAACAGGTTTGAATTAGCAGCGTTTTACATTGTTTGTACTCTTCATAGTTTAAAATAATATACTTTCGAAAAACAAACATTATTATTATAAATCTGATTTACTTTTATCTATCTAATAAAATAAGAAAAAGAGAGAAAAAAGAATTTATAGATTGATTTTCCTCGCTTTCAATATATATATAAATGAATGTGATAGAGACACATAAAACATCAGGCGGGCATTTCTTTTTCTTTTTGTTCATCACGTTGATGTAAGTAAAAAACTCTAGCGGCAATTTATTAATGTAATGAAACGAGAATACGTGTTCAGTTACTTTGTTGTATCCATATTTTTGAACGAAAACTATTTCAGATTATTTAACAACAAATAACTAGGATGTCGGCTGTATTCGTATCGAATAAAATCTCAATAATCATGATTCAAATCAGTGTTATTTTACTAGGTTTGTTAGGTAAGTCATCGGATATGAATTTCTACTTTTGTATATTTTAATTTTTTTGATTGTCAAATGTCCTTCTTAAACATTAAAACATATGACTTCCGTTGATATTAATGCAATGCTTTCTAATAGAATTTTTTTCAAATACTTCGTAAATCTTGTTCTTAATAGCATCATATGAGTAATTGTTAATCATCTTCTAGACAACAATCAAAACTAAAATTATCATGAGAATAACATTATTATCTTAGATCTTGACAAGCGAGAAAAGAAACAATGATTTCCATTCATCATTTATTCTATGCCTTCTTTTTTTTTTGTTGAAGTCAAATGCATTTTATGGAAGACATCCGACTGATATCTTTCCGCTTCTTTCGCTTCGACAGAAATTCTTTGTATGTTTTTCATTGAACTAATTGTAAAGCTTGAATATATATATATATGTTTGTGTAAATTATGCACATATTATTCAATGAGATTTATTGTTGATTAATACTAGATCAAACTAGTACTATTTAAAAAAATTAGCACAGCAATAAATAATATTTATAAATCAGTCAACTCCCTAAGACGTCATCTATAAGTTTTCTGACAAAGAAAATACGAGATAAGATCAAATTCAGACAATAGCCGTAACACATGATTTGTTTCATAGATGACATATTATACATATTTAATAAATATACAAAAATAGAATATTAATAGATATTTTTATTAATAAAAAATTGAAGTTCTATATCTATTGGAAAAAGATATGTTTTATCATATTCATACATGAGTAAATTAGGTCAAATTATTTTGTTTTACTTTATTGTCTAGAACATAAGAACTAAAAGAAGTTTTGTACTCAGAAAAATATAATATTTTGAAGCTATTTCATATGACATATAGTTTAACCTATACTTATTCAGTTTATTAATTACATCTAATTAGGTCTTAGCATGAAGTCATATGAAATCATATATCTTCTTTACTAAATTGCTGATTATTATATGCTATATTCAATTTCCTTCTATTTCAGTCATTGGTAATTCGGCAGGACCAGTAAATGGTGATCTTCAAGAAATTTACTTTGACACATGCCAAGAAAGTTGTGATGTAGTAAAAAATGATGAAGATATACAAGGATGTCGAGAAAAATTTTGCCCAAATTATGTTAGTTATATATTAACAGGTTTAACTGTTCCAGGTGCATCACCTAGTCTTGTATCAAGTCATCGTAAACAAGTAGCTGACTTTTGTGCTACATGGATGGTTCATTTAATTCAAGAACTTGGCTGGCAAAGACGTAATCGTCTCAATCTCAAAGAATGTGCATGTGCTGCTGGTAAAGATTGTCTTGTTTAATGGAAATGAAAAAGAAAATTAACATTGAATCGTGCAAAAAATATACATGTATTTTATTATTCTATCTAAATATGTATGATGAATATCCTTTATAAATTTGATGAATAATGCAAAGAATAAAGAATTGTTGCTAATATAATGCGACATCTTTTAAAAATTAATTCTTCAACTTTCTTTTTTTTCTTACACTTTTCAGTCTATTTTATTTGAATATATATACCAATGAACAATCGATCCGTTGTTATGGTGATTCATTATTTGAATCGTACATTTTCATTTGTTTCTAATAGAATTTCAGAGTGAGTTAAAGATGAAAATTGAAGAAGTAAAGAGTACTGCTAAAGCACAACGTATATCAGCGCATAGTCATGTTAAAGGACTGGGTTTGGATAGTGAACAACGTGCTATACGTAATGCATGTGGGCTTGTCGGTCAAGAACAAGCACGTGAAGTCTGTTATTTTTTTGTATATTTGTCGTTATGATAAGATTATATTAATATTTTCTAGGCAGCTGGTATTGTTGTTGAATTAATTCGTCGGAAAAAAATGGCTGGTCGAGCTGTTCTATTAGCTGGACCACCAGGCACTGGAAAAAGTATGTTAATATAGAATTTAATAATTCTCATACCATTGAAAACTAAAATACCGACAATGAAAAAAGAAAAGAATAATTAGTATATTACAGATTTAGTACAAGGCAATGTCATCATGTTCTATAGTTAAATAAAGCGAAAAACATCTCAGGCACTGATTTATTTTCATATGAAAACAAAGTAAAAACTAAAGCAATATCCTCTAGTAGATGAATGATTTTGTAATTAAACTTAGTAATATAACAGTTTTTTCTGAATCCTTCTTTCTGATACTAGGAAGATTCTTATTTACTTTCTTTTATTATAAAATCTAATATATCTTTAAATAGCGTAAAGTTTCATAGAAAATGAAATATATATTGTAATCTTGAATTTTTAATTAGCTGCTCTTGCTTTGGCTGTTGCACATGAACTTGGTTCTCGTGTTCCATTTTGTCCAATGGTTGGTAGTGAAGTTTATTCGACCGAAATCAAAAAAACTGAAGTATTAATGGAAAATTTTCGTCGTGCGATTGGTTTACGAATTAAAGAAGTTAAAGAAGTATATGAAGGTGAAATTACAGAAATGACACCAACAGAAACTGAAAGCAGTTATGGTGGTAAGATATTAAATAAAATTTAATTTTTCTGTGAAAGTTAAACGATATTTTGCAGGTTACGGTAAGACTGTAAGTCATGTTGTTATTGGTTTACGAACAGTAAAAGGTGCAAAACAACTTAAACTTGATCCATCAATATATGAAACATTACAAAAAGAAAAAGTAGAAATTGGTGATGTGATATACATTGAAGCAAATTCAGGAGCTGTTAAAGTATATATTTTACAAAAGAAATTAAATCAGTTTTAAATAAGATATACAATCTATTTCTAGAGACAAGGTCGATGCGATGCATATGCTACTGAATATGATCTTGAAACAGAAGAATATGTTCCATTACCAAAAGGTGATGTTCATAAGAAAAAAGAAGTTGTACAAGATGTAACATTACATGATTTGGATGTTGCCAATGCTCGACCACAAGGTGGACAAGATATTATGTCAATAATGGGTTCATTAATAAAACAGAAAAAAACTGAAATAACTGGTAAAAGAAAATCTTATTTCATACTATGAAAATAATAATAATTCATAATTTTAGATAAACTTCGTCGTGAAATAAATAAAGTTGTCAATAAATATATTGATCAAGGTGTTGCCGAACTTGTACCAGGTGTTTTATTTATTGATGAAGTTCATATGTTAGATATTGAATGTTTTACTTATTTACATCGAGCATTAGAAAGTCCACTAGCACCAATTGTAATCTTTGCAACAAATCGTGGACGATGTCTAATACGGTATTTAATTATTGAATTAATTGTCTTTTTATCATTCAATCATGTATTAATTTTTTATTAGAGGTACTGAAATTCTTTCACCACATGGTATGCCACTTGATTTACTCGATCGTATTATGATTATTCGTACTCTTCCTTATGGAATGGAAGATATGATAGAAGTAAAATAGTTTTCTTTTCAAAAATTATTCTCTTTTCTATCTCTATAATTATTTAGATTCTTCGAATACGTGCAAAAGTGGAAGGTATTGATATAACTGATGAATCATTACAAACTCTAGCTGATATTGGAAATGTCTCAACGTTAAGGTGAGAAAAAACTTTGTTAGAAATTTATATAATATAGTTGTTTGCTTTTTCAGATATGCTGTACAATTAATGACACCCGCAAATATTCTTGCTCGTATAAATGGTAAAGAACAAATCGAAAGTGAAGAGATTAATGAAGTACGAGATTTATTTCTTGATGCAAAATCATCAGCACTTTTACTCAAACAAGAAGATAAAAAATATATGAAATAAAATTATGCATGTTTCTTTTTAATGTTAATTCATTTTGTTACACACAATTTAGGCAATGATCTGTTTTTTTTCACGAATAAAATAAAATAATTATTAATAATATCAATAAAGTAAATAATATTCATTTGAATAGAGATATCAGTTACAATACGCCTATACTCTCAGCTATATGATATCTTGTAAAAAAATTCGATAATTTAAACTGTACTTCAGTAATGATTTTTTCGACGCACACAGAATTGAAATTAATTTGCGAAAGAGTAACAAATTTTTATATACTATTACAAGTTTGAATAATTCACAGACGAGATGTTTTTGTCAGTGTTTTTGCTCTTAAAAATAGCAGTTAAATGCGATCTAATCTTAGACTAGCATATCCTAACATTCTATCAGAGGTTACAATGTACTATGGATTAGCTGTCCAATTAAATATAAATCCTAGACAATTCATCTGTTCCAATAGATTATTCTTCGATAGTTTTTATTCTCTAAAGACGTTCGTCTATCGAGAAAGAATGATATTTCGATAGGAAATCTTCGATGTGATAAAAAAACATCATATTCGTTGTGCATTTTACCAATCTATATTGTTCTAAAGATTTGTAGTAATACCGACTGGTTCGACTGTGAACCAACATTCATAGTTTTAAATTCCATTGATAAAGTCAGTTGTTCAATACAAACACACAATCATATAACTTCATAACAAGAAATGATCAGTAGTTTTGCAAGTACACGCTAATTGTTTCAAGACAAAAAAATGAAATCAAAATGAATGTAAATAAATGATTGAAGTCTTATTAATTATTTGATAGGTTTAAATTAATTGGTCATGAAAGACAATCTAATTTTTATAAACGTAGCGATTACAACTATGCATTATCGGTAGTCATATGATATTACTACGAGAATTTTTAAAAAAGGCAGTAAGGAAAAATACTGACAATTTCTTTAACAAAAAGAGCTAGAGATCTTGAGGGTGTGGATGTGGGTGTGGTGGGTGGGTGTCGTTATAAGTTAAAAACAACAATCTGAAGCACACCCACACCCACACCCATTAATAATGATAGTCTTTTGGACAGAAGTATAATATCGACCGTTCTCTCTCTGTTCCGGTGATTGTATTTTAGTTTGATCTTATTTAAATATAATAAAAACGTTTCTTTCATGTATTATTCACTTAGTCATATATAAATCATCAAATAATGGAAGATAAATAGCCAATTAAGACCTAATTAGCATATTCTTAGTGACCTGTTAATTGCTATTCTTTTGATTTGATTTGATAAGATTAAAAGAAAATATGAGAAGTTTCATCTTTATTATCTTCTCTATCACTAATTAAAATGCGTGTAGAACAATGAAGGTTTACATGACAAAACATAAAGAACTAGGAAAATTAGAGAAAACATTGAAGATATGTACCTTGTAAACAGAAATAAAAATGTTGTTATTTATTGTTTATTTTTTGAGTTTATTTCATGGATGTGTTAGAAAATAACTGTAACTGATTAAAAGATTGGGTACAATGATTATCGGTTAAAATCACCGAAGAGTATTGCTTGATAATCATTCATAAGTTCTAATTTAAAATTAATTTTTTGAAAGTATGGATCTTGATTAAACACTTGTTTTGCACAATTCATTTGAGTTTTATCGAAAAATCCGATAAGTAATAAAACTTCAAGTCTATTTATTTGTGGAGAGGAATGTTCGAGCCAATGATGCCATATTCGACTATCAAGGGCCGATTGTGATCAAGCTTCGCACTAAAAAAGATTTAAAATCAGGAATTTAATCAGGATTTTATTAAAAAAATCAGGATTCAAAAAAAATAGCTTCAGAAGAGTTAAGAAGGTTTTCAAATGCTTTATCAAAGCTCATAACAGTAGGGAAAAGCTCAACACGCACGAAAAATGGCATGTATTCTGTTAAAATTTCAATTTTGCTTGAAATTAAGGATTCGCCTCGAAAAAATTAAGGTCATGTTTTAATGAATCTAATTATGCGGGAGAACTAGTATGTTTATGACTACGAAGTGAAGCTAATTATATTCAAAGATATTAGCTTTGATTGATTCCTCTCTAAGTACAAATAATTAAGCAGCTTAAAAGCAAATAACGTTTCATTAATTAACTAATTGGTCATATAATCAATTCTATTAATTATTCTGGGTGACGAAAGTAGACTAATTGAGCTACTACTGTTTGAATAGAAAAATGTTCTCGCAGTTTTCACCTATTTTGGGCAATCACATATTACTACCTAATTATCTCTTTGTCTACTGTGCTATATGACTTTTTTCTATGAGTATGTCCTTTTTAATTTTCACACTTCAGAATTTCTGAGAAAACTATCGAAAAATCCCATTGGTCACTGAGAAAAATGAGAAAAATTTATATTTTGTAACGGTTACTACCGTCGATCATTTTATGTATTCAAACCTTTGATTATAATTCACAGTTACCAGTGATATTCGGCTGATGTTCTTAGCTAACAAAAGCAATTCTTGTTTCCAAATATCTTTTATTGGCATATTCATCATCAAATCACTTTAAAGTATCACGTTCGTATTTTTTATACAGTTCTTTTGAACTTCAACTATCCTTAGAAGTTTTATATTAGAATACATAATATATGATATTTTCCATTCATCTGTAATTATCATTTGACAGTATGATCCAATCGAATATCATTTGAATAAACAAATATATTAAATACGAAGTACCATTTTAGTGTAGAAAAGCGATGAATTGTTAGAATTTGAGAGACATAATAATTCATGAAGGCTATTGTTATTTTACTAAGTTTGATCTATTCAGAATTTCCTTCGCATTTGTAAATGATCCTGTTTTTATTATGGCAAGTTGTATCTGGTGTTCGCTAGTTTTAGTTTTGTCCGTAATATTCACAGTGATGAAAGAATAAATTGTAAATTATGAATTTTATTATCAAATATTCAATAAAAAAGAGTTGGCATAGATTAATAAGATAATCAAATATAACGTGGAGCAGTTTTTAATACATAAATAACTCTTAAATTTCAGTTTATATCATTAACTACAAAATAATATGCGAGTTAAATATATCTGTTAATAAGTATCGTTTGTATATATCTCTGTTATCTCAAGAAATATATTAGAAAATTATATGATTGAATAACGAGATTAACTGTTCAAATATAATATCATCCTCTTCGAGAGATAATGCACTTAAATTAATAAATATATGCTTCATATTCCTCTAATGTGCAGACAGTCATTTTATATAATCAGTCATACCTGACTATAGCATTCTACTTATGTTCGGCTAATTAGAATCATACTCGTCTATAGATCCAATTAATTCAATTAAAATTGTGCGTATTTTGCAAATTTTAGAGATAATTGCACGCATCTTCACTTATAACTATTCATTATTGAAATCAGTGTTCAATAAAAGCCTCACTTTAACTTTTGTTTTACAATTCCTGAATGCCTACCAACTGACCTTTTTAGTATTGAATTTTGGTGAAAGATCTGATCTAAACATGAAGTGAACTATGTGAATACTCGCAATATATAGACCCATATCGTATTCTAAACATTTGATAAATAAGGAGATCTGATTCTTGATTAATAAATAATCAAGACACGATATTACATGTATTCATAGTTTCAGTGCATTGCTATTGTTCTATTTAAAAAACATGTTTACTATCTTGAGCGTCGGTACATGACTCTAGCCGAAGAATAAAAATAACGAATAAATAACTAGGAGCTAAAGGTGCTGTGGAAAGAGTGAAAGTTCTATTGACATTTATAATTTATCTATCTTCCGAATAAGTAGATGAATTGTATTAGTATCTTATTCCAGCCATAGCAAAAATATCAAAAATATAGATTGCAATGACTATACGACCGTAGCAGTGGCACTAAGAGAAATTTTCTGCATCGACAAGCTGTCACCTACTAGCATTTTCAGTTTCGACATTCATATCTGTTTATTTTCGATATTTCGTGTTTTAATTAGAATACAAAGAATCAAGATTAGCATTTTTGATCTTTTAATTAGTTTGGAATTACAAATCTTTGATGAATACATCTTACTTTTAATTAATGTGAAGCTGATAATTGATCACAGGCAAAAAAGCATTCTTTATATTATCGTCTTACCCTCGGAAGCATCATCGAGCATAATTGATTTAGAATTAAATAGTATGATAATTAAGAGCACATAAGAACGTGCCAGCAGTAAATATATTAGCATTATTCACGGTATTTAGATCAAAACAGAAAAGAAACTTTCTTTTGATAATAAGATCAATATAATTAGTAAATCACGCTTTTTTGTACAAGTTCTATTATATAATACTGACCGAGTCAAACCAATGATATTTAATAAAACGAACTAGATTATTTCTTCTCCTAAATATCAAAAATACCTTTTCACAGATTAATTTGTTAAGAAAATGACTAGAAATTAAGATCACTCAGACTCTACAATGAAAATCAGGATATTCTGTAAAAATCAGGAAATCAGGACGTCTGCGATGTATGATGATAAACTATTGTTAACATTGATAAGACGACATTGACGTAATGAATATCTAGATACATCGATTATAAACAAGATCATTACATCAATATCGATATGTTTACAATCTAAATCAATTGTATACAGACGGTTAAATATTCCTAAATTTGTTTTGGTTCTATGTGGATAATAAGTGTTGCTTGATTTCAATGACTGTAAATCTGGCATATTATTTAATAAAAATTCATAATTAATAAAGCAACGTTGACTATTAAAGACTAGATGCTTAATTGTTGATGGTTTAACTAAGGTTTCATTACAATCATGAAAATGTAAAAATGTTGAATTAAATTCCAGACGTTTAATATTATCTAAGATTAAGGCTTTTTTAAATATTTTGTGTCGATCTTTACTTCGAACATAAATTGTTAAATATTTTAAATCTTTCGGAAAATTATCAGGCCAATTAAGCTCAGTTACATTATGTAACACAAGAAAATGTACTTGATTAAATTCACCGAGATTCACAGGAGCCATTTGATACATGTTTTGGATGCGTACTGATATAACATTATTTCTTTCAATATTTGGCATAATGTGTTTCCGGAAATGAGAATCGACATGTCGTACATGTAATTGTACATTTCCATTTTTAAGTAATAATGGAAAATAATGTATTGTATCATTAAATGCATTAAACAATTCATCAACATAAAAGTATTGAAATAGTTCAAGTAAAATATCCGTACATAAAATATTGCTGATATTTCTATATTCAGTCATAGATCTTTTATAAACCTAATGAAGAATATTTTATCTAGATTATAATCTAAACTAAAATTAAGTAAAATGTGATATATATATAGATTAATGAATACAGTTATAGTGCAAAACTAGTTATTTGATATATATATAAATGACTAGACACATGTGTATAGTCAGTCGAAAATAGAAGGACAAACGAAATAATAGTTATCGATGTTTAGAGGTCAAGAGTACTTGAATTTAAATAGTGCATCAGTTGTTTATACAATAATTTATATTACGACGCTATCTATCAAAAAGAATAGAATGCAAGACAAAGCGAAGGAGAATATCTTCTAGAATAATCTTAGTAACTATCCAGATACATAACATGAACAAATATTATGTACATGGTCACTTTTCATTAAGAACAAATAAAACCGTCAGCATTATAATCTTCTCTTTTAAAATAAATATTATTATTAAATAATAACATTTGCTTTTCATGATAAATCAAGAGAGACATTTATGCCTTTTCTTTCCAAAAAGATTCTTACTAAAATCATACTTCGCAAACATTTTATACCTTATTTCACTTGTGAAAACGTTCGACTAATACGATAGTTTTGAAAGGTTATTTTATGGATTCTGGAATACTTTAATGTTAGAAAACTATTCAGAAGAGTACAACAAAGGTCTACTTCATAATATAGCTATTCTAGAGAATAAATACTGATTAAACTAATTTTTCAATCTTAAAAGATGATTAAAGAGCATCGATTTGATTATAGAACCATTATTCATTATTTTTTCTCAAAATTTAAATTGTTTTCAGTTTGTGCGGATGCATTTGTCAAGTTTTTTTCGTGTATTAGATACCCTCTTATTATGAACAGTCAATTTCAACAGAGCCTTTCTTGTTGAAAATGTATTTTGAATGGTGAACACATTTACGCATTTTTTTTTATTCCAGGCTTTGCACTTTAAACATATATATGCACTTCTTATATATATGTACGCACTTTTAACATATTATGGTGTACTTTTAACCCCGTTTAGCTCTTCATCCTTTATTTTCTTATATATCACATGCAAGTATACATGTGTGAACCGGCTACTATACATATGAAGAAAAGAATGATATCATATACTATGATATCATTCTTTGTAAAGAAAAAAATATTTTGATAAATTAGAACGAACAATAATTAGTATTTACTGAAACTAAATAGTAAAAAGGCAAAGAACATAGTTTTGTACTATAAATGATGTTTGGTCTTTATGAGTTACTTCCTTCTATGGCCGAAGTCAAGGATCAGATAAAAACAAACTTCCACTAAATACTTGTGTCAGTTTTATTTCGAAATTATTATTCATATGTCTGTGTCATTTAAAACATAAAAATATTGATATTATTTGTATGACGACGTAACGTTACGCCTCTCACCTTTTATTTTGCGGGTATATTCTAAGTTCACATATAGAAGTGCAAGAAGTCATACAGCATTAGTATGATAGGAATGGTGAAATGTAAATAGAAACTATATTTTTTCATCGTTTTTTTAAATGAGCCGTTCATGTTTTCAACAATCCATTCGTGACAGAAAATATTGAGTTTATCAACGCATGACTTCGCTAGAGGGATTAAGAATGACGAAGAAAACAAATCCTCTAATAAATATAGCAGAAAAGAATATTTTAACGTTTCTTTCAACTAACAAGGGAATATATACGCTTTTTTTGTTTTCCCTTTAGCTGTTATTTTGATCTGAAGAAACACATCGTCTAATTTACACTTTTTCCAGTATCGTACAGTATACCTATAAATATATATAATATTAAATTTGTTTCATACAATTCTATTTAATTGGAAAAGATTGTGAACGTACTATTAGAAGTATTACTCTCTCAAAGTCATACTTTTGATGACTAATATTCACGCAAATAAATGTCTGACTCATATTTTATTGATTTTCATAACTGGCACGTTAGATTTTAGTCAACAAATACCAAACATCTGTTATGGTATAATCAACCGTTTGATTACCTTGAAATTATAATAAAAACAGCTCAAAGTATAACTGCAGAAATAAAAACATAAAAACCGTCCTTGATATTGTTTTTTCTCTTTTTTTTTATCCTATGCCTTTCCTTTTCTTTCGTACTCTAGAAAATAAGATACTGTTCAAAATGAACGATGCCTTCTAATTGTCGTCGAGTATGTTTGACGTATGACAAAATTAATGGCGAGACACTCAAGCTTTGTCATGGCAACTTATATCTGAGTATATATGCTCGTAGCGAACCCGGCAGATGTTGATTTGCGCTGATGGTGTGAAGCAAGAAAAAGGAGGGAACAAAGGAAAAAAAAATTTTTGAGCTAGTGTCATTACATGACATGAAACATTGTCACTCTCTCTGTAGTTTGTTGATTATATCAGGTAGAAGGAAGCTATAGAACGAGAATAGCAAAAGAGAAGAGAACGAGAAAAAAAAGAACAGTATTGATAATTATGAAAAAAGCGAACTGACGATGGTCACAAGCCAAAACCATGTTTTTTTCCTGAATCATACTTTGTGCGTACTTATACCTTTCGAACGTTTGCTTCTGCTTTCTTATATATTCTACGGCGTTGTATGCTATAAATTAATCGTACAGACTGAAATATAACTCTTTAGTGAATCACAAGAAACACATACTACCGTTTTACTTTTTTAACGAAAATATTTATATTTTGTAAGTGATGATGTTTTTTAACTTTATACAAGAATAGATTAAGAAAAAGGATTGGACTGTAAGTCGGTACATATAAAAATAACGTTCGATGGGTAATACTCAAAGTACTATCTGTCAAGTTATAAATGACGAAAATATGATTTATTGAGCAGTATTATAATGAAAAACAGAAAAGAGCTCATGTCAGAATCATATCATAGTCGTTTACATATATATTTTTTTCTATGAGAAAAAAACATACGCAGAACAGAATAATAACAAAAATAATCAAAACCATACTATTCTAGATGAGCAAAAAACCCATAACCAAGATATAATTTACTAGTTTCTTCTCGAACTTTTTTTTCTTCTCTATTCTATTCTTTTGTTTATCCTCTTACAAAAGTTTGATCAATATTACACCTTTGACTACAATAATAATAACAACAACAATAATACATATTCGATAAATTTTTTTTGTCATATGTTTTGTATAACAGCAAGCATGCTTAGTAACAAACAACATTCTCGTTTTTTTTCTTTTATGTAAAAATTCATTATCAAATACATTTGAATAAGTATATATATATATATCGTATTAAAACAGTTGAGTTTATCCTCTATAACTACGACATTTATATTCATATGTATATATATATATATATATATGCATGTATACGTATAAAACGCATCCCGTTCCAGTTCATTGAGCACGTATATGTTGAATATATAATGCAGTAGGAGTAAATGCATTGTACGACACATGGTAGTGTGATTTTCGTCTTTTTTTTCTCCTCTCTAAAACATTTATTTAATAGTGTATTGAGAAAGATAGGCAAGTCTAAAACAAATAAAAATCTATGACCTTAACATGAGTCATCGAAATACAGTTCAATGAAATAATATTTCTAACATTTCAGATCTATCATGGGTGCTAGACTTACACGCTCCGATTTTCAGTGGGTATATACCGATGAACCACATACAACACGTCGAAAAGAAATGCTACGTATGTTAATATATATTTTTAAGTACGAAAATCTAATTTTTTTTCTTATTATATTAGAAAAATATCCACAAATTAAACAGTTAATGGGCCATGATTGGCGTATTGCTATTCAAGTTGTTGTTACTGTTTTAATACAAATCACAATGGCTATTCTAGTACGAGATCTACCATGGAAATTTGTATGGCTTCTTACCTATATTATTAGTGGTACACTTAATCATTCACTTTCAATCAGTTTCCATGAAAGTATGAAATAAAAATTCTATAAAAAATTAAAACAAAATCATGTATAATCTATTGTTTTTCTTTTATAAATTTCAGTCGGTCATAATTTAGCCTTTGGAAATCATAGACCGATAGCAAATCGAATTCTTGGTTATATAGCTAATCTTCCATTATGTATTCCATCATCAGTTACATTTAAAAAATATCATATTGATCATCATAAGTAAATTGAAAGAATTATTTTAATAGGAAAATAATTTGTTTTATTTAGATTTCAAGGTGATGATATGCTGGATCCAGATCTACCAACTTATTTTGAAGCATGGTTATTTCAATCACGTATTGGCAAAGTTGTTTATATTGCTGCTCAACCATTGCTTTATAGCGTTCGACCATTGTTACGTGTACCAAAACCTGTTACATTACTTGAAGTGATTAATCTTGTTATTGAACTTGCTTTTGATGCTACTATAATGTACTTCTTGGGACGAAAATCGTTTGTTTACCTATTTTTTGGAACAGCACTTGGCCTTGGTCTTCATCCTATTTCAGGACATTTTCTATCTGGTTAGATAAAAAGAATATATATTTTAATTCTAACTATTCTTATTTTCTTTCATTTAGAACATTATATATTTGTTGACGGTTTTGAAACTTATTCTTATTATGGTCCATTCAATTATATAACTTATAATGTTGGTTATCATAATGAACGTAAGAGCTTTCCTCTTTATTTCTTTACATGAATATAATTTATGATTCTGTTTAGATCATGATTTTCCAAATATTCCAGGTTATTTATTACCAAAAGTAAGATTATATATATATTCAATAGAATAATATTTATTCATTTTATTGTATTTTTTTAGTTGAAAAAAATTGCACCGGATTATTATGATAATTTACCGTGTCATCATTCATGGATTAAAGTTATATTTGATTTTATTTTTGATCCAAAATTAGGACCAAAAGCCCGTATACGTCGTTCAATGCGTTCGGATGCATTAAAAGCAAATAATGCAATTGATTTAAAAAGCAAATCAAAAGTAAATGAAGTTTTACATGATAATTTCGATAATAATAATAATAACACACACTTATCAAAAGAAGAAAGAAAATTACTTCATAAGAAAAAATCGTCGGGTAAATCAAATGAAGTATCATCATTAGAAGTAACGAATGGAGATCATTCGAAAATGGAATGAAAGAATCAACTAGAACCATAAATTATGCGTGTGTGTATTTTTCATGTTGTTTTTCACTTCTTTTTACTTTTGACACCGTGTTTTTCTTTTGCTATCTATGATGAAATCTCCGAGATTATGTTTTCTATGTAAAGGACAAATATTTATTAGGAAAAAAACAAATCAAAAATCATGTTCATATTAATACATCCGTTTGACAAGTTCTATTAACTTTATACCAAAGAAAATATGTAGTTTCAAGTAAATGTTAGGATTTATTAATTTTGTTAATAACACTCGTTCTTTGTATAGAATTACAAATTTATTTTTTTATAAACCAGTAAAAAAAAGCATGTTATTTATCCTTCGCAAATTAACACCATTGTTAGTGACTTGAACGGAACCAAAAAAAAAACAACATTTGTCCTTTGCATATGAGATCATACTTTTAATCTTTGAGATATCTGAAGCAAAATTAATAATGCTCAAAAAACAAATTAACTCTGTAGATTTGTGTTATCCATGTTTTCTCTCATCTCCTCCGTCCGTAAGTTCATGTATGCTATCTCTTCGTTTTCTTCTCTTGCTTCAACTTCATCTGTTTTTCTGTTCATCAATGAAAAACGACGCTTAATAATTCATTCTTTTTCTTCTTTTTGTTTTATGAGTATAGAGCTTTTATTTATGTTCTTTTGTTTTCCTTCTCTTAAAGTAAAATTAGAACATGATGAAATATGGAAGACACATCGCACATACATATATAGTATTTGAAAGCGCGCCATAAGCAATAAACAAAATAAAGACAATAAAATAGCGTACAAGTACAATATAGATAAACAAATGATAATGAAAACAATATTTTTTTTTTCAATGAAAATATAGAGATGTTATGAGTACTAGAGATGAAAGAATAAAACAAGCAAACAAACAAGAACAAGAATCTGACACAACGCTATTATTAGTAACAAAAGAAAGAATCACCGATGTTATTAGTTGAATTTTAATAGAATCTTTATGCCGGGATTAAAATAAAGAAGTATTCTCTTTTATCTTTTGCTTACTAAAATTCTCTTAACTATCCTTTGAAAAATAAAGTAACATTGAATTATTAAAAATATCATTTTTTACTCTTGTTTATGAGCTTGGCAAACAGTACTTTTTAACTGTTGTTCGTATTCTTGTTGAGTTGGTACTGAAACACGTCCAACTTTGGTTGGTCGAGTGACCCGTGACCAAGGCCCAACATTATCATTCATTACAAAATCATAAAGTACCTTGACCCAACTAAAAAAAAATGAATTACATGTATAAATATAAATTTGAATATTTGAAGGTTTTTCAAAAATGATAGTAATTGTTTTTTTTGTAATATTTTCAAATTAGACATGAGTATCTCATCACTAACAAAGATATTTTATTAGATATGACTTGATAATGTTGTGATCTCGTTTAACTTGTATTATTTTATTTGATAAATTACTTCCTGAGTAAGTATAAATCATCTCATGAAGTCCCTTAAAAAAGTGATAATATCTACCTTGTATATTGTGGTAAATGATCATAATATTCTGGAGCAATTTTGCGTACTTTTGGTAAATTTCTACCAGGTATATATGGAAAATCATGATCTAAACAATATATAAAAAAACCATGCATATAAACATATATATATATGTCAAGAATCTTACGTTCATTATGATAACCAACATTGTATGTAATAGCATTCAATGGTCCATAATAAGAATATGTTTCATGTCCTTCTTTAAAAACATAATGTTCAGCAATAAAATGTCCAGAAATAGGATGTAATGACAATCCAAGTGCAGTACTGAATAGAAAGTATAGTAATGTTTTTCCACCAAAATAATAAAACATTACACCATCAAATGTAAATGCAATGATTAAGTTAAGTATTTCTAATAAATGTATTGCTTTTGGGAAAACAAACATTGGTCGAAATGAATAAAGAAATGGCATTATAATTAAAAATATTAATTTACCAATACGAGATGAAAATAAAAAAACTTCTAAACGTGTTGGAACATCTGTATCATAGACTGTATCACCTTGAAATCTTTTTTTGTTGAAAAGAAACAAATTCAATTTAAATATAAAGAAAATAAAAAGATGGATTTTTACCGATGATGATCAAGATGATATTTTTTAAGCGTTATCGATGCTGGTACACCTAATGGTAAATTAGCAAAAAAACCCAACAAACGATTACACATCGGTCGTGAATGACCAAATGCTAAATTATGTGTTAATTCATGTAATGCTAATGATAAGGTATGATTTATTGTTCCACCAATAACGTATGCAAATAAAATTAATTTTAACCATGAAGCTTCTCGTAGAAGTATTGCAACACTAATTTGTATAATAACAGATATAGTTACTTGAATTGACATACGCCAATCATGACCCATTAGTTGTTTTATCTCGGGATATTTTTCTAAATAAAAATTAAAAATTAAGTTAAATTTTATTTCTATTTTGATATTTATTTACTAAGTATTTCCTTTCGACGCGTTGCATGGGGTTCATCAGTATATGCATGATAAAATTCATGTGTTGTTATATATTGACCCATTCTTATTTCAATCTAGAATTAAAAAGAAGAAATTTACTTGAGACTTTGTGATTATATTAATCTATTGAATGTTTTTTTTCTTTGATATTTTAAAGAATGTAATCCTTTCTTTTCGTCGATTGTATGAGTACATCTAGTATTAGAATGCAATAGATTCTTTTCTTTTATATCGATATCCATTCGTCGACTATCTTCATGAAGAATGAGCTACGTCAGAGACATCACGATGACGCATCTGGAAAAAGGCACAAAGAAATGTTTTTATTGGCTTCGTTGAGAGAAGAGGATAAAATATTGCTTTATTGATGATGCAGTTCTGTTGTTTTATGTCGTGATGTATTATATTAAACATCAATCAGTAAATCGCTAAAAGAAAAATAAAGGTAGAAAAACAAAAATTATTTTGAAAGAAGAAAAATAATAATTTTAATGAATAATATATAGAAACTAATATAAATAGAAGTAAAATAGAGGTTTTAATAATTTTATTGATTCAATAAACATGACACTTAGAATAATTTAATCCTTGAGAGAAGTATAAAATATTTGAGTAAATCTAAATTAATCTTTTAAATTTATATTACAGTTTCTATAATGTCTAATGAGAGATCTTTAATCTAATTATTTCATAGAGGAAGTCGAGGTTATTAAAAAAAACAAAATATTTCTATAATCTAGTTTCGTGTAAAATAAAAACTTATGGGATTAAAAAGAATAAGAAGACTTTTAAAAATCTTTTCTATTCAAATTTCTATAAGTAGTTGTTAGAATAATACTCATAATCTTGACTATTTAATTAATTGAAATACTCAATTAAATCTGGCATGAGCAATAATAAAAAAGTGCAAAAGATACTCAAAATATATCAAGTATCCCTCAACATAGATACTTGAACTGAGTATGTTAAAAAAATACTTAAATAAAAAGAAACATCAAAAATTTTTTCATATCTTTTCTATTTGCAATATTATTCTTTCAATTATTACAGCTGTTACAAATGATCTTTCCACATCATTACCATGCGTACAATATATAAGAAAAACGCCTACTATCAAAATCTATTCATGACTACCTTCGGAACATGGAATAGTGATCGATGAATAAAAATCTATTGGATTAAAATATATAGACAAACCTGAAAATGGCAATAACTTATATTTGGTAAGTTTTTGTTACAGATAATTTACCATTCTGTTTAGATTAAAATACAAAATGAATATTTATTAAAGAAAATGATTTTGATTTTTTTTTACCTTTTTCTAAATAATAAACATCATGTTCTAAAAAAGAATGATTTTATATACTTCTGAAATATGGGGTGATGTTTTATGGTGTCTAGGAAATATATTACGCATTTTTAGAGGAGAGAAAATAAAGTAGAGATTTTTCTGTAGATATCAGAAGTCAAATATTGTTTTTTGAGGTGTTAATGATGTATTTTATAATTATAAAACAAGTTTGTTTATGATAGGAGTATTTATCTGTATTCGTATCATTGAAAAGCGTAAAAAATATCAGGGCATTTGAAAAAAAAACTTTATTTTGTATACTTTCTGCTTTCCTGGAGGGGTTCAACTCTACCTTGGAAAAAAATAATGTTGTATATTTTTATAGAGGAAAGAAATATTTAATATAGAAAGTGGTAACTTGTCTAGTCAGAAGATTTATTTTAAGGAGAAGAAAAAAATAAAGCAGATATTATCTTAATTATATTTACAATGTAATAAATTAAAATCTATATTGAAATAAGTATATCTAATCTATAGATATTTCAAGTGGTGTCTAATCCCATTCATTTAAGACTTTACAGATAATATGTCATATATTCGTCATACTGAATTGTTTAGACAAAATCAAATTTTCAGGATCCCGAATGTTGCACACGAGATAAAAAATTCATATATATGGTCGGTAAGATAATAAAAGGTCAATTAAGTAAGCAGCTCAACTAGTTTTAATTGAAATACTCATAAGCTCATTAGTTAGATTCAAAATAATTTTTTGATCATCTTTAAATGTCTTTGTCATATATATGTTATGGTTGCTCCCATATATTTCGATTTTTATTCTGTGTCGAGCTATATAATATGAAATTTTATTTCGTGCACAGATCAGTTGTGCGCAAGTTACTTGTGCGTATCTTACGGTGAACAAGGCTCGCCGTACGCAATATCTGTACATCTTAAATTTTCATTCGCTGTAATTTATTCATGTATGTAACACCTACGCTAATAATAATTAGTGTTAATTCTATATACATATGTTAATTTCAAAATGAATTTTTTACATATCAAGTCATTAAATATTTTCTTTTGCTAGTTATGTTTATAAAAAATCTTAAAAACTACGTATATTATGTTCATGTCAATTGATCAATAGCAGTAGTTAAAATGAATGAAAGAGTTCTTATGGCAATAGTTTTATTACAATACAAAGAATAAAACAGATACAACATGAATTGATGAGAGTTTCAAATTTATTGCCAGTCAACATGTAATATCATCGTTCCTTAATCTGCTGTAAGTTTATTTTTGCTGAAACATGATTATTTTTTTTATTCTGAATTTTATAGGTAATTCAATAGAAAATTGAAGGCTTTTATGGAGTTTATCCAATATACTGATTTAAGTATTAATTATATATTTATGGTTTTTTTGTTATTATATATATATTTATATCAAACTCAAACATTTTGTCTTATATATTTTAATTTTTTATCATTTATGTATCACTTCCATTATGTTCTTTTCTTCATTATTGCTAAAATAAAAACAAGATATTTCTTCAAAATCAAGTCTTAGGTTTTTTTCACGCGTAAATCAGGAAATATTTTTTGTACTTCCACTAGACTAATCTTAAATATAAATTTTACAAGCTCTTCATTGCTTAGTAAATACTAGTTCGATCTAATTTTCTATATTTATTTCATTTTGTATAACTCTTTTAAAATGTAAACGGAATTAGAGTATTCTAGATGGATTAGTAGCATAATCGAGTAAATTTTAAGATTTAATAGAAATAATTGCGCTACATGTAATCTGAAGATATAGAACATAATTCTATATAAATATTGATGAACATGTATTAAAACGTTAACGATCTTATTATATATATAATGTTAAATCGGCTCTTTTTTTTGTAATTCTTATCATTTTTGATTTTTTTTGGAAGAAAATACCAGAATACACAAGTGGTGAGATAAGGTAAAAGTATGACCTTACGTAGAGAAGAGGTACATGTCTGTTATATCAATATTTATTCTAAAAAAAGTAAGTTTCTTTGCCTAATAAATACTATGACATATCTGGTATTGAGCTATTTCATTATTTACTGAGAATAAATTTAATTCGAGAGAATATATTTTATAGAGATGTTTCAATTATTAATTAAATATACTTTGAATATTAATCGATTCAATAGACATCGTTAAAAAGAAAACAAAAGTAAATACATCTAATTATTTGAATGTATAAGACTTATTATTGATTTATAGACGTATACGCTTTCATTTTATTGAGTTTTTATTTCGTATAAAATCAAGTTTTACAATAAACTCAATGGTGTTACTACTTCTCTTTTCTATTCTCTTTGTACTTAAATGTCAATAGCCGATAAATAATTATTTCGATCGTATTTTATGAGAGAAAAGTAATGACTATTTCGGTATTGTATGTACTGACCGTATAATAAGATTTCTATAATATTACATGCTCTCGACTCTCTGCTGCGCCTAAAGATTTTTTTTCTTGCGTGTTTAGTGATGACGATGAATCGTATATTTGGCGTGCATACAAAAAAAGAGGAAGGAGAACATGTGAGATGTTTTAACCACTGTTGTTTTATTGTTTTTTTTTCGTTACACATCTTTTCATTTAATAGAATGAAGGCGAAAGAATCGTAGGTTCATGCAATCCTTTTTTTCATAATGAATAAGACATACATTTCGAAACCTTAATGTATTAAAGCAATCCTTTCTTTTCGTTTTTTAGCCGTTACTAACGACGATAAGAATATTAACAAAGATTATTAAAAGTGGTGAGTATTTGGTTTAAAATAAAAATGAAAATATATTTTTAATATTATTTATAGGATTAAAATTGTTTTATATACAAAAATGAAAGCAATGAGTGGTAAAATAGCTGGTGAAAGTGATAACAATTTATCTAGTGCATTGCACAGTTTCTCTGATCTTCATGTCCGTTTTTCATCAAATAACGACGAAGAATTTGCATTACTTTCTGATAATGGTAATAAAAAAGTTAAAAAATTGACAAAGCGTAAATCAATTTTAAAATCTGAACTTGAGCGACAAGAATCAGTAACAAGTCGAAAAATTGATCAATTTCAAGTAACATATTGCATTTATTGATGAAATTTGCTTATTTTATTGATTATCTATAGGCAGCACGAAATGGAAATTTAGAACATTTAAAAGCTTTATTTAAAGACAATATGTCAAATTTAAAAATATTTTTTAGTCGGCGTGATCCGGAAACGAAATTAACAGCATTACATTATGCTGCACGTTTTCATCATTTAAATATATGTCAATTTCTTATTGAACAATGTCATGTTGAAATTAATAAAGCAGGTGAAGATGGTATGACACCACTTCATTATATTGCTCGATTTCGAGTTGAAAAAGATAGTCAAGTAATCTTTGTTTTTTTTTCTTTACTTTAACTACTTATTGATTTAGGCTGATATCTATGAAAAAATTGTTCGATATTTAATTCATGCTCGTGCTGATATAAATGCACGAGATGATTTTCTTGCTACGTAAGTTGTAATTAGTTTTTGATTTATTCTTGAAAGAATTTTCATAAGCAGAAGACACAAATATAGAGTCGATATATTATATTTCAATGAAGGTGATATTTTGAAAAAACTCAATATACTTGAATTATTCGATTTCAAATAATAGAAATTTGATCTGTATAAATAATATTACTCATAATCTCAACATATATTTTAGGATTAAGAGAAGTTTGTAAGGAAGAATTCGATGTAAATTTTAAAAGAAAAATAAGTTTAAAAATGAAAATACAAATATCAACGTACATTATATAATTGTAATATTATTATATATCTTTGTTTATAGACCTTTACATCATGCATGTGAACGTAATAATGTCTTATGTGCAAAAATACTTCTATCAGCAAATGCTAACATTGAAGTTCGTATTTATTCATTATTTTCTTCTATTACATTTATATTTTTCAGGCAAAGGATCGTCAAGGAATGCAGCCATTACATGGTGCTTGTTTTTATGGTAGTGCTGATACTGCACGTGTATTAATTGAACATGGTGCTGATGTATTAGCAGCTGATCAAACAGGTGCAATTCCATTTGCACATGCTTGTAAAAATTCTCATTATAATATTTTCGAAATGTTTTTTACAATATTTAATGAACATGAAAACTTCGATGATGTTATTAAAGCCGTTGATACCGAAAAGAATACACTTTTACATTTGGCTGTTATATCAGCTAATTTTCCAATAGTTGAATTACTTCTTTCAAAAAATGCTGAGCTATCAGCTAAACGTGAAGATGGGCAAACTCCGATACATTTATGTGCAAAAAATGATTCAGTTGAAATCCTAGAAAAATTAGTTGATGCTGGAGGTAATATTAATGATGTTGATAATGAAAATGAAACTATTTTACATAAAGCAGCTGCACATAATAAAGAAAATGTTTTAGCATATGCATTATCAAAACAAGTAAAATGAATTTTTCTGCTAATTATTTATGTTGAAAATATTTCCATTTTAGAAAGATACAGATTTTATTGTAAAAAAGCATAATAAAGGTGAAACAGCTCTACTTTTAGCTGCTAAATTTGGTCATGTAAGATGTGTTAAACTTCTATTAGAAGCTGGTGCTGATATGTTTAATGATCGTGATAAAGTTGAACGGGGTCCTGTTTATTTAGCATCGATGGGTAATCATATTGAAACACTCCAAGTACTTTTATATCATGCAAGTGAACACGTTGATAAAGATAAAGAACAATTAGCTGTCAATGAAATCGATCGATATAGTCGAACTGGTTTACATGCAGCTGCTGACTCGGGTCATGTTGATATTGTTAAAGAATTATTGAGAAAAGGTGCTTCGTTAACAATGAAAGATGATGATGAATATACAGCATTAATGTTATGTTGTAAAAGAAATCGTTTAGATGTTTTAAAAGTTTTTATTGAACATATTAATGATCATTATAAAACAGCTCGAGATAGACTTAACATATTAGAAGAACGCGATGATGGATCAAATACAGGTAATTTTAGAAAATGTATAGGAATATTTTTGCAATAAAGAATACTTTTCTCCTTAACAAATCACACGTACTCAATAAATAGTTCCAAATTTCTAAGCGATAACTTTTTTTTTCTTTTAGCACTTCATATTGCTGCATCGGAAGGTCATTCCGCCATTATAAAACTTTTACTTGCACAAAATTGCGATTTACAAGCACGTAATATGATATCTTGGTTACCAATACATTGTGCTGCTGACCGCGGTCGATATAATAGTGTTCTAACATTAATTGAAAATCATAGTCCTATTGATCCAGTTGATAAAAATCTACAGACACCTCTACATTTAGCTTCACGTAGTGGACACCCTGATATAGTTAAAATTTTATTAAAGAATGGTGCTGAAATTGATAAACGTACAACAAGTAATGATAATTGTCTTGATTTAGCTATTGGTTCTAATCAGAATAGTGTTGCTGAAACGTTAGTTAATAATCCTAAATGGGAATTAATTTTACGTAATGCTCATTATGATAAACAAACAGATCGTTGGGATACACCATTAAGAAAATTAATACGACAAATGCCTGATGTTGCATTAATTGTATTGAATAAATGTTGTACAGTACTTGGAACAAATAAAGTTGACCAAACATTATCAACTAAGAATGATGAACAAGAAAAGAAAAAGAAAAAGAAAAAACAACGAAAACAATTAACTGCAGAAGATATTCTTGAATTAGAAGAACAATTAAATAATAAAAATGCTGATACAAGTGGTTTAACAAAAGATGATACACAATTTCATAAATTAACATTTGTTTATTCATATGAATTTCTTGATGATCAATTTCTTCTTACCTATTGGGCAGATAAAAAAAGTAAGTTATAAGTATTCATACTCATGAAGATCAATACGTAGATAACTAATTCATTAGTAGAATAAATTGGAGAGATGGGTACTGAAGAATATAATAGAACAGTTCTTTCACGATAGAAATTACACGAAAAATAATAATAGTTTTTCAAAAAAGACATAGTACATATTCTTTAAAGTCGTACTCTTCAACTCCATATATTATTATAAATAATAGTTATTCAACAAGTATTATCTATATATTGTCCGACTCTATAGACATCATAGAAAACTAAATCTACAAGGTACACCGACAGTTGAGTTCACCCCCCCCCCTCCCTATATAAAGAAGAAATTAGAGAGTACAAGAAAGTAATTTTACTTCACCAGAATAACATTAACATCAAAAATTAAACAGAACGTGTACACTTTTAAAATCTATTCCTCTTGTAATCAAATGAAAAGAAGATAATAGAGAGGATGTGAGTGTTTTGGAGGATTTTACAACTAACATTTTGTACTAATAATAATAACAGATAAGTACACAAGCAATTGTGTCGATTACATAGATAAACGAAATATATTTCGAAAAGTTATTTGTTTTACTAAAGATGACTGATTGAACCAAAGAAGGCTATTCTAGCTGGCCATTAGTATCATCGAAAGATTTCGCATAACTGTGTGCTTCACTTTAAAATTCATCCAATAAATCACATACGAATTTTTTGTGTTCTCTATTATCTTCTTTATACGGATACTGAATTGTCGGGAAGCTTAATTGTCCGGTCACCCTCATATCCATATCTCTCCATAATAGTCAGCAAAACATCAGGTATTACAGAAGATCTATTTAGTTATATTATCATGTAACATACATGATTCGATCATGTTTATTATATATGTATACATATAAAAGTAAAACAAATAATTCAGAGCTGGAACCGATCCGGCAATCCGGTTCCGGTCCGGCCGGATCGGACAAGACCGGACGAAAAATCTATCCGGCCCGGACAAAATCGGACAAACCGGACGAAAAATCTAACCGGACCAGACAAAACCGGATTTTTGCCGGATTGAGGTCAAAAGTAGTCCGGCCGGACCGGACCGGACAAATTTTCAAACTGGCCGGACCTGTGCGGATGAAAAAAATCCGTCCGGTTCCAACTCTGAAATAATTCATTGCGATCCAGTTGTTTATTGAAGAGGTAATATTTAATTTTTATTTTTGTTGTTATTTTACAATTCCAATATTATTTATGCATTTGTTAGAAGAAATCATTAGTAATTTAATTCTGATTTACATCTACATATTATATTATAATTATTATAAAATCAAATGTCCGTACTCACGAACGAGTCTCCTAAACATATTCTACCAAGACATAGCTAATATCTATGATATTTTGATAAGTCAATTTATTTTCTAGGTGAAAAAACTTTCGAACCAGATGGTCGATTATATCCATATATGTTTACTGAACAACCAAAAGATCGTAAAAATATACAATTAGATCATCCTTTTACATTAATGGTTGAATATAATCGTGAATATTTACTTGATCATCCTTTAGTACATTCTCTACTTGATTATAAATGGAAATTATATGCACGTTATGTATATTATATTAATTTTTTATTTTATCTATTATTTGTTGCATCATTAACAACATATGTATTTCTTACTTTTGCTCCCTATCGTTTTAATATAACACATGATCAAATGTCGGAATTTTCATGTTATGAATTATGTTCCATCGTAAAAACTAATCATACAGAAGAACTTGAAACTTTAAAACCACGTATACAAGTCATACATGTATTTAAATGGCTTGTTATTGTTTTGGCATCAATTCAAATTGTTAAAGAAATATTTCAAATGGCATCTGAACTTTTAGATTATATTAATTTAGAAAATGCCGTCGAATTATCAGCATTTATTCTTGCAATTATATTTACAGTTGATTTAAATTCATGTTCAAGAGAAATTGGTTATCGATGTGTTGTACAATGGCAAATAGGTGCTTTAGGAGTATTTTTAACATGGTTTGCATTAGTTTTATTTATACAAAAATTTCCAAGATTTGGAATCTATGTTGTTATGTTAACAGATATTTTACATACATTTTCAAGATTTTTTCTTGTTTTCTTCTTATTTATTATTGGTTTTGCATTAGCTTTTCATATGTTATTACAAAATCATAATCCATTTCAACATTTTGGAAATAGTCTACTGAAAACTTGTGTTATGATGATTGGAGAATTTGAATATGAAGGTTAGCATTTCTCTTTATCTACATTTATCATTGAAAAGAATGAGTTAAATTGAATTTATTTTCTAGGAATTTTTCATGGTGAGGATGCAAATTATTTTGGTATAACATATTTCTTTTTTATTATATTTATTATTGTAATGTCAATAATAATAATGAATTTACTAGTTGGTTTAGCTGTTGATGATATTGCAAGTGTTATGCGCGTAGCAACTGTTAAACGTTTAGAAATGCGTGTTAAATTAACACTTGATGTTGAACGAAAACTACGAAAACAAAATTTATTTTCATCTATTCGTCGTTTTCGAGTAATTGATTATCAATCTAGTTATTGGCAAGATTTATTAAATAAAACATTTCGTATACAAATAGACACACCATTTCTTAAAAATTTTACTCGCTTACAAGATTATGGTTTAATACAAACCGGAGGTAATCAAGATTCAAAAACAACATCAACAAATATACCAAAAATTGATGATAAAGCAAAATCAGCAGCAGCAGCAATTGGTTCAAGTGGTGTTGGACTTTCAACAGAATGGATTACTACAATGCATACACAAATAAATACAAAATATCATGAATTTAATCGACATATGACAGATTTAAAAACTCAACAAGAAAAAATCAATAATATTTTACAACAATTTCCAACAGCATCAACAAGTCGACATAGTTCACATTTGACATTTGCACCTACTACTGCTTAGATTTTTTTTTATACCTTTTTTTGTTTTCAATATTATAATACAATATATGTTTTTGGTGATATGATGATTTTTAGAATAAACTGATAAAATTTCTATTTCTTAAAATAATACAACAGCTAGTGTATTCATCTTATAACATGTTTCAAATGATTATTGATACATCACAGTATATTTGTTCTTTTACATTACTAGAATAATATAGAGAAGTTTACAGGTATGACTAAATATCAATTTTTAACTCGATTTCAACAAGTTTAAAGTATTCCTAAAATGCATCTGAAGCAGTGGCGGATTTAGGGGGAGGGCGATGGGAGCGATCGCCCCCCCCCCATCCCGAATTTTTTTTGATTTTTAACAGCAAAAATGAACGAAAAAATAGGTTCACACTACTTCAGTTGGACTTAAAAAATAGCTTTTAACCAAAATCGCCCACCCCCTCCTCAGGCATCGCCCCCCCCCCCTTCCAAAATCCCAGATCCGCCACTGATTTGAAGGTTAACGATATCTCTCTGAATCTTAAATTAAAAATCACTCGACGTATTTTTGTCAAAAAAGAATACTATTTCATATCCTTGTCGTGTGAATTTCCTTGATTCTATTCAATCATAAATCCATATCTTCAAGATCACTTTTAAGCAGTGGCGGATCTAGGATTTTGGAAGGGAGGGGGGCGATTTTGGGTAAAAACTGTTTTTTGAGTCCAATCGAAGTAGTTTGAACCTATTTTTTCGTTCATTTTTGCTATAAAAAATCGAAAAAATCTTCTGAAGGGGGGCCGATCGCCGCATTCTAAATCCACCACTGCTTTGAAGTCCATGAAAGTATGATACGAGTAATGTATATGTTATATTCCGACGACGAGTAGAATTTAGACAAAAAAAGTAATCATAAGAATTCAAGTGTAAGCAAGAATCGAAGAGATAATATCAATGAAAAATTTCTGAGTAACATTGTAAGCTTATATAATAATTTACGCTGCTTGCACTCTCAACCCTATCGGTAATAATTAGATTTCTCATTATCATTTGTAATCTCACATGTATTTTTTTCTTCTACTTTTGCAGTTTATCTAAAATAATATTCTAATTTCGATCCCTCCTCACAAACATTATTATTTTCATTCATATTTTGATAATATTAATTGATTAAAAAATATCGAATACCTATGAAGTCAGATGTCCTCTTTTCGAATTATGTTCATAACAAACATGTTCTAAATAAACAAAATTCGATTAGTTTATTTTTTGCATACATTATAAATATAAAATTAATTATTTTTCCATTCTATATTCTCATAAAATCTTTTCCTATTGGTTAAAATAAACGAAAAATTTTATTCATTATATTACACACGTATATATATATGCATATTTGATCTTTTCTTTTTTTCTTCTTCTTCTTCTATCATAGAAAATTTCATTCACAAAAAAAAAACAAGCAATAGTCAAAAAATATAAAGCAAGCAAATGCAAAAGAAAAAGGGCCACAACAATAAAAAAAAACAGCGACGAAGAAAGAATTATTAGTTTTTTATTTTGTTGTTTATTACTTCGATGGATGGCCATTACTACCATTCATATGTATTCTCATATGTCGATTAAGATTTCCTGATTGTGAAAAACGAAGACGACATAATGAACATTCATAGGGTTTTTCTAGAAAAAAATATAATATATAAATGATATTTTCAGTATAAATTTCAAGTGTTCTTACCTCCACTATGTACTCTCATATGTTTTGTTAATGTTGAACTATCCGAAAAAGCTTTTCGACAATATTTACATTGATATGGTCTTTCACCTGAATGTGTTCTCATATGTGTTGTTACTGATGAACTTTGAGAAAATTTTCTTCCACATATATCACATGAAAATGGTTTTTCACCTGAATGTGTACGTAAATGTGCAGTTAAATTAGCTGCTTGTGTAAATGCTTTACAACATTTATCACATTTATATGGCTAAAGAAATATACATATTAAAAAAAAATTCTTTTAAAATAACAATTTAAATAAACTTTACTTTTTCACCAGAATGTGTACGTAAATGAGTTTTAAGTGTACTTGGTCGAGCATAGATTTTACCACATATACGACAACGATTTATACGTCCTTCATTAGTTTTATTAGTTAAAGATTTTGATGTTGATTGAGTTTGTAACCAAGAACTATGAAAAAAAAACAAATTTATTTAACTATATATAGTTTGAAAAAAAAACTTCTCGACATACTTTCGTTTTTCATTTGACGTTGATGATGATGATGGTGTTGGAAAAAATTCACATAATTTTGTGAAATCTTTACAATCATAACCAGTAGCTGCTGATAAAAGCATTGCTTGTTTTGTACTTACTGGATCCAAACGATTTTTAATTTCTGATGGAATTGAATTATGATGATGATATGATGATGTAACAGGATGATGACGATTTGATGTATAAAATGGTTCATATGATAAATTTGCTGCTGATCCTGATGGTGTCGGAACATTATAACCACTTGTATATTGTATATTATGAGAATTAAAATTCATTGAAACATTAACATTCATTGGTGTTGATAAACTTAATGCAGATTGTAATGCTGCAGCGGTTGTAACATTTGCTTCAGGTTTAATTGAAGGTGAATTTGAATTTGTTGGTGGTGGAGAATGATGATGTACCATATATGGTGAATAAACTGATGCAGCCGCAGCAGCTGTAGTACTTGATGATGCATAAGAATCCATAGCTGCATCAGCATAATATGCTGATGTTGGATCATAATAATGATGATGATAATGTGGGTCAGAGAAACGAAATGGACTGTAATCATGATGTACAACTAAATCATGAGGATGTGGATGATGGTGATCCCGCCAAGATGAGATAAAACTTCTAAACAAAGGAGAAACAAAATTAGAAAATTAATTGATAAGATTCAAAGACTTTATCTTAATAGAAAAAAAAACGGTATGTCTTTCTTTGAAGCTCTGTTTTTTTTTTGTTTAGCTTACCCATCAAATGAAGGAGGAGGATCTGTAGCAGCACGCCAAAGTGATGATGAAACATCAATTGTAGCTGAATCCATGTTGGTGCGATTTATTGCTGTCATTATGTTTTAGAGATTCGAAGACTAACTTATATTGTCGACACAATTATTACATGAAAACACGACTAATCACAATTGACGAATAGAATCTCTTCTATATGAATGTTTGTATTAGGGTTTTTTTTCTTTTTCTCTCTTGTACAAGAAGACTTACTACCTATTCGAATGAGATGCATAATCAAGTCAAGAAGGAGAGAAGAGAGACAAGAAAGAAAGAAAGAGAGAGAGAGGGAGAGAGAGAAATTTCTCACTCTTTCTCTTTCTCGAAAATGATGATGTGATGATGAATCGAACCTATTAGAAGCGAGAGATGTTTTTAATGATGTTGTTCGACACACATGATGAAATGTTATTCTTTTCTTTTTTTTTCTTCTTCTTCTCCTCTTTATTTGCTTTTCACAATTGGTTGAGAAGCAAAAATATTTAATAACGAATCAGAATTAAAATTATCATTAAACAAAATAAAAAGACGAAGTGATAAGTATAGTTTTAATCAAGTAGTAGTTGGAATAAAACTGAAATCATATTTCATTTCTCACGTATATATTTACTTATTGATCATATCACCTATCTCGACTTTTTCGAAGTATTTGTTTACTATACATTGAAAACGTTTTTATAAAAGATTTTTTTTCTTCATAAAGTCAATAATATGATCATCTATTGAGTAGTTTACATGTTTGCTGATGATGTGAATAAACAATTCGATAGAATAACAACACAAATGATCTGTATTGTAATGATCAGTCTACTAGAAGAAGTTCAAATTAAGGCGGGATCAGATTGAATTGCACAATAAAACATTCTCAAAGTTGATTAGCCGCTCATTTCGTTTCTTGTTTTAAAAATCTCTACACATGTGTGTCATAATCATACTAATCCTTTTCTTCTGCAAAAAAAAAAGAAGAAAACTAACGGTAGTTTATCTCTGATATGAATGTTCAAAAGATATAGCAAAAAAAAAAGAAATCAATCGACCTTAATTAATTAAGAACAAATGGATATCAATGAATATGTAAATTCATACTTACAATTGTTCGGCATATATCTTGTATAAAATAACGGAAAGAATGAATGTAAGAAGGAAAAAAGAAAAAGATTTTATATTTTCGAAAAGAATAATCGAAAAGGTTTCAATGTATATCGATTTCTTAGATTAATAAGAGAGAAAAAGGAAGATGAGCATTCCTTAGGTTTCTTTACATATTTTTTTTTGTATATTATCAAAATCTTCTTCTTCTTTCTTTTAAAAATCTAATTTTAATCTCTATGAACATCTAGATTGTTAATTCTATTTGATGAAAAAAAATTCATCATCATCATCATCTCATTCTTTTATTCAAGAGTATTTGCTTTTATTTACAATACATTTCAGACAATAGTAGAGTGACTGCTATTTTGTTTTTGTTTCTCTTTATTCATACAAGTCTCTAGTGTATTCGCTTTGACTTTGAACATTGAAGAAAAAAAAAGAAAAGTTAAGGACGTGCCGTTTCTATCCCAACTATTTTTTTCTTTTTGAAGATGAATGTTATTCATATTCTTACCTATTAGTTGAATCTCGTAGATGATATGTTAAATCCGTATCAAGATATAATTTCGAATGAAATAAACTTGTCATTCTTTTTCTCACTTGCGCTTATTCTATCTCGATCGAATGATGATGAAGAGCTTCTTGTATAATTTTTCAAATTTTATTGAAACCTTAGTCTTTTATACAGAAGAGACCATTCAAGTTCATCATGCCTGTGTTAAAAAGTAATTGGCCGAATGAAGAAAAGAAAAGCGACTATATCTTTTTTTCTTTTTTTGTATATACCTAGTTGAAAATAAAGTACTAATAACTTGAATTATCTTTTTTTCTTCTCTTATTTCAACGTCAATCCATTTGTAGAATAAACAACTATATACAATATGCATTGTATATTGAGAAAAGAGGTGCTATTGACTATGTATACACATACGCACATATATATATATGCGTAGCTTTAGCATTATCGTCAACAGAAGCCAAAAAGAAAATATAACAGACCAGTAGACACCTTATCATTAATGCAGCATATATAACGTATGTATTGCGTATTGAAATAGCATAAAAACAGAAAGAAAAACTTGTATGGTGAATAAGCAGTTATTGAAAGACTTCATCAACTCAATTTGATGTATGCCTTCGAGGGTACAAGTACACACCTGACTGTTAGAGAGAAAAAAATGAATAATGATTACTTTGGCTCGTGCTTACAAATTCATATGCATATGATTGTCTTCTAGAAATAATGAAATATTCAAAAAGAATATTATTAGGATTCTATCTAGGATATTTGTCAATATAATCATGATTAACTTTTTCATAAAATATTCATTTATTTTAATGTCATAGTTGATTTAATGATAGAAAATGAAAAATTGAAATAATAAATTAATCAAGATTGGCCAGAGAAGAAACCTTATGTGAATATATGATCGGTCGAAGTAGATATATATGAACTACTATAGAATTTAATCATTGAAATTCAATATATATATATATAGAATTTATACTATAATCATATTCATCTTCTCGACTTTGATGTAAAATTATAAAGCTTGATAGTTATTCAGATATTCAACTATGACTTATAACAGCAAGATAATTATTTAAAGTACTTCTAAATAATAATTCTATCGAAAATCAAAATATTCTACACTCTGTAATACTTCACAATTTTATCGGAGGTGAAACTTGAGAGAGTAGAATTCTTTAAACAAAAAATTAAATGATCACATAAAAGATTTTTCTCTAAAAAAATCTATTGAATTAACGGACACGCCATAAAGAATGAAGGGTGCATTATTTTATTGTCAATTCGAAGATTTCATATCTTATTTAAATAGTTGTGTTCAAATATTTATGTTAATGATGATTTTAATAATACAATTCTTCGTATAAATCTAACAAAATAATATTTTAAACGACATTCATATATAACTATTCTTATTTGTTGGTTATTTGCTTTATCACCATTATTTAATTGGCATAAATATATACCTGAAGGACTTGATTTTCATTATGATTTAAATTGGATTGATAGATCATTTCATTCTCTTTTATCTTTGTTTATATTATTCCATTAACTATTTTATCTATAGTCTCCTTCATGGAGTATCGACAAGAGTTCGTCAATCATTATCACCAACTGATAGTTTATTAATAGCAAAAAGTCATTCATCACCATTTAAGTCAGTATATAAAGGAGGATGGTGCATTAACATTATCCTAGAAGAATAATGAATAATTTCATTTATTTAATTAATTACTAATTTACATTTTATATGATTTTGTTTTGAACGAAGACGACGATTTTCTTAATATTTCTTCTGGAGTTATTAAATGATCTTTCACCATACCTAAAGTTTTACTAATTGAATTAAAAAATGAACGAATATTTTAATTTCAATATATTTTATTCTTCGATTAATATTAAGACCCATATTTATATATATCTGTGGATGACAATTTTGCTATTTTCTTGAATACTGGTATTTTATAGGAATAACTTTTTGACTCTATTAGTCATTTTGTACATATGATTTGTTTGTTTTTTCATTATTCATACCGGCTATATTATTCACAAATATATAATACATAGAAATAAAAGACGATTTTCTATTAATTCGATTCAAAATATTTAAGTAATCGATCATATTGACATTTCTCTTTCATATCATACAAAGAATTATTTTATACAATTAATCATAAATCTGTAGATATATCTGTGATAAATGAACAAAATAAGAAGCTTTCATCCATGAAAATATACATCATTTTATCATATATGATACACGTGTGTTGAAAAGAAAAGTAATAAATATAATAATATCAATAAGAGTCATTTGAAGTTAATATTTCACTTTTTATGCAAAACAATAAGAAATGAATGAATGAAATAAATAATCTAAATTTTGTTCACTAACAGTGTTTAACTAATAAAATAAATATCTTTATTTTTAATTAATTATTATAAACTGTACATAAATAAAGAGCATTAAAATTGTCCATGATATACATCATTTGAATAATACAAGCTATTTTTTAATTCGATCAGTATGATTAGTAAATTTGTTATGATCATCAAGGTCGATGTCATCAATATTAGATAATAGAGTAGGAGTAATGTACGAAAAACACAGGTAAATATGCACTCTGACCTAAATTATGTGCGCAAACTATACAGCTTCAGTCATATAAATACTAGGAGTTTTAACAAAACTAGTCATATAAAGAAATCTTTTTATTTTCTTCGTATTATGCCTTCATCATTAAATATTACCAATCATATTAATGTTGCAGTTATTGAATTTGATTCTGAAACAAATATGAAATATACTGATGATATATCCAAACAACGTACAATTTCAATATGTCGTGATGGTGCAATAGGTGTTCGATTGTCTTTTGATGGTGTGCGTATAATGGAGGATTTATCTCCACGAATTACGATTACATTTCAAAATGTCTGTAAAATAATTGATATTCCAGGAAAGATGATGGATCCTCCATCAAAAGAAAAAATAGTTCAACGAACTTTACTTGATAATGTATCTGGTCAAGTTCATCCGGGACAATTAGTAGCACTTATGGGACCATCTGGTTGTGGTAAAACAACTTTACTCAATACATTAGCTGGTCGTTCATTAAATGGTGTAACTGGTAATATTTGGCTTAATAATCAACGTTATGAAAAAAGTATGAAACGTAATATAGCTTATGTATTACAAGAAGATATTTTTTTTGAAAATCTTACTGTTAAGCAACAATTAACATATACAGCTTTACTTCGATTACCAAATAGTTTAACACGAAAAGATAAACTTGCTCAAGTTGAACAAATTATCGAACAATTACATCTTCAAAATTGTGCAAATACTCCAATTATACTTATATCTGGTGGACAAAAACGACGTGTTAATATTGGCACAGAATTATTAACTAATCCAAGTGTTATTTTTCTTGATGGTTAGTCGCATTACTTTTTCAAATTTTATACATTCTTTTTCTTTTTAGAACCAACATCAGGTTTAGATAGTACATCAGCTGTTACTCTTATACGTGTTCTTCGTGAATTAGCATTAAAAGGTAAAACAATTCTGATGTCTATTCATCAACCATCATCACCAATTTTTCATTCGTTTGATCAACTTATTTTATTAGCTGATGCTAAAACTATTTTTATGGTATGCATTAAACAATATTTTAACTATTCAATGAATATCTATTTTTTTTTTCATTTCTTAGGGTAAACCATCGAATGCTTTAGATTATTTTGCAACATTAGGTCATCATGCACCTTTACAATATAATCCAGCTGATTTTATTATGGATCTTGTCAATCAAGATAAGGAAATTCGTGAAGAACTTAAAGAAGCTTATATTCAAAATAAATCATCGAATAGATTAGAAAATCCTCATAAATATTCAAGTGAAGGTCGAAAATATCTTATAGATGAACCAAATGAAAAAGAAATAGATTTAATCAATAAACATCATAAGAATTTAATGGCAAATAAAAATGAAAATAAATGGCCAATTGGTTTTTTTGCACAAACTTGGATACTTTTTTCACGTAATTGGGTATTAACAAGTAAATCTCAATTTACAAAACTTAATTGTATTCAAGCATGTTTTATTACAATTGTATTTGGTCTTTTTTGGTTACGTATGAAATATCATGAGAATACAATACAAGATCGATCATCATTTATATTTTTTGTATTGATATTTTGGCCTTTAAGTATATGTTTTGGAGGTGTAGTATCATTTTCTATTGAAACTTCTGTGATTGATAAAGAACGAGCAAGTGGATCATTTCGTTTATCAGCTTATTTTTTTGCTAAATGTCTATCAGAAAGTCCAATTAAACTTGTTTTACCGGCAATATCTTTTATTATTATGTATTGGATGGCAAATATCAATTCAGATTTTGCTAATTTTCTTGGTATTCTTAGTTTTCTTTCAATGTCAGTTCTTGTTGCTGAATCAATTGGCCTTTTCTTTGGTGCTCTACTTCAAGATGTAGGAAGAGCTATGGTAGCATGTAATGTATATTTATTCGGATGTTTATTAGCCGTTGGATATTTTTCTCATAGTACACCATATTGGCTCATAGTTTGGGTGAAATGGATATCATACAATACATATGCATATAATGGATGTATGCAATTACAATTTATGGGTGAACGAACATATCAATGTACTAATGGAGTATATATTGATATGTGTAAAAATAATACAAATGGAACATTTATTAGTAATGAGGCTATAAAATATTTCAATCTTAATCTTAATGTTGGTCTTAATTTTCTTGTACTTTTTGGTATGCTTATATTTTATCGCACTACAGCATACATTGCATTACGATTTTCTAATATCCGTCGAGGTCGTACTTAGATAGGAAATTTTTTTAATTTTGATGTATTTATTTGTACGTGTTTATTTTTCAAATAAAAACTCGGTGTATTCATCTTTAGTTTAAAAAACATTTGCCGAAGATATTTGACGCACACGTCATTAGTTTTCCACTCTTCAATTGGTCTATATCATATAATTTTGCTCAGAATTAAATGTTCATACATACACCATGGCTGGATGTTTGAAAGATATGTTTCAATAGAACATTTAAAACACAATATTACCGAATGACATTATTATATGTTTCGAGAAAATGTTGAAAATAAAAAGAAGACATTCTGTTGAATACTTTTTATTTAGATATTAATTGACACAGATCGATAAATAATATAAAGACCATTATTCCCTGTCGGCGGCGGCTCAAAAATATATCATTTTTTTCGCTTGACGGCGGCGGCCATGCTTTTTGGGAGAAAATCGGCCGCGGCGGCTTACACCTCTAATAATAGGTCCCATTATATAAATTCTTATCAGAATCGATGTTCCATTTATTCATCTAGATACACAAGATCACAATTAAGTAAGTGATTTTTTGTCAAATGCTCTGTCAACAGGTCAGGTTTATTTCTACAATCAAATCACTATTTATACAAATAGATTTGTTCATTAAGGATGATCTATTATAAGAATTTCTGTAGTTAAAGTTATTGGGTTATCTATTATTCTAATATTTTGAAAGCAGATGTCACTATGATACATATTTAAATTTTTCTACTTTCTGATTTATCAATGAATTCTGACGAATCGAATAATTTTGAATCATGAACAAAGAGACAAAAACTAATATAGAAAGATATAATTGTTTCATTTGTTTAGGAGAATAATTCGATAATGGGTGCTCAAAAAGAGAATGGAGAAGGTAAAATAAAAAAATATTTAATTTTATAGATTGAAATAAGTGTTCGCTTTTTAGGTGAATTCGAAGATAACATTGAAGAAAAAACAATTAATGAAGAGTATAAAATATGGAAGAAGAATGCACCTTTTTTATACAATCTTGTTATAACACATGCACTTGAATGGCCAAGTCTAACAACACAATGGTTGCCTCATGTTCGAAAGTATGATTATAATTTTTTATGATATTCTGATTCAAATTCTGTCTTTAATTTTAGTGAAGAGGGACGTGATTTTAGTACTCATCGTCTAATACTTGGTACACATACATCGGACGAACAAAATCATCTTGTTATAGCAAGTATACAACTACCCAAAGAAGATCTAGAATTAGATAGCTCACATTATGATAATGATAAAGCTGAATTTGGTGGTTTTGGTTTAATAAATGGTCGAATTGAAGTTGATTTAAAAATAAATCATGAAGGCGAAGTTAATCGTGCACGTTATATGCCTCAAAATCCTCAAATAATTGCAACAAAAACGCCTTTATCTGATGTATTAATATTTAATATTGATACACATCCATTGGGTAAAGAACAACCAGGTGATTGCAATCCAGAATTACGATTAAAAGGTCATACAAGAGAAGGATATGGTTTATCATGGAATTCAAATGCCAATGGACATTTACTTAGTGCTGCAGATGATCACACTGTATGCTTATGGAACATTAATATGCAACCAAAAGAAGGAAAAAATCTTGATGCTCTATCAATTTATACTGGACATACAATGGTTGTTGAGGTAAGAAAATATTTTTTATTAGAAATATTACTAGAATGATAGATAACGTATTTCATATAATCGAGAGTGAACAGTATACAGAATCAAACATAGAATAATGTTTTCAAAAAAAATCCTAGTCGTTATGCTTATAGAATTGATTTGTTCTTACACTTAGTTTATGTTAAAAAAGAAATTACATTAAAGAATTTTTACGAGATGTTATGATAAAAGCTATTGATTCTGATACTTTCTCAATAGTAATAAGAGTGTACAAACTGCGATCATTATCAGTCAGTTCTATGTACTATCAAAAATTGTCTATAACTTATTTATTTTCTAGGATGTTGCTTGGCATTGTACACATCCAACAATATTTGGCTCTGTAGGTGATGATCAAAAATTAATGATGTAAGTTGATTTAATTATTTATATTTTGTTATAAATTTATCATTTAAGATGGGATACACGATCAAATAATTATGGAAAAGCAAGTCATATTGTTGATGCACATGCAGCTGAAGTTAACTGTGTAAGTAATTGAATTATTTATTGAGAAAAAAAAACAAAATAATTTCTTTTCTTGAATTTTTTAGATTGCATTTAATCCATTCTCGGAATATATACTTCTTACTGGTTCAGCTGATAAAACACTTGCTTTATGGGACTTAAGAAATTTAAAAGTTAAATTAGCTACATTTGAATCACATAAAGATGAAATTTTTCAAGTAAATGTTAGGAAATAGGGTGGGCTTCATTTTTAATTTTTTTTTCCTATTATCTAGGCTCAATGGTCACCTCAAAATGAAACAATATTTGCATCGAGTGGTTCAGATCGACGACTTCATATATGGGATTTGAGGTAAAATTTAAGAAGGAAAATATATGTTTCTTGTTTATATAAAAACAAAATTTATTTCTAGTCGAATTAATCAACCACAAACACCAACAGAAGCAGAAGATGGCCCACCTGAGCTATTGGTAAAGAAAAACTTAACAAAAAAAATATCATTTTTCTGATATCTTTTCTTATATTTAGTTTATTCATGGTGGACATGCGGCAAAAATATCGGATTTTTCGTGGAATCCAAATGAACCATTTGTAATTTGTTCGGTATCTGAAGACAATATGGCTCAAGTTTGGCAAATAGTAATTTTATTTATATTATTAAAACAATTCATAAAAATATTTCGTTTCTTTTCACAGGCTGAACATGTATATAATGATGATATTGGTATGGAAGCAATGTCTGGTGATCGAGGTGAAATTGCTCCACCACCACCAACAGCTACTGCAGCTTCTAATGGATCTTAAAAAACAATAATAGTTTTTTTTTTCTTTGTTGTGTCTAGTATAAATCTGTGTCTCTGTCAATGTTTTTCTTTATCTGTATTCAAAATACGACAAAACAAGAGAAATGTAGTTGTATTCATTTATCTCCATGCTGATGATTGTTTTGTCTTACCAAATGACGTACCAGTTTTTGATATTAGTGGAACTATACCACCACGAGCTTTCTGTTCACGATAATCTTTATCATTTAATTCACAACAAGCTTGTTCTTCATCATAGAGTACATCGAAATTACCAAGAACTTCAGGAGTTGAATTTGTGAATTTATTTCGAATATCAGGAATATCACCATTTGGTAAAACTATATTAAGAATATCATTTATAAGTTTAAATTTCATAATACGATCATTTGCTGTTGTAGAAGTAAGTGAAGGTGATGCATTGACTTCAATAAGCCAAGGTTTAAGATTATCATCAATAATAATATCTAGATTATACCAGTAGAAAATATTCTATTTAATGATGTTCACACAACCTACCATATCCATAACATTCAAAACAATGTCTATCACTTGTAATAACAGCAGCTGCAGCACGTAATGAATGCACAATAATCCAACACATTTCATCAAATAATCTATCGGTTAACTATTTCACGAAAAACAAAATGATAATTGTTTTTAATTTTAAATTTATCTTACTTTCTTTCCCCGTGTTCCTTCAAGATATAATCTTAAATTATCAATTGACCATTTACCTCCATGTATCGAATTGTAATCTTCCTATAAGATTATTTATAAACAAGACAAATTCTTTTGATTATCTTACACTTTGTTTTTGATATGAAACATTTGTTAGATGAACAAACATGTTATCAATATCATTTGTTGATGATATATATTTAACTGTACAAAATCGACCAAAACCAAGTCGAAATCTAATCAATAAAAATCAATTCGAATTTATTAAGAGACAATTCTTTAAATTAATATTTACAAATAACATTTTAATGGTTTAAATGATGTAACAAGTACATATAAACGTAAATCAAATTTTTTTCCACCGATTAAAAGTGGATTATCAATATATTTTGAAATAACATATGTTTCTCGTGGTTGTGCAGCTAAATATTAATTTAAATAAGTCTTATGGAAATTTTTCAAAATATTCTACTTGTTGCTATTGATTTTCCATCACGTGACCATTTTTTAATTTGAGACATTTTATTTATTAAAAATATACCTTTGCCTTGAGCTAGAGGATAATAAACAAAATGATAAATATGATTTAATAAAAATTAGGAACCTCGTCCAGCTGGTTTCATAATCCATGTATGATTAGGATCACGACGAAAATCATCAGCAAATAAATTATAATCAGCAGGCATCATATAAGTAACTGGAATGAAATCTATGTATTGAAAAATAATCAATAATATTTTAGTCTATTCGAGAAAAAGAAAATGATTTACCAAGATATCTATATAAACCATATTCATCTTTTTCTGCAAGCATATTTCCATCTTTTTCTAATTCTCGACGATATCGTTTAATATTTTTTACCATTAAATCTTTTCTTGTTAATTCATAATGATTTGGAAAATGATTGACTACTCTAAATATGAGATTATATTATAGATAATGAATTCATTTAATGAATTACTGATTATCAGTTAGACGAGGATGATCATTAGATGGATTGAATATAGAACGAACAGTAGTAACTGATGCCCTAAATTTAATTTTTTTAATTACAATATGTTAATAGATGAATGACTAACCAATAAAAATTCCAGTCTTCATCAGGAGTTACACTAGTCCAAAAACGTTTATCAAAATTTTGCGTAAGAACAGTTTTATCTAAATCTGTACAACATCGAACACGTGCCATTCTTTTTTTTCTGTTTTCTTCAAAAAATTGATAACAATATGAAAGAATAATACATTATTGTGTCGGTTTCCATGACTATAACCTCCTAGTATTCAAGAATCATATGATCAATTGATCTGTTTTATAGTGACATGTAGTATATAGTATTATAGGTGAAATGAAGATTATTTTTCACGGTTATTTTCGAAGTTGTTGAAATAAGTAATTGCTGTAGCTCTCTTGCTTAATAGTAATTTATATATCACGCACTGAAGAGACACACGTTGCTTTTTGCTTCATAGATGTATATCGCAAAAGAGAAAACATATTAGAAAGATATTGATATTGGCATTACCAGGGGTGGCGCGACCAGGGGGGTGTCGGGGGTGTAACACCCCCCCAATCTTTGAAAATTTCGATTTTTTGCTCAACAAAATCGGCAAATTTTCTGAAGTTTTTGAACAAAGATCATGCTACACCCCCTAAAAAATCAAAAAAATTTCGCTACACCCCCAAAAATTCAAAAAATTTTCGTTACACCCCCCAATGTTGGCTGACTCGCACCACTCCTGGGCATTACCTATAGTATTGTTAAAGAAACTTTTAGAAGTTTATATTAGAGAGATCGATCTTTCGTTAAAATTTTATAGTTAATTTTCTCCAAATAAATTATAATTCAAATGCTCGACTTAGTTAATCAATGCTATTTTTCGAGTCAAAATAAAAATTTATGAAAAATGAAGTTTATGATATATAATATTTAACATTGATTTTTTTTCTTTCATTCACGATAACTGTACTATAGAAGTATTTTGTAGCAAACATATTTGGACTTATTCACAGTCTGTTTAATAAAAATGTAGTAATATCATATGCTATATTCATTTCAGTACTCGACATGAAAAAAAAACTAAAGGTTTGCTGACATAATAACTCGTTTAGTATCTAAGAAATAATCATCATTCGTGAGTATAACAAAAAGCATGCTTTATAATATATTATAACTGATATGCAGGGAACTATGTTAATATTTTATCAACTAAAACAGTCATTAACGATCATATTTAGTTAACTTTTTGCAATCCATCTGTTATCAGATTATCAAGAGTTATAAATATGAACTACCTCGTCTGATAAAATATGTTATTTCATAATACAAAACTTTCATTTGTCATTCTTTTTTATCACGACTTGTAGCGTCCTCTACAGGACGTTTTCATAGTCTTTTGAAATTGTATATTTATTATCTCTAGATATTTTCAAATAAAATTCTATATAAAATTTTATTAATGAATTAAACAAACATTCATATTTATTTGTCGACAAGCTCCCATATCTTATGAATCATTCAATTGACACACTATTTGTTTTTACAATTGGTTGTGTCTATCTTTTCTTATTGTAAAACAATTTAAGCGATAAGTTCTTTCTGACTAATTCAAAATGGTGATTTAAAAACTTCAAATTTTTTCATTTTTTTATCATAATTTTATTTATTATAGTTTCGTAACCAATATGATCATGATGTCAGTATTTGGAGTCCTCAAGTAAGAAGATTAGTATTATATTTATTCTAGCATTATTGAATTTATATTCTAGGGAAGACTTTATCAAATTGAATATGCTATGGAAGCCGTTAAACAAGGAGCAGCTACTGTTGCCGTTAAATCTAAGACACATGTTGTTCTCTGTGCTTTAAAAGTAATTTCATATTTATGAGAAAATTTTATTTTAAATATTTGTTTTTAACCTTTAGCGAGCACCATCAGAATTATCGGCTCATCAAAAAAAAATCATGTTTATTGATGATCATATTGGTGTTTCAATCGCTGGTCTAGCATCAGATGCTCGTATTCTTTGGTATGAAATAGAGAATGATTCATTTCAATAAACGATTTTTTCTCTCTATCTAGTCGATTCATGCGTACTGAATGTATTAATCATCAATATGGCTTTGATAAACCAATGCCAGTAACTCGATTGATGGATCATGTTAGCAACAGTACGAACATTTCTTTTTCTTAACCTATGAATAATTCTTATTTGTAATTTATTTAGAATGTCAAGTTCCAACACAACGTTATGGACGTCGCCCATTTGGTGTTGGCTTTCTTATGGCTGGTTTTGATGTATGTTTATTGAAGTTTATTTAACATATTAAAGATTTTTCGTATTTTTGTAGGAAAAAGGTACACATTTATATCAATTATGTCCATCAGCCAATTATTATTCATGCAAATCCATGGCTATTGGTGCACGTTCTCAATCTGCACGAACATATCTTGAAAAGAATTTAGATAAATTTGCTGATAGTAATCAAGATGAACTTATTAAACATTGTATGAGAGCATTACGTGATACATTACCCAATGAAGTTGAACTTACTGTTAAAGTACATAAACTTCTATTTTTGTTCATTTTAAGATATACGTATATATTTATTTAGAATTGTGCTGTTGCCGTTGTTGGTAAAGATACACCATTTGCTATATTAAATGACGCTCGCGTCGGCACTTATTTAGCAGCTATTGAAGGTGATGAACGTGCACCACAAGCTCAAGATGATACATTGGTAATATACAAAATAAATTCATAAAACTTGTTTATTTAATTGATTGTTTGAAAATTTTAGATTACTGGTGAAGATGATTTACCACCTCCTCCACCTGGTGGTGCTGGTGGAAGTGTTGAACCACGAGTAATTGTTGCTACGGAACGTATGGAATCATAAACATAATAAAAAAAATATCTTAGATTAAATCGTTATTTGTTAAACATGAACATGATTTTTTAAAAACACAAGAAAATTTTTCTTCATCTGCTCTGTTTTTTAGATTAATTGATCGATTTATTTTCTAAGAAAAACAATGTCGGTACTTGATACATTAGCAACACAACTCCCACAAGAGTTACGTGTTAAATTAATGCAACATTTTGGTATAGCTAAAGAATACGAAAAAAATCCACAGACAATATCCATCGCTTATTATTGTCTTATGTATATTGCTAATGAAGCATTTAAATTTCCAAAAGAAAAACAATTTGTTTCAAATGTACTTGATTATCTTGAAACTGTATGTATTTGACATATTTTTTTGTAAGAAATGATTCTTTTTTTCAATGAAAAATATTCTATTTAGACAAAACGAAATAATCCACATGATGATATTATTAAATCAATGGCAACTGGTCAAGAAACAATTGAAGAATTAGTAACGGTACTTGTTGAAGAAACAAATGAAGCTGAAGGTGAAGAAATCAAAAGTCCTGATCAATTACGTTTACTTATGAGAAAACATTATACTGTTGGAGGTTTAACTGATGTTCTTTCCGTTTTCGGACCAGTTAAAGAAGATGTAAATAAAGATTCTAAAAGGGATAATAATGATGTTTTGATTTTTTTAGTTTTCAACATTAGGTAAAATTGCTAAAAATCGAGCAGTAGCAATTTTTCGTGAATTAAAAGCCGGAGGTGGTGGTGGTGGTGGTGGTGCTTCATCTGGAATGAGACCACGTAAATACAGGATTTCTAATATATATATATTCAATATTGATTAGTATTTTTATTTAGCTGAGAGCAATACCGGTGCTAATGCTCCTGCAATTTCTCCATCAAAACCACCTGCAGCATCGGCATATCCACAAATGCCTCAAATGCCATCAGCAAATGCTGCTGCATCGTACCATGATCAAAGTGGAGGCAGTAAAAGTAATAAGATATTATAATTGATTGCTACACTTATAGAATCTCTAGACAATCCTCGAGTATATGATCTTTTCTTTTGTTTAGTTTAAATTTATCCATTCTCATTCTGTATCGATAACTTCTATAATAATTCGTTAATACTAAAAGCATATCACAATGTTTAGTAAGATATAGGAGAAAAATAATCAACTAACATGGATTTTGATTTCAAATTATACTCACATATTGATCCCCTAGTTCTTAGATTATAAAACGCTCAAAAGTCTTAGACGACGAAATCTTATTCAAGATATCGAATATGAATTAAATTTGTTTTTATATGATTTTTTAGGTGTTCCATTCGACGTAATTAGTCAAGCCCAAAAATTATTTCGTTATGCAAACTCTGCTCTTGAACATGAAGATGTAGCTACAGCAATGAAAAATGGTGAACAAGCATTACAATTACTTCGACCATATAATAATCAATTTTGATGATTAACAATTTTGAACTAAATCGATATTATTCTGCAACTTTCTGTTTATTCCTTTTTTTCTGTGTTCTAAACCAATCTGCTTCTAAACTTTCTTTCTTCATTGAAATGACGCTTGTATAGCTAAGAACAACAACAGTATAATTGTAACATCGAGTTTCCTTTCGATTATTAAACGAGCAGATTTTACTTTATACCTGCTAAAAAATGTATTCTTTTTTTTCTTCGGTGGTACATAAAGTACAATAATAGAACGTAATTCATTTCATGATATAATACGAATGACTCATTCTCTATGTCGTACTCAGTATCTTTTTATCGTGTTTATATTTCTAGATTACTATATTTTTTGAAATTGTTTTATTTATTGACTAATTATGGAAGAAAGCCAACAAATATTGGATGAAACTGTTTTACCTGAAGAAATTCAACGTTATCGAGTTGTTTATGAAAAGGCGAAAGAAGCAAATCAAATTACTGATGAAAATAAATTCTCATTTGCTTATTGTCTTGTGCGAAGTAAAGCTAAAGCTGATGTACGTCATGGTTTAACATTACTTCGAGAACTTTATGATTCAACGAAAAGTGATGATGCTAAACGTGATTATATATATTATTTAGCACTTGGTAAAAATCTTTTTCTTTTCTAATATAACAAACTACAATGAATTACAATTTTAGGTAATGCTCGATTGAATGAATATGAAACAGCATTAAATTTTCTTGATGCAATTCTTCATTTACAACCTGGTAATCATCAAGCGAAAAATCTTAAAGAGGAAGTTACACGACGAATGACTCGTGAAGGATGTATGTTGAGAGTCTTTTGAAATACACATAAAACAGTTTTATTATTATTCTTAGATGTTGGTATGGGTATTGCTGTAGGTGCAGGTGCATTACTTGTTGGAGGTAAGAAGATAAAGCTTTTTTTTTAAAATTTAGCGTTACTATATTGCTATAGGAGGAGGAGGATTACTACTTGTTGGCGGTAAGGTTTGAAAATTACACACATAAGCTCTTTCTTGAGAATAATTCATAAACTATCCGTTTTATTATCACATTTCACTCTTAAACCTCTACTTATTTATGGTTTTTTCATATAATCGCCATGAAATCAATGTTTGATTTTGTTTATTTTAGGTCTTACAGCTGCTGCTCTGGCTCTTTTAAAAAAATAAAATTATTGCATCCAAATATTTATTGGTTATTTTCATTATGTACAGAAAAATTCAAACAAAAATAACTTTGAATCAACTATATATTTAATATACATATATTAAAATTCCAGCAAATTCTTATTCTTTTTTTTTATTGATATATTTTTTCTTTAATAAAAAAAGAGTTATTCTCCGTTGTCTATATACAAAACAAAATAGTAAATTAACAGATATTGTACGGTCGTCGCCATTTTGGACCAGTTATTTGATGTATTCCACGACAATATAAATATAAATTAGAATATTTATTCAATCGTCGATAACTAGCCCATTCACTAAAACCACTTCGAGATCTAAGAAGTGTATCACATTCTCCTAGAAAATAAAATTCCAATATAACTTTAAGAAAACCATTATAGAGCCTTTCATAGGATTCTTTTTTTGAATTATATCTATCTATATGAACTATTGGACCAGGTATACTTAACATACGATCATTACCATAATGTTTATAAATATTTTGTTGAACTTCATATGAATCCGTTGTAATAAATATAGATGAATATGATTGATTTAAATTTTTATCAATAAATTTTAACATATCATAAACAATGGATGTTCGAAATGGTAATTTTGCATCTTTCGGTACTGTTGGATTTTGTCCCATACGAATATGCATACAAATAATTGATTGGTTATATGATAAAGAACTTTTGGAAAATAATTTATCTAATTGATTGATAACGATGGATGTTGGTTTAAAAAGAAGTTCAAATATTAATGGAAATAATATTTCTTGTGTTGATTCATTTGATTGAATATTTATTTGTGATTTAATTAATTGAAAAAATGGATTCTTTAAAGCAGGTGTTATATAATCACTATTTGCTGTAAGATAAATATTTTCATATTTTGACCAAATTTCCATTAGATTACCGGAAGATATATTTGAATAAAGTTCAATTCCATATTTATGCATTGGATCTAGTTTTAAATAATTTTTCTGTTCATATATATGATATTTGGGTATCCAATCGACTAGATTTGGTAGAAGAAAATGTGTTAAATTACAAGGATATTGCATATCAATAACAAAACGACGTTGTAATAAGACAGCAAGAATATATGTTGAAGTAATACCACGAATTCTATCACCCCATCCACCACAATATTTCGAACAAAAATATGTTAATGTTTGAGATGAAGTTGTTTGAATATGAAGAAGTTTACTGATATTAATATGAGGAAATTGTTGACCAAAATAAAATAATCGTTGATTCAATCGCGATTGAAATACAGATTTTTCTGATGATTGATTAATATTTAAAAAATTTAATGATTTATTTTCGTTTATTGATTTATTATAGAATAATATGCTTACAAAGATAAGTATACAAAGATTTATTGAACATAAACGATTTATCGAGAAATAGCGTCTTAACATTAATTTAAATATTCAATATTTTTTCTCGTATTTAGTATTTAAATACGAAATTTTATGTCTAACACCTTTTTTCGTTCTTTGATATTACTCTAAATGAAAAACAAAAATAAGAACTTATATTACATAATTAATCAATCGAAAAATAACTCGTTTATTTGAATATATTTGTGCATTCAGTTGAAAACTAAACTGAAGAATATGTGAAAAATAAAAACAAATCAATTTTATCCTATGTTTCTGGTATAAAAATGTTCTTCACAATAAAGCCTTTCGTTTCGAAATACATAATTTTTCAATCAATAGAAAAGTAATTTGGATCTAGGTCACGACTGTTTCTAATAAGCCGTAATATATTCTTAGGGATTCATTGAAACCTACTATAGTTTGTTACAATAGCATATTTTAGAATTTGACTTTCATCTTCATATGGCGGTTCTTTAATTTTAAGAAGTTAATTATTTTCTGAGATATTATATACAATAATTCAAGGTAGTCATCCTATAAGCTGTACGAAATGATTGTTACATTACGACATCAATCTAATCACAATGGTTATGAAATGTAAAGCATGAGTTTATATATCAATGCAATCGTAGATGATTGAAGTATTAACTTAAGAGATAAAATTACTATTTCATCTAATTTACAATAATATCGAACATGAACATATTGTTCAAGTTGACAGCGACATATTTTATTTTACGGCAAGCCATACATCTCCAAGAGGAACGGAAAGAAAAAATGCAAATGTATGTATACAATTCCATTCGCTTTTGTTGTAGCAATATGTGAAATCAGGTAGAAACCGTTTTTTTTCAAGAGGAATGCTTCAAAAGGAAGAAATCGTAAGAAAAATACGTATATATAAAATACCATCAATGTCAAGGTGGAGTAAAAGTTTTTTTTTTCACCTTTTTCTTTACACGACGCGAGAGAAGGTACATTGGTGGTCATGAAAAGCACATTTTTTTAAAACACACAAACACGTCGGTTAAGTTCATTTTATTACTTTTTGGTGACAGATTTTTTTAGATTGAACATTAAAGATCAAGTACCGACTAGCTGATAATTTAACTGTAACTTCAGAAAATATATTGACAATCGTTTTTAAAACTAGGATGAGTACCCTGAGTAAAAATTGGTTTTGTAAATATATCTAAATATTTTGCGTATTTCATTTGACCCATCATACCTTTACCAAGGGACAATATAATGAACTTATTTACAAATCTTAAAATGATATCATGAACGAATATTGAATTGAAGAATTAGTTGAAAAAGATATATAGAATAACATAGGAAGACACACTTTCTAAATCAATTATGTGAACGATGCAGAATTAATATTTTAATAGAAAAAATCTTCATGTTTAATTCTATGTATGAAAACGCTTAATGAATTTTAAAAAAATATTTGAATTATATGTTCATCTGTCTATTAGATGAGTACTCCATATCGATCTATAGCTGGTACAGTGAGATTATGATAATGAAATCAAAGCTTAAGTATCTAGGCGAATTTACTGTCGAACAATAAGACAAAAATCTATATAAGTAAGCATACAAAAATTTGTTTTCATACGAACCAAAAATAGAAGCAGCTTGATACCGTTAATACCAAATGTCCCTTGCAAAAGCACTCTATACGGATATAAGGTAATAGAAGAGTGTTTTTTTCCTGTTAAAGTATGATTATACCCTAGTCTGAAAGATTCTTTTGTGGTTAGATTTCCCTGTTTATCAAAAAAAAAGACCTCCTTCTGTTTTTCACATATATTTTACTCCTTGTGTAAAAAAAATTGTTTTCATATTGTGAGCACTTCTTCAAAGGTAAAATTTGCCTATAATTATTACCTTTCAGAAGTATAGGTTTATTTGTATTCCTATTTCTTAAATAGATTAGTATTAGTTCCTGCTGATGAAAGCCATATGTATACTTTCATACAATAAGCAAATATATTTTTCTTGTTCGTAATGGAGTAGAAACAGTAATAATCAAATAATATCATCATATTTATCATTTATCTTTTCATTTAATAGATGAATATTAGGAGGTGTTATTGGATATGTATCATCATTTTCGGTATGACTGTTCTTCATGTTATAACGATTACATTTATGTATTGGAGACATGGATCATTTTTTCCTATAAAACGACGAATATCACGTACAATGGTTGAATCTGGTGTTTCTATCAATTCTTTTAATCCACCTCATCTAGACTTTTTCTTTAATCTTACGAATACTCAGTTGAATAGTATATCAATTATCTCTAATAATGTCAATCTTCTACAAGTATCACCACTATCCGAAATATCGATTGTCCCTGTAAACTTCTCCGATGGATATCATCATTTAGATATTTTAATGCTTGATGATATACACGATATCGAATTTTATCAACAAATTGATATTTCAACTGGTAGTCAAACTTTACGTGTAACTATTCTAAATGAAGATCATGAACCAGTTAAAAATATATCAGTTCATTTAGAACTATCTATTTACTCACATATCACTGCTCAACAGTATACGAATCAAATCGGTGAAGTTACTTTTAATTATTTATCACGAAATTCTCAAGTATATGTTGAAGCAATTTCTATGGCTACAAAACGTTATGCATTCAGTGGGCTAAATACTTTAAAATATCAAAATATAACTTTGATATTAGAAGAAATGAATTCAACACATTACGATGAGTATCTTATAAATAGATAAAAGATATTATTCTGTTTAAATAATTTTTTTTTGTTATTAATTTAAATATAATTCTCATAAATTAATATTATTCTATTTTTAAATAAAATGATTTAAATAATTACATTTTTGTCAAAAAACAAAAAATATCATACATGAGAAGAATTATCAAATTTAGGTCCTCGAAAAAATAAATCTTTGTCATCGGTTTTCGGTATATCAAGTGTATTTGAAAATGGCGATTTTCGTTCAGTACGTTCTATATTTTGTGATTGTGGTAATTGACGTATTTGTTGTGGTTGCTGTTGTTGTTGTTGTTGTAATGGCCAATAATCAATACTATTTAGTTTCTCATCAAAATCAATACCAGTTATTGATATTCTTAAATTTCTTCGCATAACTTCTCGGATATTTTCATGTAAACGAAGTGAATCAATTTTCGCTTTAAATAAAAATTCTAAAAATGCAATAACCATTGCACTTCCAAGACCAATTATTAATACATAAAACATTCCAGCAACATTAGCTAAATTAAGTGGTCGACTTTGTTTGGAATCTTTTGAACCCGAATTTGTACATTCACTTCTTTCATAATACCATTTTTGTTTTAAACGTTCAAGAAAACCATTTTCAGTTAATTCTAATACAGCTATATTTATAGCTTCACGAAGATCAGAACCAAGTGGTGTACCTATTCCATAACCTTTTGCATCAATATTTTCACCAATACGCATTGTATCACATTGTAAACGTTCATTAACATATTCATTTAATGTTGATTCAAGAAGAAAAGCAAATTTACCTTTTGATTTTCGAACTTTTTCAATACCTTCACGATTTGATGCGACAAATACATCATCTTTATGTTGTTGCATAAATTCCCACATACGTTTAAATGTTGTTATTGTTGATTTATTAAAAAATGACATTGTTGAACCACCTTTTAATGTACCATAACGAATTTCTGTTTGTTTAGCAAGATCTTCAACAGTTTCAATTGGTGTAACTAATTTTTCAACAGTTAAAAAAGCAGCAAGATTAGCTGTATAGGATGAAACAAGAATTAAACTAAAAAACCACCATGCACTTGTTACAACTCGACCTAAACATTATAAAATTAACGATAGTAAAAAAACAACGAAATTTAATTTAACCTGATATCGATCGTGGTAAAAGATCAACACCTTGATGCATAAAAGCCGCGAATGAAAAAAATAAAGAATTTTGTATAGAAAATTTATTTCGCGGTTGAACATCCGATTCATTTTCAAAATACCATTCATATGATGAAAATCGGCTAACAAGAAATAAAATAATACTAACAAGTAAATAAGAAATAATCACACATATCCAAATTTCTTTTGATAATGGATCCATAAATGAGAAAACACCTGGCTTTTGTTTTTCAGGTTTACTTATCATTATTGATATACCTAATTCAATAAATGGTTTAGAAAAATCAACAACTTTTTCTCGTGCACCATTTATCGTTAATGATGCTATAGATAAATCAGCATCACGATTAAGTAATGCTCCAACCATTCCATCCCAAACACCTTTTTCAACTTCATTTCCATATTTTGTTTCAATAAGAAATTTATATGGAATTTGTAATTTATCATGACATATTGCTTCAGCTAAATCAACACAAAAACCTTCAACACGTGATGGATCAAGTATAGTACCAGGTGCAATACTTTTTTCTGTTATTGTATCATTACGATCTTTTTTTAACATCATAAATGGTTCATCGAATATTGTTACAATTAAACGTGTTCGATTATCATATAACATACGAGAACGATAGGATGAATTATCAGAAACCTAAATATATAGTTAACAAAGGGATGATATCAAACTATCGAAAAGAGGAAATCTCGAAAGGCTCGATGATCGAAAGAAAAAGTTTCGAGAAACCATCTTGAGGGTGTGGATGTTGGTGTATCATATTTATGGTAACTACACATACACTCATATCTACGCCCACATTCTCAAGATGCTTTGTGATTATTTTCTAGCTTTTTCCAATTTCGAGATTTTACATTTCTGGAGATTTGATTTTTCCAGGACATTTTTTTCGAGATTTTACATTTTCAAAATTTAGCATTCCGGAAGGTTTACTCTAAAAACATCGAAAGTAAAAAATATCGAAAAAGACGATAAAAAGACGTGGTAGGTAGCACCATTTTTTCGATATTTTTACCATTCGACATTTTTACTTTCGACGTTTTTACAGTAAACCTTCCGAGATATCTTTTTCGAGATTTTGAAGATAATTCCATTCAGTTATATTACTAGACATTAACTGCCAATTTGTATAATTTTAAACTCAATTGTTAATACCGATTATAAAAATATTATTATAAGATATAGAATCGTAAAAGTTATTTCATTATTATTTATTAAAATGATTATAGATATAAGAGCCATATTCCGGATCCGAGCTCTATTTGAACTACTTCTTGTATTATAGTCTATTAGATACGCATCAAAAAAGAAGATTAGGATTGACTTCAATATACTCTCTAACATGATAATAAGATGCAAATATTACCATAGATAAATAGTCTTTTTCTTCCTTTTGAATCCATTAGAGCTTTCCTTATGAATACGAAATTAAATCTCTTATGTCATCTTTAAATGAACTTAATATTCTCATTTTGTCTATCAATATTTTACCTGAAGTGTATTTGGTGCTTGAAAAAATCCAATACGTTTTGGTAATTCATTTCCTGTCACTCGATAAATATCTAATGTATAATTTATTCTTTGTCCAGTTATATTCGAAAATTGTACATGTCCTGATAAACCATCAAAACTCGTATTAATTAAATAATTCAAATAAATATTTCCTGATGTCCATGGTTGAATAAATCTATTACGACAATTAATTCCCGGTGTTAAATCATTATAAAATTTTCCTTGTCGAAATACTTTTAATTTTTCTCGAATATTATCCGATGCAATTAACATACGATTTATCGTACGCAATAATGTTTCCCATGCATCAGCTAATAATAATGATTCCACTAGAAAAAGATTATCTTGTTTTAATAAACGAATATAATTTTCATTTGTTTGATTATCAAAATTTGTTGGTAAAGAAAAATAAGTTACATTAACACCACCATAACGAAAATATGTCATATCAAGATTTTTTGCATTTAATGAAAGTAAAATATAATGATAATCTGATGTTGTCATACCACGATGTTTGATTTTATCCATTATTATACGATATGTATCAAATGAATAAAAATCTAAAACAATATACCGACCCGTTGTTTTTTTGTTATTTGAATCTGTTGATAAAACTGGACGTGTTGGTGTATTTGTTATTATTTCAATATTTTGTAATAAATCATATGCATCATCTGGATCATCTAAAAATCGACTTAGGATATTTAAATATTGTGTTGAATTTGATACTTGAACTTGCATAAGTTGTTTAAGACGATGAGCACCACATGTATGATCATATAAATAAACAAGTTCAGTTATTTGATACCTACGCAATACAGAAGTTAATGCTGGTATGATGTCAGGCATTAATGATATAGAAAAATTATTTTTTAAATCATTATAATTATTCGTTAAACTTAAAAATGGTACTTGATATGTCGAACAAAAGTCAGATACCCAATCGAAATCATCAACATTTATATGACCGATTATTGACATTATTCCATTTGATAATTGACTACATAATGTTGACCATGTATCAATATTGGAATCATCAAAATCTAATGTATTAAAAATTTCAGTGATATTATATTGAAAACGTCGTTCAAGTTTATCAAAAATATATTGACGTGCTAATGGATTGATTCGTGTATAAAGTAACCGTTCAGATCCATAAAACATTGATCCTATATTAATATTTTTTGTTAAATTAGAGAATTTAAATAAATGAATGATGTATCTCTTACCAACCGGTATATTTAAAATTGAATGAACAACTTTAATATGTACAAAATAGATAATAAATATTAAATTAAAATGCATTTTGTCAGGAGAAGAAAAATATATATTTATGTAAAAAGATTTGGAGCTTCTTTTTCTTGTCTAATCTTATCGTTGATATGCCGTCAAGAACATGCAATGCGATCGCTGCATGTTTTATTCCGCTAGATTAGTGATCATCGAATGAATATAGTTCTTTCTATGTCGATTTGATGCGGCAAGAAGATTCAATACTATCTTGCGTTCGCTCTTGTCAGCCAATGCATCATCAAGTAACAACATAAGAAGAGAAAATCCAGTTATTTATTATGACTATATTTCTTGAGTAGCTTCTCCGTTCTTTGCGTGCAAGTTCTTCTCTTCCTATAGAATCTATTATCTTCAAAGTAGAACTCTCATCATATCTCTTTTAACTCTCTTATATCTATATGTGCGCGCTCAACCACTTCAGTGATTGATTATCGAAGAAACAATATTTTTCTTTATGAACAAGCATGAATTATTTTTTGAATACAAAAAAAGGGGCAATCTTTTTTTTTTTTATTTATTCAGTTGATATTCTATAGTATAGAAATAAATGACATTAAATCAATGTGACATTGGATTTAAATTAAATTATGTCTTTTCAATTCCCAAAAGAATATAAAAACAAAACGATTATAACAATAAATATCACATAAAATAAAAAACTAACATATTTAATTGTTCGCGTTTACATGACAGATGATGAATCGGGTGTTATACCAATAGCAATCCCTGGTGAATTATCATCATTAATAGACTTTCTTTTTATATCATTTGACACTTGATTATTCGAACATTGTTTAAATATTGCATCATATATTATACTAATTAAACTATGAATCATTCCTAAAGTAAATATTCAAAATAAAAAAAATCTAATATTAATTTTTAATATTAAATTACCTGATGTTGCATAAACACCGCCAAAAATTCCACCGATTTCAATTAATAATAACCAATATGAACGAAGAACTTCTTTAACAGTTATTTTTAAAGGACTTATTTCATATCGTATAAAAATTCCTGGCATTCCATGACTACCAGTACCATGATCAATAGTTCTTGTCTAATAAAATCAATGACATTTAGACGGAAAAAAAAAGAAGATTTTATATTTAATAAGCAATACTTTTTCTGTAACTGCATATTGATATGTTTCAACATTAGCATAACTTGTTTGAACGACTGTTGGAACAACTTCAAGAAAATATTGAAAAACTTGTGAACCTTTAGAAAATATATTAAGTATTTTTTAAATCTATTCTTTTTATTTACTTGAATTTGCTATTTTTAAATCACCATTTAATGGTTGAATAAGACCAGGTGTTGGTAAACCAAATGAAAGATGATCAATACGATGCGAAAAATTCATAGCTAAAATAATAAATATCAATATAATTAAAATTACAAAAAAACTAGACTATTTCACCAACCCGTGTTCTGTACACCCATAGGACTTATATGTGCATGAGCACCAAAAAATGAAAATGATCTAGGTAATTAAAGCAAAAATAATATATATACACAATACCAACAAAATTAATAATCATAGGATAGCTTAACAGAGGAACAAAAACCTGCCTTTCATATCAGTATAATGATGTTTATTAAAAATATGAGTATGACTTGAATCAATTTCGAATATGTCTTTATCAAATCTGTAGGTTACATTTTGTATTTTAGATGTATATGAGATTTATTTAACTTACTTTCCAAGAATAATGTGAAAATTACCAGCAAGTTTATTAACTTCTAAAGTACCATGAAGTCGACATGAATCTGTTTTTTGTTCTAATTGAATTTCTCTAAAATAAATGATACAGTTGTTTTTTTATTATAACAAAATAAAAGTTTTGCATTTGCTTAGAATAGAATCTGATTGGAAAATTTTTCTTAGTTTAAATCGTATTATTCATCTAATCCAAGTTTTATACTATAAAGCTTAGAAAAACAAGAATTATCAACATATTTTATAACGATTAGAATCAATGCTTTCATAATATTGTTTAACATCACCGATTATTCATCATGGTCGAAAAAATAAATTATATTCCAAGAGAGAAAGAGAGAGAGAATGCTTGCTAGAGGCTATATATTTTCTATGAAAAAGAAAGGTTATTAAGTCTTCTATTGAACGATATTATTTGGAAAAGAACAGAACTTTTACTGTGAGATATCTAGACAAGACTTTCTTTTCACATTGGAAGCGCTAAATTGAATTCCGTAATTTAATTATCTGTTATTCATTTTCTTCTATGCTAGATCAATTATTTTAATACTCGATGAAAATCTTTGTTGTAATAGATATTCATATGATACTCTGTAATATATCGAAAGATTCAAAGTAAAAACTTCTATTCGATTTAGTTTGTTACCGTTTAGGTAATTGTTCGAGTGTGTGGCCACTTAACCAAAGTAAATCATGAATAGCATGATATTGTTCGCGTATTAATCTATATCCAGTTTGAAGACGATCAAATGCTTGTTTTTGTAAAGGTGACATTTCAAACCATGTCTCTTCTTCATCTAATTTACCACTAATCAAATACAAATATTTAGAAATAACTCGAGATACTAAAAAAACATTTACCTTTCCATTGGATTTGTATTTGTAATATCAAGTACATCTGAACCAATTACTAAATAGAAAGTATAAGAAAATTATGTTCAGGAAACGATTTGTTATAACAATTATTATTATATCAATCAGTCTTACTCTAGTGATAAATATAGTATACACGTACGATAAATGATTATGAAAAAGAGGAAATCGAATCATTCTAACAACTAGTAACAGTCAATGAAAAGTTCAACTACGTGCTTACCCAACATACTTTTTAATTTGATTTATTTCTGTTCGTTTTGTCATTACTTTCTATCGTTTAATATAGATACGATTTATAGAATTCTATACTTACAAACACAACTCATTGCAACAGTCATATCAACATTAATTTTAAGTTTACTATCATGATCCCAATCAACATCATAATCATATTTAAGTGTATTACTTTGAAATGTAACGATATGTATAATACTTAAACATATTACAACAATAATAGTAATGATCGAAACTAAAAATATAATATTTATTTGAAAGAACAAGAAATCTAGTTTTACTTGTTCCTCCTGTTGTTGTTGGTTGCTTAAAATCATTTTCGACTTTAACAAATGCATCTAAATCACGTACTATTTCAGAAGGAATAATAGGTTTTCGACGTTGTCGAAGAGTCATCTAAAAAATAAAGATTTACTATTCAACTATTGCTATTAATTTATTTGATTCATTTGATGATATATGTATTAAACGTTTAATATATTCATTGGAAATATCTGAACGAAAAATATGATTATTTTCTTGTTGATTATTATTATTATTATTTATATTGAAAACTAAAAGAGATTTATCGAAACCAGTTAGAAATTTATTGGTATTTTGTATTTGACATGATTTAAAAAGACGTCGATGACTTGGAATATTTTGAATAATACATGTTTCATTTGCTGAACGTATATCCCATATACTAATTTTATCTGACTTTTGTTCATTATTATAACTGATTGATATGAGATAACTACCATCTGATGTAAATGTTAAATGTTCGATACTAGATGAAGATTTAAGAATACGTGCTGGTTGTGCTTGTTCAATAGACCATAATATAATTAAACCATCGTTTGAACCTGATGCTAAATATTTTCCATTAGGATGAAATGATAATGTATTTACATCATCAGTATGATAGATAAATGTTCGAAGAATATTTAATCGATCTGGTGTCCAAAGACGAACAGTTTGATCCATTGAACCAGATGCGAAACGATCAGTTTTATGATGAACAGCTAAACACCATACAGGTGAAAGATGAGAACGATAGATTGTTATACAATTAGAAGAGAATGAACGCCATAAACGAATATCTTTATCAGCTGAACAAGAAAGTACATAATTACCATCAGGATCATAATAACAAATATCTGAGACAAGTTTTGTATGACCTAAAAATGTAAATTTTCAATAATTAAAAATCAGTCATTATTGATATTCTCAGAAAGAGAACTTGAAATATTTGATTTGGTTTTTATCAGAAGAATCATTTCCCTCTCAGAAAAATTCTTTTTTGTTCATATCACAAACCTATCAATTGTGTATATGTTGAACTGTTTTCATTCGTTGATGGATGTGTTTGATAGATTATACCTTGATCTGTTCCACAAACAATCTCTTGTTTATGATTGATATCAGCACATGTAAACCATTCATTTAGATTTTGATTCGTTAATTGATGAATGATTAGTTCAGGTAGCATCAAAAATGTTGTTTTCTTTTTTCTTTTTAAATAAATAATCTAAAAATGTTAGAATATTCAGCAGGAATAGGGCAAAATCAATTGTACTAGTTCAAATAGACATAAAGAGAGAAAAAAATGTTCGCAAACATGTCTAATGACTAAACTAGAAAAATGTTCATTATTAGGATCAGTTAGCAGCATCAGCAGTTGCAGATGTTTTTGATGTAAGTGGATCAGCATATGTATGTTGTTGAGGACTTTCCTTTGTAGTTGATTGAGGATTTTCGTTGGTAGTTGATGATTGTGTTGGTGTGGGTGTATGATAAATTTGTAATGATTGTTCACGATGTTGTTGAACACATTTAATAAATTTTTCAGCTATTATTGAACATGTTAAAACTTGTTTTGGATTAGCTAAATAACATTGTTCAATTTCTGAACGTTCTATTTCACATATAGGTGAATAAATATATTTGGAAAATTTTTTTTCAACTTTTTCAATTTCAGCAGCTAAATTTTCTTTTGTTAAATTTAATTTTTCACGATTATATCGTTCTTGTTCAAGTAATTTTTCTTTATATTCTTGTCTTAAACGTTGCAATTCAGTATCATTAACTGATGATGCTAATGCACGCCATGTTTCAACTGTACCATTTGTATCAATTTTTGGTAATGGTATATTATTATTATTTGATTCTCTTGATATTGTTGTTGTTGTTGATGTTGATGAATCAATACCTGGTGTACGTGTATTTACGGCTTGTGGAACACTTTTACCAACGGATGATTGAAGCTGTTGTAATGCAGCTTCAGTCATAAGAAGTTGGTTTTCAAATGATATATTACGTGGCGGTTCTTTTGTTCCACTTGCACCCATTATATTTTTTTCAGGTAAAAATATCTAAAAATAATTATAATACAATCGATTTTTGAAAAGTACAATGACTAGTTTTTGGTTCGGTATTCTACATGAAACTATAATATTCCAATCGTTGTTTATTATGATTATTTTTTGGACAAAAGCGACACAGTCGGCGTCATCTTTACTTAGTTACTACTGACATCATCTGAATGGATAGAGTTATATATTCATTTTTTATTATATTATAATGCTAACCAAATTGTGAAATATAATTTTTGTTTTACACGATATGTTTTAGAAAAAGTTATTTTAAAAATAATTTTGTTCATATATAGAAGAAGAATTCGAAAATGTCATTATCACAGATGATAAGATTTCAAAAGTAATAGAATAATTTTATTGAGATATATGCATTACTACTTCAGTTATCATGTCTAGTTGCTTCTAGTCTTAAAAAGATTAAGTTTTACACCTAATATTATTTTATTTCAGATAGAAAATGCCACATAGATATTCTCGAGATGAGAAATCCTCATCTTCTTCTTCTCATTATGACAAAGCAAAAATGGCTATTCGTCAAGCATATAATAAACCATCAAATAATACGAATGATATAAAAAATAACTATAATTTTAATCTCTATGAAAATGATCGACAAGATCGTATCAATGAAATTGCTGATGATGAAGATGGAGATTTAGTTGTTGAACGACAATCACAATCAATTAATTCAGAAAAGACAACAAAAATAATAGAAGCTAATGATCGACGACATGATGCTGTTATATTCGGTGATAAAACAATAGAAGGTAAATGATTTATTCAATAATATTAATAAATAATAGACTGTTTTATTTTATTTAAACATAGAACAACAAAAAAATCAATCATGGGATAGTTTTAAACAATCATCAAAATACTCGACAACATCTTTAGCTGGTCCTCTACTACTTGAAGACCCGGAAAATAAACGAATACGATGGAAAAATAAAATGCGTGATTTATGGATTCAACGATATAGCGTAAAAACGACAAAAAACATCACAGATATGGACACAAGTTAAAAAATATTCTTATGTTTTTGAATCACATGTTGTAAATATCAGATTAATAAAAGATTTCTTTTTGTATACGAAGCAAATATCTTCATTGTTATGTTTAAAAAACTAGATAAATAAATATTTTGTTTTTCAGATGTCATCATTGGAATATTATTGTGTACCAGGCGATCGTCTATGTCCATGTGATCGCGCTATAGCTGGTCCTGGAACATATGAAAAACAAAATTGTATTTATGCAAGTATTGCAGGAACTATTCAACTTACAGCTGTCGATCAACCATCGGCTAATTCAGATAAAAAACCTACTATATCTGTAGTACGTCAAGATCGTTCTTTAGCTGTTCCTTCTGTTGGTTCATTAGCATATTGTAAAGTGACGAATGTTACATCTCGTTTCGTACGTTGTCTCATTTTTGCTATTAATAATCAACCATTAAAAACACCATGTCATGGACGAATTACACGAGAAAATATTGAAAGTATAAATAAAGATTCTGTTGTATGTAGTACAAAATTTCGACCAGATGATATTGTACTTGCACGTATGTTATTAATTTATTTCTCTGATCTTCTTTTATATATTTACTTCTATAGGAATTATATCACTTGGTGATGCTAATGCATATTTATTAAGTACAGCAGAAGAAAATCTTGGTGTAATTGCAGCTCGTTCAATTGCTGGTAAGTTAATATTATAAGGAAAACACAATGCAAAAATTTATTTTTTAGGTGAAAAACTGGTACCTTTTTCTGATTGTCAAATGACATGTCCAATGACAAATACTGCTGAACCACGCAAAGTCGCCAAAATTCAAGGTGATTTAACAGATGAAATTTCAAAACTTACCTAAAAAAAATATCATTCTGTTTTGTTATATGTTTGTGTGATAAAGAAAGAAATTCTATTATATAGTTTGGATATATATTGCTCGATGAATTTGTTTATTTATTAATTAGAAGATAAATAATATCAATAGATATATATATAAACTAAACTTTGAGAAGAATTTAATAGCTACTTTTGTTTTCATTTTACGATTCATTGACAATCATGATGTTTGTCTTACATATTTAATAAGATAATACTTCTAATTAAGAATAAAATTCAATATATGATCATATCTTTATTTGCAAAACTAATAGTAACAACCATACAAAATCTCAATGTTTATCAAAGTTATTTGTTTTTTCTCTCTTTTCTTTTCTAAACTTTGTTTTGTTGTGTGTATTTCTAAAAGAATAAGTAAGAGAATAGTGAGAGAATACCCATATACACACACATGAAAGAGAGAACGAAGAAGAAGAAGGAGAAGAACGTCGAAGAAATCAAGTATAACAACAATAACAAAAGTAATAATCAACAGAAATAAACATATGTTTCTTTTTTTTATAAAGTTGTTTAGCTTTAATGATTTTAAAGGAGAAGAAAGAAAAAAAGATAATAAAAAACATTTTTTCATAGCTGATATATGACTTTATTGCTGCCAGCTGTACTTTTCTTTTTGTTCATAATATTTGATGTTGTTGTTGTTGTTGTTGTACTCGTTTCTTGATTATGAAGCTATTTAAAGCAAAAGAAAATAATTTAATTTATTAAAAAAAAAGAGAATTTTTATTTATTTATTTACTTCGAATAAAATATGAATTTGTCGTGGAATATTAATTAATTCACGTAAACGTCGTCTAAATATACAAGTTTATTATAATATATATATATATATACTAAATGAAGTATTATACCCAATACGAAAGATAAGTTGTTGGTCATGGTGAACTGATGTCCAAAGTGCGATACGATCACAACTTTTACGTGCTGAAAGAACAACACCGTTAACATAATTTGTATCTTGTGCATATTGTCCACCGATAAGAGCTAACATCTATTTTAGTTCGACAATAAAAATTAAAAAAAAGATTGAAGCAAAAAAAATGAACTTACTGAAGCAAGCCAACAAACATCAAGGTTAAGATAGACCTGTTCTGGTTTGGAAAAATAAAGAACCCAACGGCCACCACTAGAATTTTGTGGATCTTCCCAACAAGGTAAAATTGAACTTTTAAATAACATATAATCACAACTTGGTGGTAAACGTGAAGCAACACGAAGATGATTGAAAAGTCTAAAGTGAGAAAGAAAAATTAATATAAAATATATTTAGTATGAGATCATCTATCTAGATTACTAAAGATAGTACTTAAATTCGATATAATTAATGGTATATAACTGATATTGTAGATATTTAGTTATAGTGTACCCTGTCTCGAGTACACAATATAAAAACGATGAACTTTACTTAAGTAATACATCGAGTATGTAATTAACAATACAAGGAAGTGAGAACAATATAATCCAACGAGTCTAAACTCGATCACTTGGATCTACTTCTGTAAGGCATTCTTTGATAGATTCAGTGTTCTATCTAGGTTTTTCCTTCCGAGAGTGCGATAGTGATTTCCGGGAGGGCAAAATCGTTCTCCGAGAGGGCGCCGCCATCTCTGCCCTCCCTCAAGATAAATCACTGGATAGATTAATGATTATTCTAGGTCGTCATACCTCCTGATATTATTAAGTTTACTCAGACTATTCTGAATTTAATTGACAAAAAAATTAGTTTAACATATGTCAAATTTTCTTTGAGATATGTTTATACAAAAACGAATCTTTCTTCTATATGAAATTGTACATATCAATTCATCTTTGAATTTGTATTTTTGTTTTATATCTAAACATTAAAAATGATTGTTAAACTTACGCCCAAAATTCTTCGACATAACCAAATGTTGCTAATTTCATTAAATTTTCTTGCCAATCTTTTCCTTGTTGATTTTTTAAATACCAAAATGACCATTGATGTTCAAGTGGATGTATTAATTCAATTTGTTTATTCATTAAAATAAGTGGCATAGGTGATTCACTTGATTCTAATGTTGAACCATTCGATGATGATGATAGAAGTGGTCCATCTTTACGTTCACCATTATTTAATAATTTTTTTTCTAATAAATTCGTTATATTTGTTGGTTTAACAGTATTTAATTGAATTTGTTGAGCTGAAATAACAAACAAAGATCGAATTGTTTTCATTTCAAAATGAATAAACTTCTTTTATACATACAGTTATCGTTTATTTGAATAATATTTTCTTTGATATCGTCAAGTAATTCATTAATAATATTTGGTGTTGATGATTCTGTAATAAGATTTGTCATTTTTTTATCTGTGATTTGTTTTTTTTTACAAATTTAAATACAAACGTCCGACGTGTGTATGTATGTGTATAAAAGAAATTTTCAACTAAACTAAAAGAATAATGATACCTCGAATCGATTTGTGATTCATTATCTGATGATACCGCGCATGTTATTCATTGAAATAAAAGATAATATGAAATAATTATTTCATTAAAAATAAATTTTAGAAAAAATAAAACAAAATAAAAATTTAACTTTTAATCTTTATTGAAGTTAAATAAAATTAAGAATGCATTACTGCATTATTGTTTTCAATTATATGCTTTTTATTGGATAAAAATAACAAACACATACATTCTTTTTCAATTGAATATTTCGTATTGTTAAACATTGAGATGTATCGATTCTATATAAATTGTAATAATTGGACACCAACACGTGAAGAATGGATTCATGCAACACGTTGTATAACCCAGACTGAACTGGAACGTATTGATAAATTTATGTTTCAACGTGATGCTAAATTTGCTCTCGCAGGACAATTATTAATTCGTTATCTTCTTGCACAAGCATTGAAACGGAAAAGTTCATCATTTGAAATTCGACGTACTGAATATGGACGTCCTTATATTGAATCAACAGAAAAATTTGATTTTAATCTTTCACATCATCATCAATTAGTTGCTATTGCAGGAACATTTGATGGGCTAGTCGGTTGTGATACAATGGAATATCGAGTAAATACTCCACCTAGAGAGCCAGTGGAACCATTGACAAATTTACTTCGAAACGAATTTACAAAAAATGAATATGATTTCATATTGAATAAAACAAAAGATGAAAAAATTCGTTTTCGTCATTTTTATCGTTTATGGTCTTTAAAAGAAAGTTATGTTAAATGGTTAGGTCAGGGTGTAGGTTTTACATTATCAAGAATGAATTTTTGTATAAAAACTGATGAATTTGATGAAAAAAATACTCAACAAGTTTTATCCGATACAATATTAGAATTGGATAATAAATCAGTTAATGATCAACTTCGTTTTGATGAACAAATTATTTATTTACCAAATAATGAACAACAAATAATAACATTATGTTCATCAACAAAAACTAATTGTCAACCATTTACTGAATTAAATATTGATGAAATACTTAAAAATTGTACACCTTTAAATGAAAATAAACCAGGTGAAGAAAAATGGTGGAATAATTTTCAAAAGAAAACTACAAAATAAATATTTCATGTAAGTTGCACATGAGATTAGTATTTATAAGAATATATGTAGAAGAGTATGATAATTATTGTTCATTATTTCTTTTTAGTATGTAGCCAATCAAAAACAATTTGGAAGTAAATTTGTGATACTAATCAAAATATTCGTAACAATTCTCTTAGCAAGCTCAAGCAATTATTATCTAATCAACGTATATTAATTAATTTCTTTTACAATGTCTTTCATTTTTCTTGTTTGTGATACTAATCTATTGACTATGTTAACTTCTTCCTTTTAAAGATATTTATTGACCTTTTATTTATATTAGTACTAATAATAATTTCGAAATCTCAAAGTTAAGATGGTAGAAAATATCAAAAATTCAATTTTATTTATTATGGTAATAGTCTCATGAGGAGATATTTGTCTTTTACAATATGATGAAAATATATAATCACTTACAGAAAAAACTTTTGACATCTAGCTCGAAGTAGCTATAACGGTCATTGGTTGAATAATATATCTTCAATAGTTCTACTAGAAAATGATCATAGACTAGTATGACTTTCTATGTTTCGAGTATGTTATACGTAGATTTATTCTGTACTTCTCTTCACATTATTAAATCAGAAGAGATCGTTGTTGGCTAAGATGTTCAAGCAAATAACTGAATTGTAGATTTGTAATATGAGGAAAAATTGATAGCTGCGACGTCTAGAGATATACGATTTTGAAAGTGCTTATCGTTGAGAATAACCTTTTATTTAACTGTTCAATACTACAAATACTAAACGTTTAGAAAACTTTTATTAGCAATAGTCTTTATATCGGGATAATGATTCAAAACAAGTGAGCCACATCACTGAAGACTTTATCAATGTTATTACATCATGAATAATAAAATACCCAGCTATTCTCTTGATTGATGATTCTATATATAACCTTCGGCCACCCATAAGACATAATCTTATATGAAGAAACTTGGATGATCACTTACTATATGTACGGCATGGCTTTTAGAAAATATGGTATGTTTCATGATATTTTTACTCAATTTTTGTGCCATATTTTCAAACAAATTTCTTTCCTGTATTGTTTTTTTTCTGATTCCGTTTTTTGATATTCCATGTGTAAGGATTGATATTTTAATAAAAGCACAGTCTCTGTGATAATATATATTGTATTCGTTTGTTTTTTGTAAAAACTTTTTTCGCGCATTTTTAAGAAACTCAATGATAAAGATGTTTATTACATTTCTCTTGAGATAGTAGTCTATATTCATAAGTGATCTATTTTAAGTACTCAGATTTCTAATACTTTAGTAAAGATTATCTCTAAACTCTCACTCTGTTGAGATATGAGATTCTTCAAATGTACGAACTTTGTCAAGAGTTAGACTTGTGAAGAACATGCAAGTTTAAGTAACGATATTATTACAGTTTGTCTATTGAGATAATGTTGAATATAAAAAAAACAGAAATATAAAAACAATATGAATAACAACAAATTGTCGAATTTGTAAAAAAGAAAATAATATTAATTACATATTTCTAACATATGCAGAACAAAAAAAAGGCAAGTATCATGAGTCGATCATGAATATGTATAATATGTTAAAAATAAAAGGAAGAGATTAAACTTCGTCAGAATTATCATGAATTTTACTTCGCTGATGTTTCGACTTTGTTGAATGTTTACGAACAGTTCTTGGTGAAGTTGATCGTTTTTTTGATGTTTTCCTTTGAGAACGGCTAACTGATGTAGTAGATGCTGGTCGAGAAACTTGTGGATGTTTCTTTCGATACTGTTGACGAGGAGGACGATGTTCATTTGTTAGTTTAGTTGTAGTACGTTTTTCTTGATTCAAAGAAGAATCAGTTGCTGCCTGTGCTTGCGATTTTGTACTATATGGTTTGATCTTATCATCAGAATCAACACTAGCATTTGAAATATCATCTAATGATGAAGGACGTTGAACGGATTGATGTTTAGGAATAGGTCGATCGGTGCTTGATTTGGCTGCTTTAATATTATTTGAAGTTGATGGTGTGGGTTGAGAAGTAGATTTCTTATTTGACATTTGTTTTGAAGTGCTATTGTTAATACTAGATTTTGTTGTTTTATTTTTCAAAGGTACTCGTTCTTCTTCTTCTTCACTTTTATTGCGATTTTGACGAGAATTGTTGTTAATATTTTTTGTTCCAGTGGATCTTTTCGTTATTCGTTTTTCTTCATCAGTATCATCTTGATCAGTGGAAGGTTCGACTTTTCTCTCAGATTTTTTCGTATTTAGTGGCTTAATTACTAGTCCCGGCAAAAATACATCATCATCATCTTCGTCAACAATTTTATCGATAGATCTAACTCCATGATTATCACTATCAACATCTTCATTCTCAGTATCATTTGTAACTACATCTCCAAGATTATAACTATGATGATAAACATCTTCATTTGATCCTTTTTTAGTACTCTTCGACTTTTCTGTATAAACAAAACCTTGATTTAATGCAGGAATTTTTTTACATGTACTACGATATAATAAACGACTTAATAAATGCCATGAATTGCTTTCAATTGTAGAAAATGCTAAACATTGTAATATAATACTTGATATACGTAATAGAAAACATATTTTTAATGACATTGAAAATGTATCTTTCGTTGAACTGAAATGTGTTAATATACTTTGAGCCATTGACACGAAATAAAATGGAAACGAAAAGAATAGATTTAGTAAAAGAAATATAACATATAATAATGTTATATGAAGATCATTCTGTTTTGTTTTTTTTCCTTCTGATTTACAGCATGTCGGTGTAAAGAAACTATAACATATTGAAACTATCATTGATTTAATAAATAATACAATTAATATAACAAATAAAATAATAAATAATATTTTAAATACGGATGATAAACGACCATCAATTGAACATCGATATGGTGATTGAATTTTTTTAGTAATATCATGTAATAATGGTGGAGCAATATCAGTTACTTTATTCACAATAGATTTAAAACTAAATAAATTTTTTGAAAACAGTATCGCTAAAATAATAGCAGTAAATATAAACCAAATAACAAATAAAATAACTTGAATCAAACAGGGGTTTGTAAATATTTTAGTCCATGTCATTGTAGTTTTACAAAGTTTTGTTATTCGTTCAAGTGAAAGAAAAAGTAAAGCAAAATGCATAATTGGAATTGTTACATACATACCTAAAATATTATTTTATTAACGATCATTTATTTAAATTATCTGTGGAAAAGAAGATGTAAACTATCCATTGAGATATGAGTCATCATTGTATTTTTAGTGCCTCTGATAAAGTGTTCGTATTCTTTATTGAGATCCCTCAAATCTTGAGATAGAAAGATATAATATACGCATGGCTTGAACGTTCCATGAAATACCGCTTAGTAACAAAATTTAATTGAAGAAATATGTATTAACTCGTTGTTTGTCCGTATAACATCTAGGTTTTTTTCTTAAAATTATTGCATTAATAGCGACTATAAATTTTTGACCGAGAAATAAGATATATGTGGGTTTGTAGAGAAAAATTTTCTCTATCGAATTCTGTTGTGTACCGTAAAAATTGATTTTTGGTTTGAATTCAAGCCAGATAGAGACCTGCGTCGGAGTCAACCAAATCTCTTGCCTATAATTCAATTTTTACATTAAATTTTTTTTGAGGTGAAGGTTTTGTTCTCTGGTGTTTTTTCTACAAACTGATGTATTTTGAGGGTTCAAATCAATGTTTTATTCAGGTACACGGACACAAAAGATAGTTGAGTGCAGGTCTCTAATTGGCTTGAATTCAAGTCAAAAATCAATTTTTACGGTGCGCAACAGAATTCGATAGTATATACACTATTCGACAAAGAAAATTTTTCTCTACAAACATACATATGTCTTATTACTGGGTTAAATTCTACTATGAAACTTGTAGTCGCCTTTATAAATAATACTCCTAAAAATATGGACTAATACTAATGGAATTAAAATTTGTATGAATTGTATCTAGTAATAACTCAAAATAGGACACATCGGTTCGTTATAGTAGAACTTCTTTTTGATTAAAACTATTATATCTTTAATCATGACTTTATAACACGTGACATATCATCTTTAACTGATTCTATATCTTAATGATCGAATAAAAATTAAAAAACCCTTTTTTACATTGTAATAATCAACTAACAAAACTTCTACTCTATTAAAATTCATAAAATAATAATAATCATACAAACCATAATTAGCAAATTGACACATAAAAGAATTTAATTGATTTGTTTGTGCCACATTAATCATTGATAACAAAATATAAATTAAATAAAAAAATTCACATAAAAAAACATGGAAAAAAATCATTTTAACACCATTTGTCTTAGTTTGTTTATTTTTATTTGGTATAAATATTGTAATAATTGTTGGTATAATACATAATATTGCAATAATCCATAAACATATAAGTGCTACTTTTATATAAACATCTTCTGCACTTTCTGGACTAAACAATGAATCATAAAAACCTTTTGGAAGTGTTTCATTACGTTTCGATGAAAATACACCAGGCAAAAGATCTTTTGTTTTATTCAATAATTTATCAAAACCCGTTCGATTCTTTGCAATATCAGTGAAATTACGATATTTATCACGCACATCATGATATGTTTCATTTGATATTAAACGTTCACGAATAGATGATGTAATATTAGATTTAAGTTTCTTTTTAACTTTATCATTGAAATAAGTCCGAAATGATGGATGCGAATTAGATGACATTAATAAAGAATGTCTCTTTTTTTCTTACAATTAAACTGATCTATTTAAAAAATAAACATATCTATATATTTCTAATTCATAATATTTTCACATATTATCTTTTTTAATAAAAGAAAAATACAGATGGAATATTTTCTCCGTAAAAAACTACAATGAGAGTACATCTGTTTCATGTGAAGTTTTACGACTTACACAAACGTTTGTAACAGTTGACGTATTAAAAGAAATCGTATAGAATAAATATTATAACATATGTACATACGCGTGAAGGTGAAAGTAAAATAATGATTGTAATATTGATTTTATCAAAATTATTCTTTCTTCTTTTGAGCTCAATTTCAGATTAGGGAGTCTAAGCTAGTCCAAAACTGCATAGATAAAATGGTAATGATAAATAGTATACCTCTTGATTTATTCAAGTGGTGAGCAGTACTTGACTCAGGATTGCTTTTATTCCGCTGACTCGAAATCTTTCATTTCTGGCTTTTTTTTTCTCATGGTTGATTTTATTTCTTACATCTTATTCTTTCTATTCATAAAACTCACTTGCTTTTTTTTCTTCTAAACTTATATTTCATTTCTTTTTACCTTGAAGATTGTTGTGCTATACATACACTCTATACATAAGTATATGCAAAAAGAAAAAGAAAAATAATTCAACTACCGAATCATATAAAACGATAGAAAAATGAGAACTTCATAGTTTGTTATATGATCCTTTTATACAGGAGTGATTAATATAGAAACGTTAAATATGGATTTTTTTTCATCGTAATAATGATTGCTTAATAGTTGAGAAATATCGATAAATACCAAGATATACCTTTTTTTTTGTCTTTCTCTAATGATATACAGAATTTTAGTCGTTATATTATCAGTAATTCTTCTTTCGTAATATAATGCAATCGTACTTACTATTCGTAATTTCTATCTACTGATATGTCAACTAAAATTTCTTTTTTTCTTCCAAAATGAGTAATTATATCCATTCGTTCATAATACATAATACAGGGAAGATAAAAAAAAACGAGACGGATCAATTTTCATTGTTATATACTTACATTAAGTATATATCGATTAAAATATATGTAATTGTTTGAAGTGGTGTCAGCTGAATATGGTGTTAATGAAACTAATAATGTTTGAGAAACAAGTATTATCGAACTACTTATTTTGTCATTAACTATCTTATATATTTATTTAAGAATATAATATCATTGATGAAGAGACATGACTGTGAAGTGAATCTTATCGATAAATATATAGAATTATTCATCATATATCTATTTGCTGTTATTGAATCATGAGAATCTTATGGGGCTATATTTTTGTTTTGACAATTGTTTATAGTTAAATTTGATAAAAAAACGAAAGTTTTATTTTATGATTGTTTTTCAAGGTTTTTATTCATACAACTAAACAAATACATTCACCTTGTTGTCTTCAATGATTGTATTTTACTCTATGAGTAATGGACAAGGACACTCACAAATATTCATGACATCATATGTAGTATGTTATAGTAATGTACTTCATTCACATGACACCTTTTATTTTCTTTTCTAAAATAGAATCGAAAATAAAAGAAAAGAAGTAATAATACCTCTAATATTTGATTTGACATTTTTTATGTAATTCTTATGAAATATCAAATGATACAGAATATTTCATTCTTTAGAAAATGAATTACACGTCATCTATAAAGTCGATATTACGTATTAATGATTGAAAGTTTAACATTCACATAAGATTGATTTATTATCAACAACGACATCTAGTTTTATTGATTGATTTATATATATTTTATAAAAAAAATAATTAGTATCTTTCAAAATATAAATATTTATATATAAAAAACTTAAAAAAGAACTGCTCATCCAAATAATGTTCAATGTTGAGGTTTCACCTACACATATCAACTGTTGATGGCAATTTTGTGTGTCTGTCAACGAAATATATATAAGCATGGTCGACAATTGAAAAGAATTTATTGAATAAAATCAATTTTAGATGATCTAAATTAAAATAATGTCAGTCATTAAATCAAGTCGTCCAGTGCCTCAAGCCAATGTAAGATAACATAATGATTATTATTTATGTTATAAATAATTCTATTGATAGGTTTTGGATAAACCTATACCACAAAATCCAAAATATAAAAATATTCAATCAACAATTGATACAGGTTTATAATAATATATTCATTTTTACAATGAAAACTATGTTGAATTTTATTAGGAGACAGTATTACAAAGTTTCTTAAACGAAGCGAAGAATTAAAAGGATGTAAGTTTAATTTTCATATACTCTTTCAGTAATTTACTTGTAAAGTTTTTATGAAAACAAAAGATTTACACTATTCTAGTTTTTATTTATTAGATAGACATTGAATTGCCTGTGATAAAAATTTATCATAGAAGGAAATAGATGTTCAACAAGTATTGAAATCTAGTAGATAGAAAGATTCATAAAATTTAATTAACTTTTGTGTCAATAGAAAATAAGGAAGCTATTCAAATGGAATAGAGTGAAATTTCACATTTTTGTCCGTATATAGGATTTTCTTAAAGCATATTTCTTATTAATGCTGTGGGCAGTCTGTTAAATATAAATAAATAAAAGACTTTAGTCTTTTATTGAAATAACATCAAAGACCTCAATCACATCCTACATAGCATTATTTATTTAAAGTGAGGACATTATGAGTTCAGTTTAATGATAATAAAATATTCATGATAAAAGGTTCATGTATTGTCATATTTTAATGGAAAAAAATTTAATAAAACATATAAAGATGAATTTGGTCTGCCATTTTTAAGACGCGATGATAATGGATGTGATAGCAAAAGAAAACAGATTGACCTTTGTCTTTAGAATTTTTAAATGAAGATTCAAGCTTATAGAAATATTCTATTCTTGAGTTATACAAAAAATAAAATTAAAAGAATACCATACATCAATGTCATTATTATGGAAATTTATTATTTTGTTCTTGTAAAATAGTACGACAATAGTACTTATTTTGTTTCGAACTCGTGATGTATAATATAAGTTTGATCTACAAGCAATATTTGAACTTGTGTTGGCATTATTAGTTGAAATAATTTTATTATTGGTTCTTCATAAATTATATCAAGTTCGTCTGACTTGAAATATAAGATTTGAATGATAAAATCCAGTGAATATTTGTATAGTATGATATCATTAACAATTAAAATTAGATGTAGAAGAATTTATATGTTTAAAGAGAGATAGTTGATTCAAAAACAAAAGTCTCTTAAAAGTTTAGGACATATATATTCTTATAGGGTTCGTCGGGTTCTCCTTGAGTATGGAAAAAACTTACAAAGATTCTAGGTAACTTCTAAATTGCCTATGTCTAAGTTAAATTTATGAAAGCCCTAGGAAATCTTGTGATGTTTAATTACCGGTTTTATTACTATTATTAGATAAATAAACACGAAGAAAAATTATTAAAACTGAGAATATCGAGGTATATTTAATAAATGCACTTTCCAATATATGTACTTACCATTTATTTCTATACTCTATAAACAAATATTAACGATATAAAAATCGCTGAAATATTTTAATGAATTCCAACGGATTATATAGAATCACCTATTCCTATATAGGACATCAATTTCGAATTAGATCCTAGTCTTTTTTATAGAAATTTATTGAAAAATCAATTAATGCAGTCTTTCTTCAATATGTTATCCTATAACATAAGTAAACACAATATACTTTTTCTGAAAAAAAATCAAGGCTGTTATGTTCAAATATCCTATATATATATATCACCTGCTCGACTTAACCTTCGTTCATTAAATATTGGATCTTAAGGCATTTTATATTACTTAAAACACAAAGCATATGAACCAAATGTGGTTTTGAATGAGTACTATCTAGCAATAAATAAAAATTTTGACACAATTCTTAATTTCATGTAGTATAAAAAAAAGCTTGAATCTTTTATATGAGATCAAATCAAATTCTAAAAATAGGATTGATCATCGGTAGTATAAAACTGTTTTGAATAATAGTATTTAAAAAAATATCGGTCGTTTTGATAAAGAATTTTTGGTACCGCAAAAGAATATATATAGACATTGTTATCGTTCATGCAAACTGTTACATTTATTAATGAAACTCTTAAAAGTACTCTAACATCATGATTTTTAAGAGAAACCTTCCTTGTGTTTTTTGTAGAAAATAGAAAGACTACGAAGTCAGGCTATTATTGTATTCTGACATTGAGAAACCAAATATACTGTCTTTCGTTTTAAATATTTTGACATACATATGTACAAGAACTTGATTGTGCACATTTTCTGCACTCACACGTAACATTGTGCTAGTCATGATGTATAGAAACCTCACATTTTCTAACGAAGAATCAATTAATATTTTAGATTATATGACAGTAGATCACTGCTCATTGATTACTTGTAAACATTTTATTCCCAGAAGAGGAATATCGATGTTCTCGAGAATTTTCTCATTCCTGTAAAATATTTAATTTCAATCTATAGTCTCCAAATTTTTACCAAAAACATTTCCGTGTTATTTAATAATTTCCGATTGTTATATTTCTAACAATCACAATCAATTCTTTTGTTATAACTAATTTTGCAAAAATTCCATTTAACATGTCTAAAAATGAAAGGCTATGGCGCAATGTTATTATAGTAAAAAGCTTAGTGTCATGATGATGATGCAATGCTACTGAGTGTAACGACTATTATTCAGACGTAGAAGTAAATATGACAAGTGCAGTCTGACATATAGAATCATGAAAATAATTATTGTTAATGAAACAAAATAAAGATTATATTATAATTGCGTTGAAATAAATTACGTTCATATTTTAAATATCAGTATTGAACATCAAGTTAAAATTTGTTAGTGTTCTCTGTAGGGAATTCTCAATATTAACATACTAGTTGAAAGAAACAGATTATACTTATTATCTCATACATAAAATAATAAATATGCATTATATTTAACAATAATATTTAGGTTTTTCTTTAGATAACTTGTAGGCATATTATTTCATAGATGAGTTCATTTTAAAAAAAATTTGTCCTAGTAAATGTAGCTTATCTATATACGACACAAGGCTGTGTTTTAAATTAATTTTAAACGCGGGTTTATTCTTTAAAATTCTCTATAAACATATTATTATTGATTCTATAAGCAAAAACAGAAGCTATTTGTAGATTTCTTGCCACTAACGTATTTTGCACTGAAAAAAATGAATGTTTTCTTGAACTGTCTAAGAAACCTTTGCATGTCTAATTTATAAGTTAAATGCTAAATGACTACTAGCATCATTCAAACGTCATCAGTCATGATTTGACGTGTTTAAATAACTTCTTTGAAAGAAAAACTCACGTGAGGACAAAATAATGCTAAATAAATGAATGTTCTCAAAATAATAAAAATATTTGATTAAAAGTTCTACTGAATCCTTCTATATATGTTTTTGACGTGTTACTGTTTCATAAATCTATTAATAGACCATGACGTTGTAAAGCTTTAAAAATCTTAATGAGTAATATTCAAAAATGATTTGTTAATTGTCAGTAGTGACCCACCCAAATTCAGGATATGATTATAAGTTGTCAAAAAAATGAAAGCGTCGGTGAGATTAAGAAGAATGTACTATTTAAAAAAATTCAATTCAATCGGCGAAGTGTTTTCTTGACGTCATTTCAATTTCTGTTGGTAATCATCTTATATAATTAAGATTTTCGACAAAATTTAGAAACTTTAAGAACATTTCACTTACTTTCATCATTTTTTATAAATAAACTTTTTCGAAAGTTCTTGTTTTGTTTTTTATTGAAAGAATATCTATATTCATGAAGTACTAACATTGTTTTATTAATTATTATGAATATTCTTTTATCAATTTCATTTCTTTTATTATCATCCAGGAACAGAACGTTAAAAATGATTATCTCTTAAAGCAATAAAAGCTTATATTCTATAGTTTGTTTTTCCTCTCAAAGATGAACTTTATTTTGAAAACTTTTACTGGATGACAGTTCTTTTACCACAGACATAAATTAAAGATTATTAAACATATTAATAAATTCCAAAGAATTCTAATAAAAAATTATTTTAATTTCTATACGTGTAGCATCAAAACAACAGCCAAATGAAATATTTAAACGAATGAAAATATCGACTCTTGTTAAATTGGTTTGTTGAATTGTCAATTAACAAAAATATAATCAAAGATTTTTTAGATAACTCAAGTAGCAGAAATAAGTTCATTAGAAAATGCTGCTCATGGTGATTTTTAACAAAAAATGTATTTTAATTAAAAAAAATTTAATTATTATATAAATTAGGTTCAAGTTTATCAAATAGAACATTTTCTAGTACAGATCGACCAGAGACACAGGATAGTCAGATGAGTATGGCTTCAGCACGATCAACTTTAGACAAGTAAATTTTACTTAGAAATTAAAAAAAAAGACTTGAATAATATTTAGTGTTGTTCATGGTATGGGTGAAGTAGATGTTTATAAAAAGTATATAAAACAAAATTCAACAATCCCAACAACACCAGCGACACCAAAAACTGCAAATAGTCAATTAACTAATTTCGATTATGAAGAACGGCCTTATCTACTCGTTGATCTACGAGATATTGATGAATTTAATAAAAATCATATTGTTTCAGGTATTTCTAATTTTGTTTAGAAATAGAATCACAAATTTAGGTTTTCTTTATATAGCTCATCATTATCCAGCTGCTATGCTTTCACGTTGTTCAAATAATGAATCAAAAGAATTACTTCTCTATGTAACTTCTTTTTCTTTTATATTATTTAACATTTTTAGTTACAGATCGGAGAATATAAACAATTTAAGAAAAAAAAACAAACATACATATAGAAAGAAAGAGAGTATTAACAAAAATAAAACAAAGTAGTTTGCTCTTGTTAGTTAGTTCATATAAATATGTACTATAATGGATGATTTTGATGAGTATTTCGACAATAATGTTTACTACAAGAACATGCGAGTGGTATCATTATTTGAACGGCTGTATGCGTTGAATCCTGACATATAAATTCTTCAATTCGATGATCAGTTACAGTACATGCGCTCGTTCGTAATACAAATCGATTTAAATTAAATTCCCATCGAGTACTACTAGGACAAAATCCAACACAAATAGGTAGTGTGAGACGAGGCGAAACTTTACATATATTTAAAGTAACAGTACGATTTTCTAGTCTACAATAGCTACCAATAGTTCCATTGACATAAATTAAACTTGTCGTTCTTAATTGTACAATAATTATAATAGCACAGATAACTTTGTATATAAATGAAGTCATTTAATATAACTAGTCTGAAAAAAAAGAATAATAACTACTGAATAGATGTTCGTTTCATATATTTCTAATATATATAGTAAACATCTTTTTTTCTGTGTTCTATTAATCTGAGAGAAAGAGAAGAAAAAGAAAAAGAATGGAAAGAAGACTTGAAGGAGACAAGGAGTTCATCTTGTGATACGAATACTACCTTTTATTCTACTTACATATAACAGAGTATTTTGATATTGAACAATTTTGAATTTCATTGTGAATATTCTATTTAAGTGAAGATTATAGATATGATTTTATATAATTAATTGTTTTGCTTATATTGTTATAGAAAAATCATAAAGGCAAAATTATTGTTTTATATGATGAAGATGAACATCTTGCACCACGTTCGGCAACAATTATGACGGAACGAGGTTACAACAATATTTTCGTACTTACTGGAGGTAAGTTTGCAATGAATCTAACTAAAGTATCTATTAGTGTATTTTCATAACCGACCTTAAAAATAAACTAATCGCTATTATTAATTAACAGTTTATATATATATATATAATCTTCATGTAGACTAATAAAAACAAATTTGTAATTATCAGTATAAGACAATCATGACTTTCATACTGGATGAATTTTGACAGGATCAGTCTTTGTTTATTATATATATATATGTATCCAGGCAATCGAGGGAATATAAAAAGTACATATAAAAATAATATGATTAGATATATATAAGCTTTTTTTAATGTTCATGTTATGAAGATATTACCTGTTTTTAATCTTCTAACTAAAAAAGAATTTAGTATATGAACGTTTAAGTGCTCTTATATGATTAAGAAATCTTTAAGTAAAAACTCTGAATATATTTTCAGGTATAAGATATGCTGTACGAAAATTTCCACGAGGTCTCATAACTGGTACATGTCCATTATCATGGACAACAGCAGATATACCACCAAAACCAACGAAAATTCATGATTGTTCACAATCTATGGATATATCTCATCATGAAGTGTCATTAAATCATCTTGCTATGCATTCAACAAGATCATTACCGGGTTCAATGGTTACATTTGACTCTCGTGAACAATTTACAAGTGAAGATATTGAAGCATTAAATGAACAACATGAAGCACATCTCTTACCAAGAGATAGTGGTACACGATTATCACGCGCACAAACTCAGGCATCGAAACAAAGTTCACGAATATCCAATATTTCTGAACGATCAAATATAAGTAATATTTCGGATAAACCATGGAAACCATAACGAAATCATTTCTTCCATTTTCTTTTTTTGTATTTATCTTTATCTCATTTATTTGTGCACGTAGTTTTCTAGGTTGTCTAATTTCTCTCATCTGCACTAGATAACCTTTCTAAACATTTATTTGTTAAAAAGTAAATATCAACGATTAATTAAAGAAATAAAAATATTTTCATTTACTTCGAATGAAATTATATTTAATGTACTTTTCAAACATATATATATTTTTCATATTAATAATACTAAGTTCAAAAACAGCCTTAAGTATGAGATGAAATTTATTTTCAAACGTAATATATTTTTAACTTTGAGATAAATACAAAATTGCATGACTTTCATACAATAGAAAAAAAAGTTTAACAAGAACAAAAAGTGTATAAAATATGACCTCAAAATGCGACATAATATGAACTCATGATTTTATATTTTATCTAAATTTATAATATATTTTTCTTCATTGTCAGCTGCTAGTCTGATAATTTAGTTAGATAGTGCTATACTGGAAAAAAACTAATTTAATTATTTAGAAGTTTTTTATATAAATATGTAATTACTTGTATATTCGCTATGATCATAGTTAAAGATTAATTTACGTCATCCACGAAATGATAAAATATCGTCTATTGCGACATTGATCATATTTTTAAGATAGTTCTTATTTTTAGATAGGGTGCAAACAGTTGTTTTATCTTTAGACGTATATAGTTATGTGAAGATAAAACTAAACCAGGATTAGTTTCTAATGTTTATATTGTTAAATATATTATGCATGGTTGGTTTTAATTTAATACGCCGAAGGGTGAGAAGTCCAAACGTCTTCATCATAACTTTGATCTATAATTTACTTGCCCTATTTATGTGGCTGACAGAACATATCAAACTTTTATCATAGAATAAACTATTTAACCTGTCGTGTAAAGTACGTTATATAAATGTTGAAAGTGGGTGAAAACTGATTATTTATGTAAAAAACAGTGCTCTACAATTAAATGTTACATAGATAAATTTAGAATACTCAAATAAATGTTTGTGATATTTTATGTACTATCACGTACTTTGTATTAATGACTTCTTTATGACTTATCATTGTTAACTAATTTCATAAAAATAATGAATTTTGAACGTACCTTTAAAGGAATAGAAAGGACTATAAAAAGTTTATAATTAGAATAACAATAACCAGTATCTTGCACGTATAATAGTTATAATTACTAATGTTTCTTCGATAAAATTTATATTTTACTCAAAACAACAGATGTAAAACAGCTAAGAAAACTTTTTTTGCTATTATATTATTCAGTATATTTTTTAGATTAAAGTATTTTAAGAATTAATTTTTATTTATATATAAATATATTTATACTCAGCTCCATATTACTCCGATGATATTTCTAATGACTAGACATATCTAATTCTAATAAAAAAAGTTTTTTACTCGATTGGATCATATATATATACGATCACTTGTGAATCTATGATGCTGCTTCAGTTCGTAGTAGTAGTAGATTTAAAATTGTTTAATTAATAAAATAAAATAACAAAATTTTTTTCTTGAACGATATGAAATAAAACATTAAATATTCAAAAAAAAAACCGTTCTCCGTTTTCTGACCACGATGACATTGATGTAGATAATAATAGCTATCAATAAAGAACATCTCAAGGCAATTAAGAAACTTAGAACGAAATAATAATATAGATCTTTTTAACAAAAATACTGCATAACACAGTATTCTTTAACAAATCAACTGTAATATTGAAACTTCATGTTCGTTATGTTACTCAACAATGTACGAAATCCATTGTTACATTTCAAAAAGTATAGCTAACTATGTAGATCCATATCTATAATGAGAAATAGTTTAGGACTACACCCTAGAACACTTTCATATGTAATATATTTTTTACAACTCAATTTGTTCATTTGTATGCATAGATTCATTAACAAAATTTTCAGGATAAAAATGAGTTCTAAACGGTATGTCAATAATAGTCACCTTGAAAGCATCGGTAATATCATGTCAAAGATTCAATTGAATGCTCTGCACTATATCAATATGTATATTGTAAACCAATATCTATCCTACTGACTCAAATGTATCTAGTAAATGATATTGCTCATTGAAATAGTTAAAGAAAAACATCGGTCATCACTTGTAAAGAGTTGACTTGATTATTTGTATATTATAAACTAATTTTCATTAGTATTGGAAAATTAGTGAAATATTTATATATTTTATTTCACAATTAAAAAAATAACAGAAATATACAAATCACAAAACGAATTGTATGTCGAAAAATATACAATTTTTTTTTACAGAAGTCGAAAAATACATCTGACTATTAATTTAAGCGAAGTTTAGAAAAAAAATTTTGTTGTTCATTTAACTTAATAGAATGTATTCCATCATTAGATACAAATATTAATTCATGATTGTCTTTTATATAACATAATGCATTAGCTATTAATGAATAAGATTGTATATATTTTTCAATGGTTAATATATGAATTATTTTAGCTGATGGATCATTTATAAAAAATAAATGTTTTTGTAAAGTATTCATATATACTGAACAAATTGTTAACGGACGTTCAGCATAGAATAATTGAATTAATTTTTTGGGTTCAAATTTTGAATCATTATCAAGAGTACAAAATATAACAGTATATTGTGAACTATTCATTTCAACAAGAAAACTCATTGTCGTATCATTAACACAAATATGTATAAAACGTTTAATTTCAGAATACATTTGTGTTAAATTATAATCATATAAATGAATCATTGTTTTAAATTCAAATAGTGATAACATCCAATGAAAGTCATTGTTACGAGAGATAATATATACATAATTATTATGTACAGTACCAACACCACTTGTTGTATCATTGGATATTAAATTATGATTATTAATATTTGGTAATGCCCATGAATTGATTTTATCAAATGAATCCAGTGAATAGAGGACAAAATCAGATTTAGTCAATATATAAAGATTAGTATTATCAATCGAACCAATTGATACCATTAAATCATCATCCCAATCAAGATTTTGTTCTCTTTTATTATAACGTACAATAGCACTTAAATTACCTTGAGTAGTTCGATTAAGTTGACTTTTGAAAAGAATTATATAAGTTTTATTACATGCCATTAATAATGATGTATTCTGATCATGTTTATATTGAGTTACTAGAATAAGAGAGAAAAAAGATTATGTAATATTTAATTGAAGAATATCATAAGATTTTTCAAAAATATCAAATCATAGAATTTGATACCATAGCATCTGTTGCTAGAACTTAATTTCAATATTTGATGGTTCACCGATTAGGTTAGCTTTATATATATCATCGAAATAAAACACTTCATCAGTGAACAGCGGCGGATCTAGCTATTCGGCGAATCGGCGATCGCCACCCCTTCGAAAATAGATACTTTGACAAATATCGAAAACGGGTAGAACACTGTAGGTTTCTCTCCTAAAAAATAATACTATTTTCCATTTTTTTATAAACCGCCACCCCCTCATGAAAATCCTGGGTCCGCCCCTGTCAGTGGATTTTTCTAAAATCTAGTCGATCAATAGATTCTAGTAGAAATTCGTTACAAGTTCATTTGGTGTAAATATTTCTCAAACTTTTTACCTCCTTCGATCCGAAAGATTCGTCATCTTTAGTGGATAATTATTACGATTGTGTAGACATGAGAATTATAAATCCCTATACATTTTTTTGATTTATCCACTTCAGCAATATAGTTATAATTAAGAGTTGTATATAACTATCAAAAATATAGACTATCTCTCATTCTCATTTAATGTGAAAATAAGTAATAAATCTCTGAATTTCTGTTTTTTTTGTCAAAAAAATAATTACCCAAATTTGTAGTTAAACTTTCTACTCTGGTAATTTTTGCAGGTACGATTGATCGATGATTTAATACTGGAATGACATTTGGTGAAGATGGTGTCGATCGTACATGCATTTGTCTACTAATATTTTCACGAGCATTTACATTATTACTTTGTACTGACGATGGAGTATTTAAATCACGATCACCTGTAGGTAAACTTTTGCTATTAGGTGATGATAGTCGTGTACTGATACTAAATGAACGTGAAGGAGCATTTGATACAGGAGATTTTGTTTCTTTGGTACTAAAAATAAAACATAAAATTCATCTAATTTAATATAAATAATATTATACATAGGATTATTGTTTGTTAAAGCTGGTTGACTTTCGAAACGTTTATATCGTACATCAAATGATGTTCTATGATATTCTTCTCTATTCAGATTTTCAGTTTCCTTCTTGACAAGATCTGTTTGTTTTGTATTTACTAATATATCTTGTTTATTATCAATTAATATATTTATTGGTTTATCAATCGAAAAATAACGATTAATATCAATATCATTCGTATATAATTTTGGTATAGTATTAATCACTGTTGTTCGTTGTTCAAAATGTTTTTCATAATCATGCAATTTATCTTTAGCTTTAAAAGAAAAATTAAACATTGAATTAATTTCGAAAAATAAAATTTTCAAACCTTCTTGATGTTTTCCAGATAAAAATAGCTCATTAACTTCATCGATTTCATCATCAAATTCTTTCTTATTTTGTTTTGATTTATTTAGATTTTCTTCACGAATTTGATCAAGTTTAATTTTCAGTTCATTTAATTTATCTTGAAATTTCTTTTCAAGTGATTTTATATATTTCGATGCACTTTCATATGTTGAATCAATATCTTTATTACAAAAATCTTCATCATCAAGAAGAGCACGTTCAAATTCTTCAATACGATCTCCAAGATATTTAATTAATTCGTCAGAATCATTTGTTGATTCACTATCCATTTTGATTCATACATTCGGGTTTTTTTCCTATACAGAGATAGTCTTATTGGAATATAACAAGAGTCATGCAGACATTGGATTATATAGATGGCATCAGTAGACGAAACATAATAAATATATGATTTTATCAATTGATTTATATATATGATATATAAATGACGGTTTTATTTAGATGAAATGAAGAGAAATTTATTGATTAATATTTAATATAATTAATAATTGTTATAAATATTTAATAAAGAATAAAATTTATATTATTATTATTATCATAACGTTTTATTTATTTGTCGTTTTTTGTTCACTAGAATAACAGATTGTTATGTTAGTACTGATAAGAGATTTATTTTGTTGATAATTTCTCTCTCTTTATTCTTGTTATCGATTTGCTCAATTTTGCTAAACATTTATCAGTGAAAAATAGCAATATTTCTTTTATTTTTCCTTCGTACTAAACACATGATTCGTTTTAATATCACAAGGTGTATGACTATATTTAGATAGATATATCTGCTATGAAAAAAAGTTGAAAGACAGATGTCGTGTTGCTAAGCAATAGTTCTCTCATTCTCAACTAGTATTCCCTTGTAAATGTCGTCGTCTATCTCTTCTTTCTCCTCGACGGGCACACGCATACTCTCACGACTAACTCTGTAAGAAAGACTCAATCCGTTTCTCTCACTTCTTTTATTCTTCTCTTCTCTTTTTCGTCTTTGTCTCTTTCTTTACAACACTGCTACCATTACTCACTCACTACTTCTTGATTCTGCACCTTCTCCGTCTTCTTTCTTCTCTTTCATATATATATATATATATATTTTTAACTTAACAGTCATACACATAGACGGACAAACACAGATCAGCAACAAAAACAGCAGACATTTTCTTGTATGCATGTACGAGTGAGTGTTCTACTATAAAAGCAGGATATTAGGTATAGTTTTTATTAAAAGAAAGAAATGATTCAAGATAGAAGAAACAAAAGAGAATGATGTCATCGAAAAAAAAACGCTAATTTCATCCATACTGAAACAATAGTTCTGTATAATTTTGTAAGTAAATGTCTTACTTTTTTTTTCTTTTCTTAGCTTCACTGCATTAATCAGACACTATAATTTCAACAAAAAATAGAGAACACATGTCAAAAAGAAAGGCAATAACATATTGTGTGTATCATGAGTCAACTATTTTGAGATTTTTCCCTTCTATATTTAAACAATAAACTTCTGTTATAAAAGTAACGTTAAAAACTAAATATATATATATATTAGTCTATCTTTTGATAACAAATACGATATCATATTTGTTTCGTTGTTTTCTATATTATTGAAAGATAATTTTTAGACCAATGTTAACTCATCATCGTCAAACAAATTTCAAACAACAATTACATTCTGATCATGATCTTACGGAATTATCATGGTTAACACAATCAGATATATTCGATCGATTATCATCAACACGTCAAACAACACCAATACTTAGTCGAAGTTTACCGATATACAATATAAACAAAGAAGATATATCTCGTCATCATCATCGTTCATCTCGAACAAGTCTTGTTGATTCATCTGATAGTGAACATGATAATGATTCTTCATCATTAAATTCTTCAAGTGAACGTGTAACAACAAATTTAACTGATATTGTTTCTCCTCCACATTCAGCATTATGTTTTTGGATATTATTTGCTATTGAAGAATCAAAAACACATTCATTAACATTAAATGAAATATGTGATTGGATTGAACATCATATTGAACAACAACAACGATTAAAAACAACGATAAATCCATTATCTATTGATGAACAATTAATTCGTAATGCTCGTTTAAAAAGTAAAATACGTTATCATATGACAAAACAGATCTCATTTTTTGTTAAAATAATTAAAGATCCAATTAGTGGAACGAAATTACGTTATCCATTATGGACAACTGATCGTTCAAAACGTTTATTATTACTTGATACATTATTAACAATGAATACACGACAATTATCATTATATACACAATATACAATGGATATTTATGAACGTTTATGTTTAGAAAGACGACAAACTTTAATACGTAATACAAATGATGAAAATAGTTGTCCAATATTATTATTAAATAATCGAAAACGTGATAAAACTATACATCGTCTTACATCAACAGAAGAATCCAATACGAATAATAAACGAAAAAAACAACGTTCAAAAAATGACTCATCAATTCTTTCTATTCCTAGTGTAGAAGTTGTTGATGCTGCTATGACATTATTACTTTTACGACAACCGAAATGAAATTAATATACATCTAAAAAAATTTATCTTGTTGTGTTTTTTTTTCTTCTTGTCGATATATAATTTGTTAAACATATACATCTATAGAAAAGATGAAAAAATAACTTTTAACTAAATGATATATATATAGTAAGTGCTTGAATATAAGATGAATAATTTTATTTTAGATGAGAAAAAACATGTACAATTATTCTTCTATATGACTTTGGATTATTTTGTTGTTGTATTTTTGTTATTATTCTATACTATTTTAAATGACTAGGTGAAGAAAGTATTACGTCTTCTTTTCTCGGTTTGTTACAACTTACTAATTTTTACCTGAAAAGAAAAAGAACATTATACACCTTTACCATGTAAAGTCTATATATATAATAAGAAAGAAAGGCAAATAAAACCTATCATATTATATTTGATTTGGTTGTTGTTTATAAAAAATGCGTCATTAAAAATCATAACATCATTATCAGAGATGATTTATTGCCAAGAGAAGAAAAAAAAACATAACGATGATCATCAGATTTCAAGTCAAAAATAAATGAGATCAAAACCAGAGAAAAAAAACGTATAGTAAGCTGTAAAATAAAAAAAACAATACCCATTATATTTTCTCGAAAAAATCAAACGAAAAATAAAATAAAAAGATTTACAACAAGGAAGATTGTTTAAAGTAAAGAGATTCACTGCAAAAATGGAATGATACTGTTATATGAAAGACTTTTATTTAACGATTGGCTGGATCAGGTGCATATAAACCAAGTTTATAACCATTAACAGCAACATTTTCATTGAATGATCGTGAAGGAAATGGATTAAATGATGAATATTTAGGTATTTGTACAGTACGTGATGTTAATAAACGATCAATAAAATTTGGTGTTTCTTTTTTTTCATTTGTTGTTACTTGACTTTTTTCATAATTATAAAGTGTTCGTGCAACAGTTTCAAGTTGAACATTTTCTTCAATTATAATTTGTTGTTGTTGTTGCTGTTGTTCAGTTATATTTATAGATGATATTGGTGTTGGCGTTGGTATTGGTTTTTCAAGATTAAGACTTATTAAAAGTTGATCGATTTCATCTTGTAATTCAGCTGCTTCAGCAGCTTCTTGTTCTTTGGAACGAGAAGATGTTGGTTGTGGAATTATTTCAGTCGTAATCGGCTGAATTACTTTTGATTGTCGATGATCTTGCACAGGTACAGTTGATGATGAAGTTGATTTGAGAGAAACAGGTTTTTTGAATTGATTTCGTTTTACATCTGTTGGTTTAATTAATAAATGATTAATCTAATAAAAAAAGAAATTAAAAAATGAAGAGATTTTTATGGAAAGATTAAATTACTAATGGACCATCTGATATGGAGCAAACAGATGGTAATCTCGAAGTAGAAGATTCCATTGAAGAAACTGTTGGTCGTCGAAAAGTTTCTGTAGCATTTGTTACTGATGGATGAATTGATGGTGCACGTGTTCGTTGTTTTTGTTCATTTGAAGCAGCTAAATTATAAAGGAGATTTCTATTTTATTTCTTTCAATATAAAAAACAATGTATACTTTGAATAATAACTTGTACTTGTTTATTACGATCTTTCAGTTTTCTATATTGTTGTCGAAGTTGACTTATATCAAGTGATAGAGAATCTTCAATTGTATTTGTTTTATGTGTTGTTGGTAAATTTGAATAAGCTCCAGGTGTTAAACGTGATAATGCTGTTGGATTATTACTACTTATCGAATCATTTGGATGATGTTCAACTAGAATAAGAATAAATAATAGATTAGATTTGAAATTTAAATATATATTGAAATAATACGTCGATTATTGCGTGATGAAGAAGATAACATTGCAAAACAAGAAACAAAATTAGCCATATCTTCATCACCTACGGTTGCTGTTTCATCATCATTATTTGTATTCGTTTTTGTTTTCGATCGTTTATTATTCTATAAAATAAAAGAATGATTTTCATATTAAAGATTCCGAATGTTTAACTGTATTGATTATTTCTAGAATTCTACAATATGAGAAAGTGATAACAGCTTGACAACGTAGAAATTTAAATGTACGTCGTATAAATCTTTCATGAAAAAGAACTATTATTTACTAAAGATAGACTTTTCCGAAACAAAAATTTTTTTTCTATAAATGTTGTCAAAACTATCAACATTAGTGATGATGTACATTGTCATTAAGACTGAAATTATATATTCCATCCAATCAAACACTTCGACTCTCATGAGATAGCATTATCTTTGTTCTGTAATCTATGATTATTGGTAGTGAATAATCCACAGACTGTCGACGTATTAGAATTTTACAATTGCTGAGATATGTTTCATCTATATTAAAAGAATACTTTTATCAAATTTATCCGTATTGATATATATTAACAGTAGTAATTCACACTCAAGAGATACACTTGAAGTTATTTGAAATAATCAATTCTCGGTAATTTTATATTTATATTTAAGAACAAATTTTCTCATGTAATAATACAATCGGTTAAACGTAATAAGCTGCTAGATATTTGTCTCGTTTATAAAAATGATTTTAGCCTTCGAGCTAAATTTTTTATTTGTTTTTTTTTACCGACAAATTTTCTTTCATCATATTTTAATAAAAATACGTTTTTCTTTCTTCCATTAACCACTTTATATTCTCTCACTATACTCGAGTTAATTCAAAGAATCAAGGTTTTACAAAAACTATATATAAATATCACAAAACTATTGTTTCAAGGTTAAGATCAGGATGAAAAACAACTTCATACATTCTTGTCATTTCCTTTAAATATTTATAATAGATTAATGAGAGCGATATTTTCCTAGAAAAATCTTATTAACAATGAATTTACTTTTATTTTTGGGTCATCACTATTCGTTCGTTGAACTGTTCGTTTAATTTTTTCATTCTCTGGTGGATTTGTCGCAGCTGCAGATAATTGTTGAAATGGTGTTATATTAAATGAAAATTTTTGACGTAATTCAGATAAAATAGGAGTTGGAAATACACCAAAATTATAGATTTCCTAATATATTATAGATAGGAATGAATAAAAAAAAGATGATAACTTTCTATTAATTATTTTACTTTGATTAAATTATCTGCATCAATAATTTTTTCATCTAATAATTGTACTGATAATTGTGCCATAACTGAATAAAATTGATCAGCAGTGGATACTTTCAAAACCGGACTAAATAATAATTTATATGAGAAATTCAAAAACAAAATCTTTTCGTTTCTTTACATAGCTAATTTCGACCATATTATAAGTCCAGTACGAAATAAAACTTCACTTCCTTCAATCATTAATGCATCCCAAACACGTAAAGCTACTCGTCGTGATAAACATGTTGCAAACAATGTTAAAAACCATTGAATTGTAAAAACATTCAATAAAGGTGGTTCATAAATTGTTCCGGATGCATCATGTGATGATGATTGAAGATTTTGTAAATGTAAATGTAATTTACCATTATAAACTCTTAACCATTCACGAAAAACAGCCATATCAACAGCTAATGCACGTAAATTATTTTCAAAAAAATTTGGTAATATACTATCGATTAAATAGATTAATATCATTAAAGCATATTCTTCATTCATATCAACAACATCAAGTATAACAGCAGTTAAAATATTTAAACCTTGACAATAACCAATTGATTTATTATAACGTGCAAATGCAAGTAAAACACGTTTTAATGTTGCACGATCATGTTCATTTGATGACCAACTACAACCAGTTCGATGAAGATCCTAAATGAGAGAATTTCAAGATGAATTTAATTATTAAAGAAAAAATTTACTTTAACGATTTGAATACCAAGTTGATCATCATCTGGATTGGAACAATTATTAAATGCAAATCGACATGTTTTATCCCAATCAAGATGTATTTCACGAATATAATTCATTGCTAATGAAATCCATAACTAAAATAAATTCGATTATGAATTAAATAGAGATGTTTTAATTTGTAATACTTTTTGACGAATTGAAGGTGGTACTCCACCTGGCATTCTTATTGCAACTGAAATAGCATCTTTCCATTGTTGAAAACCTTTTTCACCTGAATATGGTGTTAATGAAAATCGCATTGTTGTATCTTCACCTTTAAAAAAAAATAAAAATAACATTATTTTATATATATTCTTTCTTAAATAATTAATATCCGTTAGACAAGAAGCGAGACAACAAATAAATATTGAACATTTTTTGTTTTACACATATTTATCTTACTTGTTAATGATGAAAATAAAAAATCTGTTGATGTTTCCAATGTGGTGCCGATCGTCATCTTGAAAAAGTAATGAATATATACGGATACAAGTCAATGAATGTTCTGTACCATTAAGTAAAGAAAAATAACAAATATTTTTCTCTATCTAGTCCTGTTTCTCTTTTATATGAAGAATCACTTTAGTGAATATTAAAAAGGAAATAAGGTAAAGTATGTGAGACGAATAAGAAAATTTCTTTACTCTACTTTTTACTAAATTCATTTCTTCTAGAATCGTCGTTTTCTTTTTTTTTCTCGGAATAAAAATTCTATTGAACTTTATGTTATCATTGCCATGTATCTTATACGAAGAATAGCGCGTGCTTAGGCAGATGTTCGCGTGTGACTACCATCATCTTAACTTGTTGTCGTTCATCACTATTTCTGCCTTTCTTTTTTCCACATAAAAATAACGTTTGACAGAAGACAAAAGAAAAAAAAAAGAAAGAATCTAGTTTCCGCATGCGCATACAAATGCTAATTCTCAAACAAAACAAAATATAGGCAATAATATTTATTCTACTAAATATTTTTACTTTTACTTTAATACTATTCTCATGTTAATAATATTGATGACGACACTATTCGTCATTGTATGCCACTTAAAAGACATACTCCAAAAGAAAACTTGTAGTTTGTAACTAATCGTTGACGTAGTCTTTAAACAAGAACGAAAGAAAGTGATGCAAAAAAGAAAAAGAAATATTATGACATGTCGAAATATAATATTGACGAGAAAAAAACAGAATTCAATAGACAACATAACAAAGACGAATAATTATGACTCATTATATGTAAAGTACTCGTCTGATCATTAAAAAATCATTTTGTTTTATGTACAAAAGTCTGATTTCTTTCGAATAATGCATCGACACATGAATATAACATTTACATTTTTTTAATAGTGTGTCGTCATGTAAATAAAAGCTTTTTTCTTCTTGTAGTGTTCTAATTTCTCGTAGATTTTATTTAGTATTTTTAACCTTTACAAATATAATAGTTAATTAACTAACCTCATTTATTCTAAATATCTGATATTTCCCGAGAGAATTCGAATATTATTTGAAAAACAATAGATTAGCGGGAAAATATCTTGACAGTAAGCATATTGATTACAAAGGTACTCTTGTGATATGAAAATAGATCGAATAAAAGAAAATAATGTGCTATTGAGATCATTCATTTTTTTGAGCAGAATCAAGGTCATAATAACAAATCAATAGTTTATAAGATTAGTGAATAGCTGTATGTCATAACATTCTTTCGATTATATATTCTCAAGCGATGAAGATGACATAATCGAACTTTGATTAGTGACGAAATTATAATAGTGAAATTAAAGCGACAAGCTGAAAAATAGAATAAATAATTTAGGGAATCGAATTCTGCACTTTGCTTATCTTTTATAATATATAAAGATGAGCTAAAAGAATTGAGTTTTTAAGTTGATTAATTTATGAAAAACTATTTATTTGTGTGTATTTAAATATTGAAACTTACGTCGTTTAAGAGAGCCTGCTTGTAAAATAGCTGTAATAATATCACAATTTCGTTGTATTTTAGAAAGACTTTTATCACGATGACGAAGATTTTTAACAAGTACTGCATTTGCTTGACTAATCTGTTGTTGAATTTGAGCACATAAATATCGTAAATCTGGAATACCTAATAGAATTTCTAGATGTAAATATTACAAATTAATATTAAGAAAAACAATTTCATATTTCGAATAGAAAGTAGAATATAATATTTAAAGAATACATCATACATCTATATATGTGTATAGAGTTTTTTCTTAATCTTTTCCTATGTCATAATAGTGATTCTTTAGTTTTGTTATTTTTTTTAATAATAAAAATTTACTTTTATTAGCAAGATTTGTTCTTGAAAAGCCAGCATCATCATTATTTAAGATTGAATCATCACTTAATCGTCGTGCATTTAATGATTGATCAGTACAATTACCAGTCGTTACAGTATCACTATCTTGTGATGATGATAAACCATATGTACTATTTTCACGTTCATATAATGCACATAATAATGAATCAATAATGGAATCTTGTTTTGAAATCGGAAAATGAAATGCACGTCTTGTTAAATCAGTAAGACCAGCTGAACGTGCTAGATTCTTTGGCGATGAAGATGCTGTGTCAGATGGGATTGTCGTTGGTAGCGGAGATGATACTGGTGAAGGCATATATCGATTAGATATTGTTGGTGTATTAAAAGATATTGATAATGAACCACTACTATCAAGAAGTGATAATGGTGGCGGTGAAGGTAAATCATGATATGAATCATTTCGATATATTGGAGCATTTAATTGATTTGTCGGCGATGGTGAATTTGAAATATATTTTGGTGCTGCTGTAGTAAAAGTTTTTCGACGTGCTCGAAGATTCGATGGAGATTCATTTGATTGAATCGGTGTAGCATTATCACTCAAATCAATTTCACTAAATTCATCGGCCATATTTATTCAATTAAGCTAAAAACAAATCAAAAACAATCATTCTTGTTTTCTTCTTTATCAATGAAATACAAAAAAAAAACAAAGATTGCTATTCAAGGTTAATATTATTAATATTATTTTATTTGGAACCTATTTATCGTAGATAAATGTTGTTATTCGTTTTTATTCGACAAATGTATATAATGGTTTTATCGATATATTAAAACAGCTGTTCCCATATACACCAATAATATAAGAAGAAGAAAAAATTTACCAGAGGACGCTACTGAAGTAATAGATGACCTCGAGTTAATTAATTGTTTTTATAATATATATTACATTGAAATACTCAATGTCAATGAGCGTATGAAATCTATTGTATTATCAAGAAACAAGATAACCGCGAAAAGTTTTTTGTCAAATAGTATATGATAACAGTTTTTATTATATTTTGAAGATAACGATAATAAAAGGCCATAAGTAATTTTAAAGTCAAAAGGATTAAAAATTATCTGTGATCATATTCATTTACAATTCAAAGTTTTCATTTTTTAACCCTTTGAGACTTATGATTCAACCTATGGACGAAATCTCTTTAAAAATTGATATTTCGTGTGAGCATTGGGGTATTATCCACACTTTAAAAAAACATTTCAAGTCATTTTCAACTTTTAGCCGTGCCTTCTCCGGAAATGATGAGAAATATTTTAGCCACTTCCTCGGAGGTGTACAGGCGGGAACCAAAAACTGACTCAGTAGGGTTCTTAATCTTACATAAATATGTGCGTCAAAGTCTCTGCATTCGTGAGTTATTCGAAATTTATCAAATTTTAAAAAAGTGGGGCTTATAAGCCCCACTAGTACTTAAAGGATCAAATCAGTTAGTTGATAGAAAATTACATATCGTTTATTGCACAATATTCTGTATATCCTTTTTAAAATGAAGAACAAGTTCATTTAGTAAAATAGTTCGTGATACATTGAAACTAATCACAAATTGTGTTTTTATCCTTGCATTAAATCGACATTTTTGCTTCACTTATAGAATCATTTCATGGTCGATAAGAATATTTTTAGTTGATTACTTGATGCGATGTGACACATTGGTTTTTTTTATTGTTTCAAATATTTCAATATTTAGACATCTGTTCATCAATTCTCTATCGGAATAATAATTATAGTGAAAATATAAAATTAATTTATTTAATGATTCCATTTCTTTTTTCATTAATTATTTGATTATTCATATGAAATTCTTTTCATACTGCTTTTAGATAATACATATAAAATGTGCAAGCTAAGTAATTTTGCATCATATTTATTTAGAAACGTTTCTATTTGTATGTAAGATCGATAATTGAATGTATATAAGAAGTTGATTGCGCTATTTTATTATAAGTATAAGAAGAAGAAAAACTAATCTTCGATCGTATGATCATGATAGAATTCTGTAATCAAAATCTATTATTTATATATGAAAAGAGAAGGATAAAAGCAATGATAATTTGAATTAATATAAACTAATGATTCTATAATTTCATAATATTTATGTGTAAATTAATTTATAAGAATTTCTGTTTGCAATCTGAAAATAATTTTTTCTATACATAATTTAATCAATATTCAAGGCAAATTGCATATGCAATTCAATAGATAATACATCAAGATATATAATAATCTATTAATCAAAATGCTCAATTTAAATCTAAAGAAGTACTTTAGAAGATTAAGAATTCTTAAATAATAATCAAATATAGTTGTTAATACTCTTATAAAGTAAGAAATCTTATATCAGATAATAGTACTTATAGTAAAGAAAGAAAACGATGTAGAATATTAAAAAAAATTCTAGGAGGGCCTGACCGGGGATCGAACCCGGAACCTCGCGCACCCGAAGCGCGAATCATACCACTAGACCATCAGGCCGTTCTCTTATTTGTCTTAATACATTAGTACACACTGGATGAATTATTCTATTTATTTATTATTATTATTTCGATTAATATAGTTTTTATTCTCTAAACAAATTATTTTTTATGAAATAGATAAAATCCAGCATATACTGATTGAGTTTTTACTATTAAATATTAATTTAACAAAAAAGTAACATATTATTTGTAGATAGCATATTGACATCTGTATATAGATAGAATGAATAGAGGGATATTTATTAAATTTTGTACGATTGGCTTTATAGGATGATAACTATGTGGTACCTCTGTTCGAATCTAATGACCAGAAGTTAGAAATAAAATATAAACACGTCTGTTGATGAACAATCGAATTACCATCTGAGTTGTAATTTAATTATAACGTTGATTTTAAATATCGCGGCTATTTGTTATCTGAAGACGTTTTTATAAATATAATTTGACATTGAATTCAATAATTTTTTTTTTTATTATCCTGAGTTTTCATTTTTCTTTTTTTGTCGTCGTTGTATGTCATATTCTCTATCACATACAAATTGTGAACTAAAATGCGATTAAACTTATACATATGTCAGAAAAAAAACATTTTTAAATAGATTACAATATGTATAACACAGATCGAAATGGTGGGGCGAGAATACGATGAAACAGAACAAAAGAAACTTGAAGGACTAGAAAACAAAGAAGAAGAAAAAAAGAAGAGATGGAGCGTATAGTAGTAATAATAATAATATAGATAATGTTAATTCACAACTAAAAACAAACAGACTGTAAAATTATATAACCGTTTCTCGATAACCATGTGTTTCAAGGAAAGTATCGATTTTTGTTGTTGGTGTTGTTGGTATCATTAATGCTTTAGGTAGAAAACCAATTTGTCCATTATTTTGTTTTCGAACAAGAAAACAGGCTCGTCCAACTTGTTTAAGTACATTAACAGAATCACCACGTTTAACAGAAAATGATGCACGTGAACTTCGATAATCTTTTGTTATTGTAAATAAATTTTGTTGGGGATTTAAATTTTTTTTCATCTGTTGTGAATTTTTTATTATAATTGGTTGTGTAAGTGAATCTTTTTCTATTGCATCTAAATTTATTTCACTAAATTGATCACATAATATTTCACTCATTGTACGTGAAAAATGATTTAAATTTTTCATTGATGTTTGACCACATACAGAACGTGTTAGACTATTGGAATTTTTATATGATAAAATTGGCATAGGTATATCACATGATAAACGTCTTTGTTTTAATAAATACGATTTTTTTATCTTTGATAAAGATGAAGTTGATGATGATAATGATGATGATGATGATGACGATGAGATTGTTGGAGATAGAATTTGTTGTTCACTTGAAGGTGAATGACCTTCACTTGATGCACGTTTTGATTTTAATGTTGGTTGAACAGGTCGAAATGCACTATGTGAACTACCAAATTGTTGTTTTTGTTGTTGACGATGATGTTTTAAAATGATACTTGCAGGAATTTGTCGATGACTTTTAGGTAAATTATGTATGGTAGGTTTTATTCGTTGATATAAATCGTCTTTATCACGACGAACATTTCGTATTAAAGCAAATTCAATTGGACGTGAATGTAAAGAATTATTTGTTGAATTGACTGATTTTGTTAATAATTGATCATAATTTTCATTATTATTCATATGAAATGCACCAAATGAATGACGTTTATTAATATTATTTGCTAACATATCATTGACTGATAAACCATTTAGAAGTGTATGTCGATGTTGAACAGGATGATTTGATTCAATTGTTTGTTGTTGTTGTCGTCGAAGTGAATTATGATATGTATTTATTGTATCAGGAGTTTTCAGAAGAGATGAGCGTCGAATAGTAACATAATGAGCTGATGCAGTTGATTTCTTTAAAATAAATAATTAAAAAATTAATATTTAATAAATTTCATTGAAATAGAACATATTCTTTATCAGTAATGATTATGTATATCTAGATTGTATTACATCAGGTGGATATTATTTGCATATACTTATCATTTGAACGTTAAACTGTGCATGTATTCCCCGATGAATGTTTTAGGAATGAAAAAGAAAAGGCCAGATTTGATTACTTACACTTGATATAAGTCACTAGAGCATACAAAGAAAAAAAAAAGGGATCATTTTCTCCTGAATGCTCTTTTTGCCTTTAGGAGATATTCTTTCTATGAATGTCTATGTCTTATTTAAGAAGCAAAAAAAAAGTAAACACAACATATATAAATCATTTAGGTTTTTTTTTCAGAAATCAATAAAACAATATTATATGTCAGCATTTTTCATGTTCTTTCATGCTTGAAAAATAAATTATATCTGTTAATTATTTAGCTTTTTCTTTTTTTTTTCTGTAATGTATTTACTACGTAATCTATCTTTTATTTCTTTATAGAAATGCTATCCTATTATCTATACTTTAATTTTCCGCATAAATACCAAATTATTAGAAAACTCATTAATCAAAAAAAGAAACCGATTCTTGTTCATTTAAATCATACATGATTAATATTCCTTCTCCTACTTGTTAATTCATTGATGAATAAAGAAAAGAACATTTCCTTCAGAATTTTTATCTAGGTAATATCCGATAGAATAATAGTAAATTTAAATTGACACCTCTAACCTTTCTAAAAATGGTTCAAGGGGGAAACAAAAAGAAGAAGTATTCATATTACTTTTGACGGATTGGTTATTGTTGGTGGTTGTTCTGTGTCGGGTGTTGCTTGTTGTACGAGAAAATAAGGTGTTGATTCTGAATAACCAGAATCTTGTGTACTTGATGAATCAGTATCTCTTGGTGGTGGAGGTGGTGGTAAGATTTCTTTATTGTTTATTATTGATATATCATTGATTTGATGAATACCAACTGTATCTGATTGATTTGTTGTTATAGGCCAATTAATTGAACCTAATGTTAATCGACGATCTTTCGATGAAATTAATGTTGATGGTAGTGGTGGCGGAAGAGTACATGTATTACGTCTTTCACGTTCAGCAGAATCAATTTTTGCTAAATATTTTTTTGTATATTCTGTTGATTTTTCTTGATCATTAATAAAAGCTGAACTATGTGATAGATAACGATTCATTTTATTTTTTTGTTGTTGTCTATATGGACGAATAAAACATTTATTATTTGGTGATGATACTGTTAAATCAAGTTCATCATCTTTATTTGATGATGAATCTGTGGAAGATATTGATAGATGATGATGATGAGAATAATTTTTATCAGTTGTTATTATACGATTTTTATATAATGAACATATTATACGTGGAATGTAACCTGTTTGTCCAGTCGATTCAATACGTATGTAAAGCCATGGACCACGTGAAAATAAAGCTGTAACAAGTGTACCTTTGGTAACACCAATATGTGCTTGAGCAAATGGCTCAAAATTTTTTCGTATAAGAATACGTATATTAGCTGGATTTGATTTTGAATATCCATTTAATATACTTTCAATTGAACCATGTGATATCATAGATGGAACAGGCATTGTTGTTGCAACAGCTGAATAACATGATACATATGATGATGTACGATTTAAAACACTTTGAGACATATAACCAGAATCGTAATCCGTGCCGAATATATCAATTGATGGCGATGCTTTTGTTGTAGTTGTCGTCGACTAAAGAAATAAGCAATATATCATCATGTATAGATTATTTTCTACTTTTCTTTCTTTGATTTGATTGTGTATAAATACAATGTTTACTCCGGATTACCTTTAGTCAATAGCTATGAATGATGAAAAAAAAAGCGAGAAGGTCGTTGTTGACTTGATGGTTTTTCTTTCTTTTTCTTTTCCCTTCTTTTCTCACTATATCTATATGACTTTTCTAACTTTGCGTAACTAATTTTCTAGTTGAGATTTTTATATAACATAATGAACTGTCGATGTTATGAAGGAAAAAAAAAAAGAAACTAAAATCAAGCGTAAAATCAAGATGATTAGCTTATAGCATAGGAGAAGAAAAATCTGAGATGTAGCTCAAATAATCATCTCATACAGGGTATTTATTACTTCTGGTTTTTTTTCTCTCTTCTTTATCATCATCATCATCATCATCTTCGTCTTCTTCTTCTTCTTTCCTTTTTTTCTTCTTTTGTGTTCTATGTAAATTCTTAATCATGAATAATTAAGTTTCTGCTGTATGGAATGAATGAAAACGAGAATAGAAATGGATGGAAAAAGATGTGCTCATCATTTCATTAAAAATCGAGATGAACATATTGCTAATAATGGGAATAGAATATACCCTTGAGAATAAAAGATTGAACTGTAATAAGCAACAAATAAAATAAAATTTAATCAAGATGATAGAGTTTAGTACTTATTTTGATGTGTATAATCCGATGAGAAATTGACGAAAGATATATTATGTAGAAACGTTATTGTTATCTTTATTGAATAGATAATAATAACTCAAACGATCTATCGTTTTATTCATATATCAACAAGTAGAATCATGTGTGTGTGTGAGAAATGACATTATCAAAAACAAACATCAACGAATAGATTTCTGATTCTATTAAAATAGAAAACTTGTTAGTATTGAATAAATAAATAAATACATATATGTTTGATCTAATTATACATTGATAAATGACAAGTCAGAATAAAAGAAGAATTCTTTATTGAATTCCTTCTTTTTTTCTATACTGTAAAGAATAATCATCATCAGTCAATAAAATGAAATAAAATAATAATAAATTTGTATATACTAATGATGATTATATCATACTTGTTTCCTGCTAAATATTCTTAGGATGATTACAATTGTATTACATAAAGAAAGAAAAAAGTCAATTTGTTCTATCGTCTGTCTTTGGAGAACGGCTGGCTATGCACACTCTTAATTCTTGATATGTATATATGTATTGACGATGAATGAATGAAGTGTCACTACATAAGTCGAAACAACAATATGACGCAATAGATCTTTTTCTTTTTCTGTTTTTTTTCTTGTAGTTTATACTTACAGCATCTATTCCTTTGTTATTTGAAGCTTGTTGATGATGATGACGAGAGCGAAATGATGTTGGTAAAAGATTAAACAACGAACGACAATGCTCATCAGTCTTGTTCAAAGTACTTTTGCCTGTTACTTTCCGATAGGGTCGACGATGATGAGGTTCATGATGATGATGATGATGATGGAGTGTTTCCGTTCGTCGTGATGGTGTTGATGGTAATGGTTTTAGGTCAATCACAGAAGCAGATATTGTGCCACGTGTTGAAGTAGTATTTGATTCATCTTTGTAAGCTAAATGACAAAAATAATAAGTCGACGTTATTATTATGAACTACGAATTGATATTAAAAAATAATATCGGATTTCCGTCCATAGAGTATATATTAATATCGAATACAATATTTATTCTTGCATGATTTCATTTTTTGACATTGTCAAATACATATATATTTATATATGTAGATAGAAAAAAGGCCAAGGTTAAAAATTCTTGTCTTTTAACGAGAGCTAATCAAACAAGTTTAGTCTTTTATTTCAATTTTTTTCTTCTTCTTCTATTCTTTAGATGAACATTTCCTTTGGCTAATATTGACCATGCTTTTATATAATATAATATATATATATCAATCTTAGATACAATAAAAATCAATGCTTGTATGCATTCTATCATTTATTGTCTCGTCAAAGTCTTTGGGTGAAGTATAAGCTAAAGGGAAATGCTTATCTTCTCATTTCTCTTCTTATATTTGCCTCGTTTATCGTATCTATTCTGTCTGATTTAAGGCATCATATCATCGTCATTCATTAGTATGATCGTCCGTAGACAACACATGTAGTCAGTATAAGGTGAAATGATGCCAGATGCATATGTATATTGATATGTAGATCGATGCATGTACATCATCGTACAAAATAACTATGCATGTCTTCTAGTGAAAGAACAAAAATAATAAGAAAACTTACCAGTATGCTTACACAAAATTTCTTTGATTTTCTTCCACATCGTCGAACGTGAGCAAAATGTAGAATGCTCAATTAATCAATGAAATTAATGTTGTTATTGCTGTTGTCTTGTCATAATCATAGTGATAGCGATGATAGAGAAAAAAGACAAGTAGGATGTAAAAATGCAAGAACAATCTGCAATAAACGAAGATTTTTTTTTAATCAAAATAGTGCAACACGTTAAGTTATTGACATCGTATTGTGTATGTGTGTTCATGCGACTTTATATGTGTGTGTGTGTGTGCGCGCGCCTACTAGACACACATATATGATTAGAGCTAAACACAAAGGCGAACAAGAATGAGAAGTAGGGAGAGGAGATGATGGAGAAGGGAGGGAAAGAAACGATTTTCATTTTTCAGCCTCGAAGAAGGAAAATGAGTGGCTGAAGCAAAGACTCGAGAAGCATCAACATACACTGTCGGGAACAAAAAATAGAAGAGAAAGAAGACAGAATAAAGAATATATATATATATATATGTATATATAATATAACTAAATTTTTTACGATCTCACAATGTCAATCGGTCTGTAGATTAAGCATTCGAGCGCAACTCATCAGAAAGCTGTTGTACGATTAGAATATCAAAAAACAAAATCGGTCAATGAATATATGACATAAAAAAAATATTGTCGACCACTTCATCTAGGCTTGTCACATCTTGTACTTACATAAACAATATATAACGTCATAAACGACAAAACTAACATAAAGTGCAAAGCAGCTGGAAAAAGAACGAGACACAGAATGAGAAGGTACCTTTATACGTTACTATATTCCGTTCGTTGAAGGAGCCCGTCAAATACTCATCATTAGTTTGATGATATGGTGCAATAATGATGGCGACGGCCGTGTTGATATATATATATATATATATATATATATATATAATATATATGTAATATGTGAGAAAATGAGTTGCTTACCTCGTAAATGTTCTTAATCAAAACGAAAACAAGGTCGAAATTCTTTTTTATTTTAAATTGGAAACATTGTATATATCAAATTTCTTCATATTTATATAAATGAAAAGAAGAAAGTGTACAAAAGAACATTTACTACGTATACTCTACTGTTGTTAATTCTTCTTTCTCTCCTTTTTTTCTTCTTCTTCTTCTTCTACTTCTTACTTAGTCTTCTTTCTGTACAACTGTTTGTTCAGCGATTAGACATTATATATGAAGGATACCATGTTTCATAACTCGAGATACTGTGTATGTTTATATGAGTGTTAAAATCAAGGAAAGAAAGCTTTGTTATTTGTAGTTTTCCAATAGAGATTAATAATCTTTCAGATGGACCAAATTGATGATAAAAATGACACTTGTCAATAATGTTTATATGAGAATAGAGAAAAAACCTTATGCAATACCAATATATTTGTTCATATAAAGGCACCTGTTTTGTGTGCATGCGTTCAATTTCCGGTCAATTCTCTTATTCTTACTTCTCTTCGTTTGTTCATCTATAAGTAATACATACATACCTTAACGTCGTTTTGACGTGTGTTCGTATAGAGACTAAGAGAGCGAGAGAGAGAGAGTAAGAGAGACAGAGAAAAAGAATTTGTTCGCTCAAAGTAATAACCTCACATATATACATATATATATATATATATATATAAGCTGAAAAAGTGACCGAAGTGCTCTTCGCTTTATCCGAGAGTCTAAGGAAGAAGAACAAAAGAACAAAGAGGAAAAGAAAGGAGTAGACCATCGGTCAGTGAATGTCGTTTTTGTCATAATAATACGAGACGTGTTGAGAGTTCTTTCTTTTTGTCTTACTGTATGTGTTGATTGATAGAGGATATTACTTAATGTCATTGTTTTATTGAAAATCGTACTATTCATCCATATAAAATCAATACATAGCTTATCTATTTATATTTTATAATACTTGTCATACTATTTAGGTTTTCTTTTTTTTTTTTTTTTGTTCATATAAGAGGTTAATCTTAAATTGTTTTAAAATAAATGTCGTGCTCAATCTTCTCTAATGAAGATCTTTACTATGCATAAAGGTGTTATTTTTCTATATTGTCATTATCATAGGTCAAGTAGTTTGACATTCGAATATAAGAAAATGACCTGATATATACATTTATGCATGTGTATGTGAATATAAAACATATACAATTCAACGTGATGTTTTCAATATTTTATTTCGTTTACACATATTATGATGACTACGGATATAAATATATATATATGTTCTTTTGTTTTCTTTTTTTTTTATTCTTTTGACTATACGACAAACGGCCAAGTATATAGCGATGAAGATTGAATTGATAAATAATTCTTCTTTCTTTTTTTTTTTATCTTTATATTGAACTCGCTAAGGTCATGCCATATACTCGTTATTTTTAATTTTAAATAGTAATAAAAACTAGATGATACGAATCATATGTGTATATACTTGTAAAGAAAGATGAACAGCATGTGTCGATTTAATATTGACGCCAACTGTGTATAGTTGTTGATATCAGATGAATGAAATGAACAAACACATCGATAATAACCGCCTTTTTTTCTGGACACCCATGTGGTCAAATTACAGAAACAAAACATATGTGCATACCCTTCAATCATAGGGTATAGACTTTGTATTCAAGTCTATTGAATAACTATTAAAAAATGAATAGTCTTAGTTCACTTTAGATTATACGTTTTATATTTGATTGAATAATAACAAAAATATAATATGATATATCGATATTTTTATACTTTGTACATATTAATCTATACTAAATAGAAACATATGTATAATCCATCTACTTAAATATCATAAAAAGCTGAAGGAAACAATCCGTTTCAAGCATTTTTTTCTCAATTATACACAGTCTGTTGCGTTGCTAAATGGAGTTATTCTTCAATTACTTTCTTTTATTCAATGTCAATATTCTCATTTTATTTTCTAATTATTCTATCATTTAGCACAAAAATCATCAATAAATATTAGTGAGAATAGTACAAAACTATAGATATCAATATATATGTATATACTTTATAACGAATACTCTCTCTATGTCAAGCAATTATTATTCCTAATTGAGAACATAAATAACAGTTAAAAACTAATGACATAAATTCAAAGACTTTTGATATTGTCTATTTTATTTTATATATAAATTCGATTTCAATGAAAACTTATCAATACATATTATTCTTACAACACTTCTAAAATCAGCGACACATTACAAACATACATTGCATAATATTCAAATAGACCACTGTTTCATTTCATAAAAAGGCTTCTTTTATATAAACTTAGTCTTTGTCATATGATATTTGATCAACAAAAATAATAACTTCAATTGAATTCTATCATCTCCAATTTCACATTTAACAATTTATATTATTTTATAAGAAAAAAGTGTTGCTCTGGCAGATTAGTATTGCTACCAACCCGCACAAT